GTTAACATGGCCTGGTTACCTATGAGGGGGTTAGTCTTCATGATAATGTTGCTTTGCTCGAGCTTTTTTTGGCTGCTTACTATCATGGGACATGATGAGGTAAACCTGTGTCCTCGCAATGGCACCCTTCTTGAAGTAAGGGCCCAAGAACCGGCTACCATAACGTGCAAGGGCAGAGTGTGCCTTGTCAAGGACAGTCAAGTTCTTGGGTTCTTCGCTTCCCGGCATCAAGTCTAGCATCGCTTGTAGGAAATGTGCAAGGGCATGAGGAACCGAACCCTCTTCGATGACGAATCCGTCTAGAGGGTTCTCTAGGTTATGTCTGCAATCAATCACACTGGTGATGCAAGGCCCAATTGGATTGTATGGCGAAGGGTATGCCCGGCCAATGCCGTTCACTGTCTCATTTGTGTTGTAGCTTGTGATAAAAGGTCAGCTTTAGCTCGCTTCAAAAACACTTTAAACAAGTAAAACGTTAAAACTCACCCAAACGCTAGGATGTCTCCATTGCCACTCATATTCTGGCCGACCAAGTTGCTCATCTCGAGTCCCATAGCTTTGCTTCTGAGCAGAATCTCGGGAGTTGCAAGGGCGCCAGCGCCCAGGAAGACGGCCTTCCGCGCCCTCACCCACATTAGGTCGCCGTGAAGGTTCGCTTTGAAGTGGCCACGATTGCGACCATGCCAGGCGAAGTAGACGAGGTAGCCGTCATCGTTACCATCTTCGTCCTTGGCCTTTTCAATGTACCGCACCTCGCACTCGCAGAACAGTTCAGCGCCCCAGTTCCAGGCATCAGCCAGATAGGTAACCAGCGTGGTCGTTTTTGAGCCGTCGTTGACGCCAGTAGCATCCTGGCCGGTCAAAGCTGATGCTGACATCTCAACACCACAGCTATTGGGGCCATTCTGGAAGCGTGTTGTCTGCTTGACCTTCCTCCACCTGTCACCATAGCCCATATACTGGGCTTGCTTCTTGAGGAGCTTGGCCTTAGGAAGCTCGGGCCAGTCATCGGGGTACTCTGCCGGCTCAAGTACTTTCTCTACCTTCTCATAGTCTAATAGCGAAGATTAGTATCCATCTTGTAAACCATCTGTGCTGCGCAGGGTTTGTGAAGAGGCCTTTCAACTTACACTTGTCCAAAGAGTCCACTTTGTTCCGGATCTCGGGAGGCCAGGCCTTCATGGCCAAGGTACCTTTATCGGCCTCCATGAAGACATTAGCGTTCATGAGACTTGTTCCACCGAGGCCTGAATTCCATGTTAGCTGGCTCCATGTCATGCTTCTGCACAGGTATACATACCATTAGCCACAACGGCGTTTTGTCCCTTTCCGAAAATCAAGTGATACATGCCGGTGGGATCACCCGTCTCAACGGGTATACCATCCAAAGATCCTGGGGCAAAGGTACCGGATGTATGAAGTTCCTTGAAGGCATCCGCGGCACCAGTAGGGTATTCGCCAGGCCACTTCTCACGGCCACGCTCAAGGACACACACCGACGAGCCTGTACGAGCCATGCGTGACGCCGCAACACCACCACCGTAGCCGGATCCAATAACCACAACATCGTAGGCGACCTGTATAAGTTCGACGGGCTTCGAGATTCTCGGAAACGCTTGACGGTCTTGGTCGGCCACATAACTGCGCACTTTGGCGTTGGCTCGAGCGCGAGGTCCTCCAGCTTGGTGGTCATGGATACCCTCTGTCGGAATCTGGTGAGACACTGGGTTGGACCGAGGGAAATCTCGAGGTTCTTGCTTGGGGCTCCTACGGGGAGTAGGGGGGAAGTCCGAATCGGGCGACTCGGTGAAGGAGGCGTCTGAGTCGCCGTTGATATGTGTAGAGCCGGGGAAGAGGCCGGTGGTGTCGGTTTTCACTCCGAGTTGGTCACCACTATAGGCCGGGGTCGGCGGAGGTGACGGAGCACCGTTTGACTGGTGAGCTGATAGCCTATCCATCTCTTTAGTCCGGAGTAGATCACAATTTTCGAACCAAGTCTCCTAATTTAAAGGGCTCGAGCTGAAGACGTCAATGAAGAGGCCGTTATCGTTGGCACAATGGGTATAATGTGGCTCTATATCTTGTGGAACACAAAAAGTAAAGAGGAAGGGTATAATATAAATCTAAGAAAGGTCAATGGAACACTGCGGATAAAACTTGATAGTAAACGGGGAGGTGAGAAGAGATTTCGACACCGTTGACAGAGCGGATGGGAGGCGTCAGGTTGATATATACCTGGTGGCCGGAACGACATCATGTCCTGCCCTAGTCCTTGATATCGTAACTCTCTGATGGAGACGCCATAACGTGGCACTGTTCTAGCCCGACTGGGCAAAGGAGCAATAAGCGTTGCTCGAGAAGCTCCATGGAAGTGCGGCTGGACAATGTACAGACTTGTACATCGGACTAGCGTATAACCTTAACTACCCCGTGCGGTATAGGTTGAGGAGGAGGAGGGCTGTACACTGTGTCGGTCTGTATCCGTTCAGGTAGAAGATCCGATACTTCGTGTGGAGAAAGACGAAAACGGTTACCCGGCTCTTCTCTCATGGCTCAGTATCGGTATCGTGAGGGCGCAGTGTCAGCTCGGTTTTAATTTGAACCTGGCTCCCTGGTTCGCCGAGGCTGCGCTGAACAAAAATACATTATCGCGGGAAATGCAAATCACCATTGGCCGGGGTCCGTCTCGACGCCGAGTGCATTGCTAGCGTCTGGACATCTACCGAAAATGTGCAATGGGAACGGCATGGCACCGCCATGTGGGAAGCGCGAGTCGAAGATGCTGATTGTTGCCGACCATCAAGACGGTGTGGGTACACGAACTGCAAGCCTCATGTTTCCCGAAGGATGGGGAGGGGGCAGTTCGTGTGGAGTTGCAAGCCACGGTGACTGCTATAACCAAGACAGGGCGCCTTGCCTTTTTCTATGACTTTAGCAGCCAAAAAGGAGATTCTTCCGTCCTGTTCAACGATGGTTTCTTTTGACTATGCGTATCAAGTAATGTCGTGTACGGAGGCGTTTGGCTCGGAGTAGATGAGCCGGCTACTCCGTCATCTATCCCCATGATTGAACTGAGATGGCAGATCCATAGCCAAGCGAAGACTGAGCTGAATTCTTCAGGGCCCATTGCGATTTGTCCTTGCCGCTATCCACGTCGATCAGCATCAGATCTTGCCTTTCGCTTGGCAAACATATCTGAGGCTCTTTTTGGCCTGGAAATAACCGAGTCTTGACATGTGACTCTGAAGCTCCCATCTTCCTGAAATCTTTGATGGCGTTGGCTGCGAGATAACGTCGACCTTTTGATACGAGGATAGCGCCGTGAAGCTGTGCGGTAAATTTACTGTCGCGGAGGCATTTTGTGTCGGTGTATTGCAGCTCTGGTCATGGATGCGGAAGGCAGTCCGTGTTGTCCGGGGAAGGGTCTTGAGCCCTGGAGAATAGGGTAGCGAACAGCCAGCGATCAAGCTGCCATTGGACGTCGATCATTGAGTGGCTGACATCCCCTGCGCTTCTTGGCTTAGAGATGCTATCGCCGATCCTATTGGCTTGAGAACGAAGCTAGCACCTCGGTGGTGATAGGACGAGCCCAAAGCCACTGGACGAGAGCTACGCACGACCTGCGAGAACTCTTCTCAGTTTCATTTCCGTCTTTTTTTTCCCTTCCTCAACTTGTTTCTTCGCTGATCGTCGTTGGAAGTGCGCGAGTGCTCAGAGACAAGGTCAGTTGTCTCCTACCAGATACTCCGTATCACAAACGGCCCCCCAGGTGGCCATTGTCATTGTCGTCATCTTCATTCCGGCTCATCACAAGCCGATTCATGTCACGGCAGGACGGGGACGTTGACTGGACGCCATCAACCCCCCAAACTCGCCGCAACTTAACGCTCTTCACGATCCGATCACAATGTGGCCCCCAATGACAACGATATTCCGAGAAAGGGGGGACGTCAGAGAAAAGGCACGGAAGGCAGTCATCGTCATGGAGAAACGAATGGGGATCGGTTTCCAGTGTGAACCTCAACCGGCCTGCCGCTCCTGCCGCTCTCCCGCATTTCGGGGTTGCATTCAGCCCTGAAGCAGGTGAGATGATGTTCGTGCAGAGCAGTTGGAAACCTCACTCCGTTCTCGTGGCGGCCAGTCCGTGTGGTCGAAGAGCGGGAAGAACATCTGGGGGACGAGTACGCAGTGCATATACTGCACCCAGGGCAGTTGACAACGTGACAGCGGGTGGTGGCTTGACTGCCGTATCATGTACGGTATCATGCCAATTGCATGATACTTATCCGTCTGTGCATCGGGAGTCGTTCTTGATGACTGATTCGGGAGGACTGCCCCTGTTTAACATGCTTTTAAGGGTTCAAGCACCCATGACCATAGAGATGTTGACTTTTGTCGTTCTTTTCTTCTCTTCTTCCCTTCCGGCAGCGCGAGTCCTCTGAATCACCAACGGCTCTGTTGGTCTGAAGTCAGCATCCACATGGCAAAGCTGGTTGGTGGTGGAACGGCCCGTTGTCTCTACCTACTGTGCTTACTCGGTAGGGCTGAGACTGTGCTTGACGAGCTACGGACGACGAGCCCCTTTTGATGCTTACTGTGTAGCCGAACGACAAGGGAATGATGACAAGGGAGTCGAACCCCGGCAGTGCGAATGTTCGGTCGAGACGGTCGAGTGCAACGTAGATGCCTGGGTGACGGTAACAACCTCAACTGCGCCGTCAATTGCTCTCTCTGTGGGCAATGTTCTGAGAGGAAGAGAGGTTCTGTCCAGTCGCACAACACAACCGGAAGCAAGGGAATGGATGGAAACCGGCCAACGGCAATTTCCACTACTCGTCATCACGACGGTCTGGAAGCGAAGGACTTGCATTCGCAGCCCCAAGAGGGAAGGCGTGACTCGATAGCCTCGCGATAGTTACCAGCTGAACATCGTCGCTTCCATGCATGCGAGGGGATGGGTCTGATAAACTCGGAAGGAATTGGAATTGGTCGAACGGAGAAATGCCTGTTTGGAAGGGACGTACCGTACCAATCGATTGGTACCTGCCGTGGTACGTACGTATGTAACGGTACACGCAGCCGTAAGAACCCAATCCAAGATGCCCATCGAACGATATCTGACTTTAGCTTCTGATAAAAGGAATCGAATAATGACTGCCTTGCGCGCCAAATTCAGCTCCATGTTCATCGATCCCTACAAGGCATCAGCAATTCAACTGGGAATCATCCATTGGTTCTCAATCCAGTGACACCAACATCGCCTTACACCGTACCTTTGCTCTGTGAGATGTTAGTCCAAAAGAGCACATCTAAGAATATCGCTCTCGTGTTCCCCAGCAAGCAGGCTCCCTCGTGTTTCCTGTATTCCCATTCCAACTCCAATTGCACGATCCCTCAAATCGTCCCGAGCCAGTGTGTCACTGTTTCTTTCCCCATCTGGTGTCACCAACCACAACCCGACTCGGACAAAATAAGTCATGGCAAGGTTGCACTTCTGCCCGGTTACACCGTTCTCGTTTCGTTTCGTAGTTTCCTGCTTGCTGGGTCCAGAGAAAGGTGAATGATCAAAGACAGGAATGGCAAGAGTAGCACACGCACACCGTAACACCAAGCTGTTCCCCGTGGGGAGGTGTGGTTGCGCCGTTCGAGGATTGGATATACCCGACATAGCGAGATCACTTTTGGCAGAGAAGGTAAAGGAGGAAGGGTATGTAAAAAGAAGGCATCGCCACCACAACATTGTTTCAACCCCATGGACCTCTTAGTTCGGTGCTTCCCCAACTTTTCTTCATGGTGTCATCTGGATCAATATCACCTTTTTTGGTTGCTGAGGTTGTACAGAGGAAGCTGAAAGAGGGCACGGGGATCAGGCAACCTCTAGGTATCAATCCTCCATTGCTTATGGTAGTGTGTTAGTTGCTTATTTCTGAACTAACTGTAGAACTCCGGTCATGAATGTAACGATGTTAGTGTCCAACTACAACCCTAACACTCTCACTATCAATAGTCCAATCGGATCACACTAGTGTTCGGGGAGGCCAATACTTCAACTGACCGGCTATGATACAGTGACGGAATGCGAACCACATACACTCATACGATGAAAAAGCTGTGATGAGCACACAATATTCGCCCCCCAATTCCCAAAAGCGCCGTATCGTATCGGAGAGGGACAGACAGAAGAACTCGAAATAAACAAAGACCATCATCTCAAGCCCATGAAATCCTCATACAGTACCATATGTATGATCCAGCACGCCCTCGACACCAGATAGCGCACCATCTCGAGTCATGCCATCTCTGCCACCATACGCCACTTACGTTCTAGAAGTCTGTTAAAGCCCGTCCAGGAATCTGATGTTGAACCTCGCTTCGACGGTAGGAATATTCCAACACTATTGGGGTCGGGTCAGCAAGGCCTCAACATTACGTCGTTGAAGCCTTTACGTCGTTGAAGGACCTTCGGTCAACGGAGTAAGCCCTACATAAAACGGGAACCAACGGAAACTCAAAGCCACAACGGCACAGTTTTCTACCGGCAGCCAACAACCCAACGTTGACCAACCTTCAATACTTCGATATTACCATGGAAATTGCCAACAGACTTCTGACATGGCCACACTTGCCACACAATAAGCTTCTTACTGCGGACCACGGGCCGAATCCCTTGACCACGGGGAATATTGAAGCTAAAACCGACAAGCCACAGTTATCCGGAACAGGTAATGTTTGCGGCGCACTCTGTACAGAAAAGTACTTGTCGATATGTCGATGGTGATGAGTCAGGTGAAGAGAGGTTGTAGGCAAGTTCAATAAAGGGCAAGATCGGAATCTCTGAAACTCCAAAGTCGGTTCCAATGTCCAACAAGGATGACATTATCAGGCGTTCTCTGCGGCGCAAGAGGTCATCGATGACTTCATACCGAGTACTACCACGATTCCTGCCAGAACCGCGGTTGCCAACATTCGATATGGCCATGGAAGAGATTCGGGATTCTGAAACAGCCAAAGTTAGTTCCAAGTTCGACAGACCCAATGGGGCGCAATGCAAGGAATTGGCAAGGCAGACACACTTACAGATATTGAGGACTCGCCCAATCTACACGCAACATGGAATTGGAAGCACGCACCCGAAGTCATCACAGTCACTAGGAACGCATTACAAGAGATACAAGTTTTGTGAATCGACAGATAGGATATGAATTCACCAATGGTATATGTACATGGAAAGTCATCAAACCCGCCTCCATCTAAAACTCAAACGCCAAAAGAACCCAAGCCTGCTCGGTATCATAGCATGGCAAACCCCAACTCCGGCCCGTAATTTTCATTTCTCAGTTCCCATCATAAAAATTCCCTTTTTTCCCCTTCAATTTTCACCAAGCGGTAAAAAGAGACCACTTAGTTCTTGGACCACCAGTCACCCTGGTCGTGCATGGCCTGGGCGACCTTGACGAAACCAGCAATGTTGGAGCCGGCAACGAGGGAAGGAAGCTCACCCTCAGTAGCCTCGACGTAGGTCTTGGCAGTGTTGAGACCGTTGAAGAAGGCGTTCTTCATGATGTCCTTGAGCTTCTCATCAACCTCAGACTGGGTCCAGTTGAGGCGCTGGCTGTTCTGAGCCATCTCGAGACCGGAAACGGCGACACCACCGCAGTTGGCGGCCTTGCCGGGGGCGTACCAGACGGCCTCGCCCTTCTTCTCCTTGCGGTTGTTCTCAAAGACCTCGATGGCCTCGAGAGTGCAGCCCATGTTGGAACCCTCAGCGACGAACTTGCAGCCGGCGGCAAGGAGACCCTCAGCCTCCTCCTTGGAGACCTCGTTCTGGGTAGCGCAAGGAAGAGCGATGTCGACCTTGCCAACGTGGAGCCAGGGGCGGGCACCCTCGATCCACTTGACGTGGCCGGCGTTCTGGAAGGTGGTGAGGGGCTGACGGGCCGCCTTGATGGCCATGATGGCGTTGATGTCCTCACCGGTGATGCCGGACTCGCCAGTGGCGACGAGGGCACCCTTGGAGTCGGAGAGGGAGACGACGGTGGCGCCGAGCTCAATGAGCTTGAGGGCGGCGTACTGGGCGACGTTGCCGGAACCGGAGAGGGCAACGCGCTTGCCAGCGTAGGAGCCGGCGCCAGAGAACTCAAGCATGTGGCCGACGTAGTAGACGAGACCGTAACCAGTGGCCTCAGGGCGAATGAGCGAACCACCCCAGGACAGGCCCTTGCCAGTAAGGACACCCTCGAAACGGCCCGCGGCCTTGCGGTAGGCACCGAACATGTAACCGATCTCGCGGCCACCAACACCGATATCACCAGCGGGAACATCGGTATCGGCACCAATGTGCTTGTGAAGCTCGGCCATGAAAGCGCAGCAGAAGCGACGGATCTCAGCGTCGCTCTTGCCCTTAGGGTCGAAGTCGGCACCACCCTTGCCACCACCCATGCTCACTAGAGACGCCGAGTCAGCAAATCTGGTCTTCTGGTTTTGTATATCCCGTTTGGTCACTTACAGCCAGTGAGGGCATTCTTGAAAATCTGCTCGAAACCGAGGAACTTGAGAATGGAAAGGTTGACGGAGGGGTGGAGACGGAGACCACCCTTGTAGGGACCGAGGGCGGAGTTGAACTGGACACGGTAACCGCGGTTGACCTGGAGGTTGCCGTTGTCGTCTTCCCAGACAACACGGAACTGAATGACACGCTCGGGGATGGAGGCAACGTTGAGGGCGGTGCGGTACTCGGGGTGCTTCTGGAAGAGGGTGGAGTTCTCGAGAGTGTAGGCCAACTCTGTGGTGGAAAGTCAAGTCAGCTCTAGCTCCGCGGCTATACGATAGGTGTTTCTCTAGACATACCCTTGTAGGCCTGCTCGAACTCGGGCTCAGAGGGAAGGTTAGACATTTTGAATGTGGTGAAGGGTATAAAAATAAATCAACGGGTTAGCCACCGGGTATCGATACAGTTGTGCTTGGTGGGAGGGCAAGATGGATGAGCAAGAGAACGAAGACGAGAGGGAGCACAGCTCTCTGGGGGAGGGGAGGAAAAGGTTTTATACAAAATAGAGCTGGGGCGACTGGGGGGAAGGAAGCAGAGGTAACCTTGAAGGTTTGGGGAGGAGCCGGCGTGAAGGAGGAGACCTCGACTGGGCGAGACGAGACGGGCGGGAAGCATCCTTGCCTATCCTCGATCCCCCCTCGATCCCCTCGTCCCTAGTGCCTTCCCCGTGCTCCGAACATGGAGCGACCTGGAGGCGAGCATCAAACCATCACAGTCCCTGTCTCGCCTGTATGTTTTTCCAGGCGGCAATTCAAATCCCGCGTTGCAGCCCGCGAACAATCCCAGCCGCAGAATGCCATTGAGGAATGGGAGCGTGGAGCGCACTCGGCATGGTGGGGTTGGACCGGGATTGTCCCCTGTCAGTCTGTCACTGTGTACTTGAACGTTCTCGAGACAATATTTCCCCGACAGCATCGTCATGCCTCGCGAGCGACGAGACGAGCCTTTTTTCTGCGAAAATCTTTCCACCCTCCTTCTTTCCCACGTTCATTTGCGCCTGTGCATACATTGTACATACAGCGTGGGATGTCTCAGCACAATGGAACAGTCATTGATCAAACAGGATTGGCTCTTCTAGACTTTGGGGTGTGATGGCCTGTGACAGGCTGTGTCAACGTCATCCCTCTTATCAGAGCTCCGAGATCGGCTCTTTTCTGAACTATCGATAGAGGTATTTTATTAACACCAATTAGTCTATAGGCCACACTAAGAACATACCCGGCGATGTTCCAACTTGAATGTAATTTGAACCTGCAATAGTGAGGTAGAGTCGTTGCTGATACCTATTCATCGTCAGCACTAGCCATTCCTGCCATTGTCCTGCCCGTGCGCGACATTTTGGCAGTTGAGGCGAGAACTGAGAACTGAGAAGTGAATGCGCTTCCCTGTCTTGAAGCAAGACATGGCAGGCCGAGACTGCACTTGGCGAGCTCCACGCCGGGCGCCACAGCCGCATACATAATGTAGTAGATCGTTCGTTGTCTTATCAGAGCATGCTGATTGGTCGCCTCGAGCGTTTGGTAAAAAGCTTATGTGAACAAGTCGTGAGTGGTTTCGTTCTTCTGGCTCCATTCTGTTTCGCAAGGGTTGGAGCTCTTTCGCCGGACCAGCCCATCCTTTCTGAGGGAAAGATCGGACCCGAATCAATGCCAAGTTGAGCGAAGCCCCAAATTCGCCCACTCATTGACCACGCCGCTTCGGAGTCGCTACCGCCGTCGAACACTCCGACCTCGCAGGTCGCGTGTCGCAGCAGGCTGCCAGTGTCAGTCATGTAACGCTGCGGCAGCATCAGGGTTTCATTGGAGGATATGGGCTGAATGAGACATAATTTGTCCTTCTGCTCACGAATTGATACTTGTCATTGGTCTGTTTGATCAGCCAGTTTGGGAGGCCAGAACAGGTTGCAGTCCGAAACCGCCCTGGAGAGCAAGGGCCCCTGCTTGCCATGCACTCGTCGCCGTCGTCGAGTTTGGTGTGAATGCATTCCCAAGTATACATCCTTGTCGCTAAACCCCACCTTCCTTCCTGGGATGCAAGACAATGATTCAGGGTCCCTGCAAACTCCAGCAATATTGTTCAGCCTTGCAGGAGCTTATCAGTGGACGGAGGGGCAGTGAAAAGAAAAAGAGATAGAGAGATTGTGGTGTATCTCCGCCATTATCACGGGTCGCGGTCCGCTTCGCCGAGAACTAAATAAATACTCTTCACCATCGACAACGCGCGTGGAAAAGTCTGGGCCGACAAGCACACCACAGTCCGAGCTACGCCGAGTCAGTGAGCCAGCGACTATCCAAAGCGACAAACTTCAAAAACTCGACATGCCGAAACTTCGACGATCGAGGGGGGGTTGCCAACCTCGCCGAGTACACTTTTCGGGCCAGCTTCGGGTGTAGATCTGCTCTCCGGTGGCAGTTTCTCAGCTCGACTCTTTCTCACGAATAGCTTCCCGCCGGCTGGCTTGTTTTCGGCATATACACGACCAACAGGTCCATCCCTAGCGCGGCACAAGCTTGCTCTTACGTGGCGCCGAAGTGAAAGGGAATCCGACTCACGAAAAAGAGGCCACCCGTGAAGTGGAAACAAGCTTCTTCACATCCAGGTGATGCCCAAAAAACAGTACATACACGACCACTATTTTTTGGTGAGCCCGTGTGTAGTCTTTTTTGGTCATCGCCTGACATCCTATTCTTCCCGATGGCCAGCGCCAACGTCAGGGGCAATCCCGGCCGCTAGACGACTTCGAGTCGCCAGTCAATCGGCGGGAATCCCTGGCATTGGGCCCGTGCCCGAGTCCCCATCACGGAAACTGCACCGTCAGGCGTCAGGACATGAGACATCAGTCAGTATCTCGACCGTATCCACACATCCGCCTCCCCCATCGACCCCCCGAGCCCCCATGCGACGATTCGGGGCTAAGCGGCACCAAGAACCCATCTCCGAGCGGCCAACGCGGCTCTCCGGCGTTGCTGCGAGCACTTGCGGCCTGTCTGCATTGCAAGTGAAGCTCAACCGCGTTCAATATCCATTTGGGCGCTATATACGGGCCGACATGACCTTGGCACTGTACTTCACTGGTAGCTGCCGGCTTGTCGTATCCAAGACGGATACCCATCTCCGCTCCCAGTTCGTATTTGCCCACCATTCGTCCATTTTGCGTGGTTTATCGTTCTGTGACTGATTGACTCGCCTCCACACGGAGGATGTGGGCGTCGGCGATCTCGAATATCACCAATGTAGTTGCCGAGGTTGCGGTTTGTACGAGACTTTGTGAATGGCTTCGACTTGCCAACTGCCTTTGAGCCTGCTGACTGGACGCGGCCAAACGAACCTGAAAGCTGTCCGCTTGACTATCTTCCGTTCTGCCTGTCAATTTCACTGTTTCATGTCATTGATGGCAAGAGCAGCACAGGAATTGACTTGCAGCGCACTTTCCGATCTCATTCCAGATCGCTCTTTCAGTTGAGTCCAGTGGCCAGCTAGTATCCGTCGAAACATTGGAGATGGAAGGAATGGCCGGTTGGACTTCTGAGGAGAGCGGAAACAGATACCACTTGCCAAATTATGAAGCTGACGAGCGGAGCAGGGTTCACTTTCCAGTTTTACCGGAGGGCTAAGATATGTCACGTACGAAATATGTACAAATCGAAAATCTGCGAAGAATTGAATAGAGAATCGTTGCTTTCCAACGTGTTTCTACTGCTCTTTGGCCCCCAAACCACCAACGCCAAGACAACTTGCTGACAACCGCGATACAAACAGAACAACCGACGCTCCCCTTCAACCTTTTCACGACACTTGCATTACGATCGGACCAGCCACGATGATATCATCCGTCAGCTTGCCTGTCAACGGGCCCGCGCTCGCCAAGTTCACATAAACAACTCCCTTTAAGCCCTGTGGCACCACGCACCCGCCCGTAGCAGCATCGAACGCCGTGAACGCCGTACCGCCGGGGATGCCACCCGTGGTGAAGGCGCAGAACTTCGCGCCAGCCGTCGCCGACGTATCGCTGCTCTGCAGCTTTACCTCCGACCCGGCAGCCGCCACCGTCTTCCCGTCCCCGCCCATCGTCAGCGTCGGAAACGCCGTCAAGATCAGATTGCTTCCCTCGGGACAGCTCGTGATGAAGGGCGCCGCAAGGCTGAACACCTGCTTGGGAGACAAGGGTGTGTCGAAGGCCTGCGGCACCGCCACCACGCCGCTCGCCGCCCTGATGAAGGTCTGGTGGCGCGCCTCAACCGTCAGGATCGAGGCCGCGGTGGTCAGGATGCCCGGGTCGGTCACGAGCTGCGCCGCGCCCAGGTAGGCCGACAAGCCGACGTTCTCGAGCACGGCGGCCGTGGCGACCATGGCGGCGGCAGAGTTGACGGCGGCGAAGTTGTAAGTGCATGCCTGCACGGGCTTGACGCCGGCGGCGGCGATGGCGCCCTGGAGCAGGATTACGTGCTCTTCCTCGGTGCTGCCGATATTCTTCAGGTCCTTGATCTGAGACTCGGAGAGCCCGAGGGCGGTAAAGTCGGCGGCGGGGAACTTGGCGAAGCCTTCGCGGTAGAAGGCCGCTTCGAGGAGCTCGAGAGTGAGAGCGCTGAAAGGCGGGTGCGTTAGCTATTATGAGGCTGGTGCAAGCAGAGAAGAGGAGGACATACAATTCCAGGATATCAACATCCGTCAGGCCTGCGGCGGCGGCCAGGGCATTTTGTCGCCTCATGAGGCTGTGGATGTTGAGTTGGTTATCCGTCAACTTGGGGATTGCGGGCAAGGCCGAGGTCAAGGCTGCTAGGCCTGCCGTGATCAGGCCGAGGGTCTTTGTGATCGAAGGCATGTTGTCTTTTTTGTTGACTGCTTCCTGGCGAGTTGGCTTAGAGGTAAATGGGTAGGTCGTTGTATTTTGCCTTATGTCCCCTTCGAATAACTTTTGTTGTTTTCCGTCGATATCGAAACGCGAGGAACTTTGGGCCTGGTAGCGTATATGCTTATGTGCGCTGTGTGGACTGTTCTTGTCCGAGTATTACAAGATAATTAGGGGGAAACCACAGTGAAGGGCTGTTGGTCGCTGGTCTTTGTTGATCGTCGTTCAAGATGAAGGCGAGCAAGTGAGTGTGCTTCAGTGTTGATGAACTGGTGAGCACAGCTTGAAGAGACAGATAGAAACTCGAAAGGAGAGTGAAAGCAACAAGAAAGCAGACCGGTGCTTGGTTAAAAGAATGAAACAGAAGGGTAACTGCAACACAAAAACAACACCAGGTTGATGATCGATCGTGAAAGTGAAAGGAAGGGTGAAGAAACAGATGGGAGGAAAAGAGAGAAACAAGCAGCCTGAAGTGGTCGGCCAGGTATGGATATACTCAAAGAGAAACAAAGTTCACAAGTCGTGATGAGTGCCAAGGAGCCGGATCACGGAAACCCTACATCACCGTAACTATGGTCCTGGAGACAAGGAGATAGCTTCACTCGGCGGCGAACGGCTACTGAGTGTTCCCGGTTCCGGGGATCTGGGGTGGTATGGCATGCGGAGATAGAGATCGTTCCCAAAACACCAAGAGACTGACAGAGGCAGGGGTTCCTTGAGTTGCATGAGTGGTGAAAGAAGCTCGGAAGCAAAAGGTACGTACTACCTATCATTCATTTATAGGTACTTCTATACATAACTCGACTGATAGATGGGATTTCCTAATCGAGGGGGCATGCGAATCTGGCATGCTGGCATCTCGTAGCATGTGAGATACAAACGCACCGCTCTCCAGATGCAAAATTAACAACTAGAGTTCCTTCAACATCATGGCTTCGAGGAAGTGAGAACCTCCGGATATGTTCAATCCCGTTTCTTATCACATGTTTCCCATGTTAGTACCAAGTTCCAGCTCAGAGCTAGGCTATTTACCAAGTGCTCGTTGAATACGTAGAAAGGTAAGGAAAGGGTGAAGTAACCAAACCATTCTTGGTGTTTCGTTTCTTCCTTCTCAGGTTCTCAGCCTCTCTTGGCTCAATCCTACCTCTACTCTCAACTACAACAAAAGAGCCAGAAAGATGGAGGCATGTAGAGGGGTAGTAAGAGACAAGCCATCTTCATATCAATACAACATGATCAGAATCATGGACCTGGAAGCTCAGTTATCCCGAACGGTCAAGCTCAGCTCCGACCCAATGACACCAAGCAGAAAGAAAGTTAAGGTTAATCTCGCGCTCGGATATTTCCGTCTCCATTGAGTCCTCACTGTGCTCAGATTCTTGAAGGGTTACACCCGGACCACGGGGAAAATCTGTGACGTTGGGGTTGTTGAGTTGGGGGTCTTAGCTTCCACGTCTCAAACACGTTTCAAAGGTCACACGGGAACACGGATTTGTTCTAACCCGGTACCTTACCAAGCCTTTCCAAGCTTATTTTAACGCTGAATGACTCCCTAAGTACCTCTCATCACATTGTGTTCGCCTCATGAACATGTTCTACGGAAACGGAAGACATGGATGCCGAGTTGAGCGTGTTCCATGGAGGTTATTTGATTTCAACGCCTGATGTTTATACACACCTTTTTATCCACACTCGGCATGGAGAAACCTTCCTCAACAACATGCTGCAATAGGAAGGCAACACTATTGGCGTAATACCTCGTCAGCACTTTTCCACTTGCGATAAGTTTTGATTCTGCTAAATAGACGCGCCCCCTTCTTGACTCTTTTCCGACTCTCTTCACTCCGTCGAATAATCCTGATTCATGTCTGTGCTCGTCTGTTACTGTCTTCTTAGTCCTCATCATAACGTATTCATCCCCCGTCACCAAAAACTATTACAGGTAGCCAAATTATGATTGATACTCCCACACGGGCCCTTTTCTGTCACATAGCTGCCATCCGCCAAGTTATCCATGTTGGGTCTTATATAACGCCTTCTCGAATAAGCCAACAGAAGCCAACAGACTATAAGAGATGCACACACCATATCCTCAGTAAAGGGACACACCCGCATAACAATCTTGAAGACGTTACTTCCTAACACATCACACATCATCCGTTCCTCCTACTTATTTAACAATATTTCCACATGACGACAGACAGTAAGCTGAGCCATCTTAACCGTTCTTTAACCGTTCTTGAGCCGCCGCGCATCTTCTTTCCAAAGCATCAAAACATTTACATTAAAGGGCATAGGGGTTGAGCGAGCGGATAGTCAGGCACCTGAGCGTTTGGTTAGTTATGCATGATGCAAATGGAGCAGGGATATAGAACTTACGGTGGGCTCTTGGTGAGATCAGTCTTGAGAATGACGGGCACACGGGTCATCTCCGTCACATCCTGGATGTACTCGCCACCCTCCTCGCGGAGCTTGAAGAGCTTCAAGTACTTCTCCTTGTTGGTCAAGCGAGCCTCCGGCGCCTCACCGACGGGCACCTTCGAATCGGACCGGGTACGGTGGAGGGCACCAACAGCCTCAGCCGCAGACTGAGTAGGTGAGCCAGGCACGCTCTGAGTCGGGCGCTCCGCAAGAGATGCGCCGGCCATGGCCTCAGTGATATCAGAGGCATTGTCCTCGATGTCGTCCTCATCCTCGAACAGAGCGTCAACATCATCGTGCGAGACGGTACCAGTCTCGATCTGCTTGCGCGCAGCCTCCTCGCGCTCCTTCTTGGCGCGGTCGGCCTCCTCAGCCTGGCGAGCCGCAGCGAGAGCATTCGAGATGCGCTGAGAAGCAGCGGCCTTGGGACGCTCATCTTCAGGGACATAGGCGGAGCTGGGAACACCCTTCTCCCAGTAGAGTTCGAGAACTCTCTTATCCTTTCTGAACTCGGCCTTCTTCAGAGGAAGCTGATCGCAGTGGACGCGCTTCTCGAAGCCCCACTCGGGAATGAGAACGTCGAAGGCAGACTCGTACACACAGATGACGATACCCTCGCTAATCAGGTCGCCATTGACCTCCTGCCGCTTCTTATCCATAGTGCGGCAGGACTCAATGTGAACGCTCTGTTCCTGAGCATTTTGCGCAGAATCCTTCTTGGTGTTGCAAGATTCTACAGTCTTGACGAGGTTCTCCAAATCCTCGGTATATTCAATCTTTCCTTCGGAAAGGACAGCCTCAAGCTGACGATGAACAATGATGTCGGCGTAGCGCCTGGTGGGGTAAGTGAAATGAGTGTAGAGGGGCAAGTTCAAGGCATAGTGAGGCCAAAGGAGACTGGCAGTCTTGCCAGCAATGAAGTACTTGGCCCGCTGCATGGATTTGACGAGGAGGGTCTCCATACCCTTCCTGATGTCAGAGTCGTCAATCTTGAACAAGCTGTTCTGTAGGGTACCACTGCTGGTAGCGTCAACGTCATAGCCCAAAGCAGTCATACGGTCAACGATAGTTTGTAGACGGCGGGAGTTGGGAGCAGACTGCCTGCGCAGAAGAGCTTTCTCCGGGAGTCCCTGCGCCAGACGTTGGGCAACGTAGGTGTTAGCCTTGTGCATAAGCTCTTCAACAAGTTCGGTGGCCTGGCTAGACTCGAAAATGTTGTGCTTAGGCGGGATGTTCTCATCATCAAGTTGCTGGAGGAGACGGAGAGGCGCAATGGGTTCGCCACCGGCGCCCAAGCGAGCTTCGCGGAACTTCTGAGCGACAGCGTTGAGAATCTGTATATCCATAGCCTTCACAGACGGATGGGAGAATCCACTGCTACCGGTAAGGGCTTCATCGATCTGGTTAAGCGACACCTTTCCGCCGCTCTTGACGATACCCTTTCCAATCCAGGTGTCGCCTTCAGCCACGGCGCCAGTCTGGGGGTTGACGTGGAACACAACGCTGAAAGTCAAGCGATCCTGTTCAGGAGTGAGGGTGCAAAGCTCGCTCGACAGCTTGGGGGGAAGAAGGGCACAGAAGCGGTTGACGAGATGGACCGCAGTGCCGCGCTTCTTAGCTTCACGGTCAACGAGTGAGCCGGGCTTAACAAAGTGGGCGACATCGGGAACGTGAATACCGATCTCAATCTTGCCGTCAGGCAACTGCTTGAAATGAACACCGTTGCCAAGCTCGACAGAGCTATCCAACTCAACAGTGAACACATTCTCGCCACGGAAGTCACGGCGAGCGGCAAGAGCAGCTTGATCCTCACTTTCAAGTGACCAGTCTTGCTGGCTGACGTTGCGCAAAACGGCCTCAGCAAACTCGTCGGACGCGAAGTTGTTGTCACGAAGGAGGGCATCGGTCTCAACCTTAAGATCACCCATCTTGCCCAGCTTCTCAACGAGGGTACCAAAAGGATGCAGAGAAGTGATGGGCCAGCGCTTGATGCAAGCCACGAAAATCTGGTCCGCATAGTCCTGGTGCTTCTCCACGAAGTCCTTGGGGGCTTGCTCGGTAGGAATGGCAATCAGAGGGACACGCTTGTCCGTGGGCTTGAACCAAACGATCTTGGGCTTCTCGTGGGAGCGAGAGTCTTGTTGGCGGCCATTGCCACCGTCTCTCGCAGCGCGTTCAGCTTCCTGCTTCTCCTTCGTAGCCTGGCTGCTCGGGCGGAGCAGACCCAAGGTACCAGAGAACATTTGGCCGGGAACACGTTCAATAACAGCAACGATGTGACCAGCAAAGAGAGGCTGCTGCTCATCGTTGATCTCCTCTTCCTCGACCAAAAGAAGACTTTGACCTTCAACCTCGACGTCGTCGTTCTTCTTCTGGGTAGGACGCTGTCTGAGACTGCCACGGCGGCGGAGTCCTCCTTCAGCGTTGCCATTGTCGTCACCAGTATTTTGGCCTCCACTAATGGAGCCAGAACGAGTGTCGGTAATATCCTTGCGCTTCTTCTTTTCTTCCTTCTCACGCTTTTGCGCCCACACTTCACCAACATCCAACAGCTCGACCGCAACGAGATCACCTTCGAGAGCACGGTTGCGGTCCTTGCTGCCGCAAATGAAAATATCGGCGGGAAGCAAGCCATCCTGGGTCGAGACGTAGGCATCGCTTCTGTTCTTCTTGTTCACACGAAGAATACCAGAAACAAGCTGGCCGTTACCCAAGAGGGCGGGAAGAGTAGCCTGGGGAAGGTAAGGAGTGAAAAGCGTCTTGCGCTGCTGTTGCTGGCTTTGCTGGCCAGGAGCAGCCATTTGAGGAGCGTGCTGGCTGGCGGCAAGACCAGTAAGTGGCTGGCCATTCATCTGAGCAAGCTGAAGAGCCTGAAGCTGGTTGAGCTGCATCGGGTTGAGTTGCTGGCCAGGGAACACCTGGGGCATCATCATCTGGCCAGGGAACTGGACCAGCTGAGGTTGTCCAGGGTACTGGAAGGATCCAATCGAGGAGATGGACTGCTGGCTCACCGAGCCGCGGCTGCGATGACCGGGCTGGAAGCCCTGGTTCTGAGGAAGGGCAGCGGTCTGGTCCTGAGCCTGGTTCTGGCTCTGGTTCCTCCAGTTGCCGTCGAAGTTGCGGGAACCAGTGCGGGCATGGCCGCCACCGCGGCGAGAGAAGTCGCTGCCTTGGCCCATAGAGTCGGTAGAGAAATGGCCTCCGCGGCCACCACGGCCACTGGCGCCAACAGCCACGCTCTGGCTCCTGCCATGGCCGCCACGGCCACCACGGAAGGACGATCCCTGAGCTATCTGGCCCTCCGCCGGAGCAGGAGTGGCGCTCGGGGTGGTCTTTGCATCATCCTCAGACTTCTCGGAGGAACCAGAGGCAGGAGCAGCAGGGAACTGGAAGGTAGAGGTCGTACGCTTCTGTTGGGCGAGCTCGGCGGCCTTCTTGGCATCAGCCAAGGCCAAGGAATGTCTTCTCTGGTGACCACCGCCGGAGCCACCACGACCGCCACGACCGCCGGTGCTGTTCTCTCGGGCGTGGCCCTGGGTGGGATCCTGGAAGTTTCCGAACGTCGAACCAGAGGCGCCGGCAGAAGGAGCAGGCGGCGGGCCCCCCATGCCCATGTTTGGAATGGCCGACTGATTACGGCGATGTGAAAGTGGTTGTGTAGGAGGAGCTAGGGACGGCTGCTGCTGCAGCTGGACCGGGAACTGGAAGCCCGCCTGGGGCGCCAAACCGGCAATGGGCTGGAAGGGATTGGTGAATCCGCCAGGGCCCAGGGGTTGGGTGGCCGGAAGCATGCCGAGGTTGGCATATTGAGCTGTAATTTGCTGTTGCTGCTGCTGAAGGAGTTCGATCTGCTGCTGGATGGCAAGCTGTTCCACTGCACGGAGAGAAGATCCAGTCAGTACGCTACCACTTTTGATGAGACAGTAAGGACAGAAGACGGGAACGTGAAGGGGTCAGGGGTGTGATCATTGGCTTTTGAAGCTTTTCGCCACGTGCAAGAACGGACCAGTGCAAGAGCGGTGGAGGGGCGCCGCGATAGTACACGATGGCAATGGCGATGACAATAGCAAAACTTAAAACATACTGTTTGTGTTCGAGAACATACTCATCAACGGGGTCAGCTCCGACGGGCTTCTTCGATGGGCGATATGGAGCCGTCGGCCGGCGGGGCCAGGGACGCCTCCTTGAGGCTGCTGTTGCTGGTCCATGATGCAGGTTGCTGGGACGGACAGGTGCAGATGACTTGATTTGGGTGATCCAGGCAGAAAAAGGTGCACGTCGAGTGCGAATGCAAGGCGAATTCGGCGTTGGAACTAAAGCGTATGAAGACCTAGAGCACGAGACGAGTCGAATCGAATCGAGGCGTAGTCGAGACGAGGGGGGTTATTGAGCTGTGTTTATCTTTTTTGTGTGGCCGGATTGCCGTTGCGATGCATCAGATGCGATGGAGTTGCGGTATGTTTGGTTGCGGTGCGGAGACGTCGCCCCAAAGGACAGTTTTGTTTCGCAGTAAAGCGGATTGAATGGAAGAAATCGAGTCCAAAGAGGTTATAATGAGAGATTGAAAAGTTGCTACGAGGGAGTGTAGAGATAAGGGAGGGAGGTGTCCGGCTTTTGCGAGTTGACGTTGAAGCTAGAGGGAAGCCTGAAGCCGATGCGGGTTGAGGTTCGTGGGGAGGGAAAGGGAAAGAAGAGTGCAGGAGGAGGAGGAGGAGGTGGTGGAAGGTGGAAGTGGAGGAAAGAGGTTCGGTGCTATAGAAGTCAGGAGGACTGGACCTTGGACCTGGGAGGAGGAGGAGGAGCACTCGAGCACCGCAGCGGGCAGTCAGCGAGAGGAACCCGAAAGGTCCATCGGCATCCTGGGCTGTCTTGTACCTGCTAGTGACGAACTGATGCGTGAGAACGGCGGGATGGGCCTGGCAGTCTGCTGAGGTGAGTGAGGTCCGTCCCTCCTTGAAGGCGCATACACGGTGCGGCGGCGGCGGTCGGCCGGGGGTCAGGTCTGCACCTATCAGCGCTGGTGGGCAGCCCACTGCAGTGGTCTACCAAATAGCAGGCAGTCGAGAACCACCACGGCGCTCCACTAGCAGCAGCTGCTCGCTCCAAACAGCTCAAAGGTCGCCCCCAGTGTTAGTGGCGCCAGGGTGCAAGTACGCAGGGTGTTAGGGTGTACCGGATACGCCATGTGCGCGCCACACCGTGCTCCTCTTACAACCCAATGAAGCAACCTTTGAGCCCCTTTTATAAAACCGTTTTGTTTCCTCGCCCTGGTTTAAAGATAAGTCGAGACTCACGACATCCATTGCACACTCTCTGTATGTTTCTGTTCAACAGCAAAGAGCATCGAAGAGGCGAGGACCGCGACGGGAGCATCCGGGGGAAGCTATCAAGAACGCCAGTGGGGAAACGGTTCCTCAGCAGACTCGGGAAAATCGCGAATCACAAATGGCAGAAGTGGACCCTCGTTAATCGTCTTTACCCCATACCTCATTTAGTTTAGATTCATGATATCTCAAACATGGCGTATGCTGGGCGATGCTTCCCTGCCACGAATGTGTCTGCATAGGAACGGGGGACGATAAACTCGAGATGCACTCAGACACCTCTCGAGAGAAACTCAATGGTGGTCGGAAAAGGGATCGCCAACCTATGTCATGATGTTCATTGGGGAATGTGGACTGGCCTTGCTGGCGTAACAGGGAAGACGTCAGTGATGATGGTGATACCCGAAACCCTGGCTCGACGTGAGTAAGTACACCGCATAAGACGACAGCCGTGTCTCCCGTCTCAGAAGCTCCGGCAACCTTTTTTCGGGTCTGTGTTATCAAAAGCGGTTGAAGAGAATACACGGCTGCCTGCGGGAACTGATGGGGGTTGCTATCTACAAACAAAGGCCACAAGCTGACCCTCTCGTCGATGTTTGTTGTCCGCAGCACCAACGGATGAGGATGATATGCAGAAACCTGCAATGAAAAGCTGTTTCCTTGGTTCCATCACACATCTTACATTTAAGTCTGTTTGAGATGTCACTAGAGCGTTGCCTTACCTTAGCTTCGTATGTACACACGACGGCGACTCTGATGTTGATGTCTTCGAAGCTCTTTCTCCTGACCGTGGTCGTCAAGTCTTCCAAACTCGACCCCACCCACAACTTTACAACGACTGTTCTCATCACCTTCAGTATAGTCTGGATGGAAGCCTGGGGACCCGGAGACATTTCAGCGTAACACAACATAAGCTGACATCTAAACTTGGGTTATTATACCAAAGCCGCTTTGTAGTGTGTACTCGTAGGGTCTTGTCGACAACAATGCATCAATACTAGGGTTCGGGTTGGTTTATAAAAAGGTACCACTTCCATCCGTTCTCCCCCACCAAAAAACGGCTGCCAGGACCACAGGCCGCTAACCACACACACAGTAAGAATAACAGAGATGCCAAGACTAAAGCCCGCACCCGTGGGGTGGACTTAGTGCTATTTGAATTCGCGACGCGCGCAAAGTACTCCAACTCCATTTGATGGTATCCATACTTGTACATACCCTAGCCCTCCGCAACTGTCAAGCCAAAGACAAAACCCGACGATCACCTCAACTTCTCCCATTTCTTTAGCGAAGCAGCGATATATCTGTCTGACTTTTCTCAGTGTACCACCTGTTCGGCAATTGTGACGAGTGACTGGGATTGTCAAGCAGCAGCGCATCCAACCACCGACAGGATGGCTGGTTCGTCCCCCGCTCGCCCAAACGGCAACCAGTGGGCAAGCCCTTCCTCGCGATCAGTCATATCCGACATTCTCGCTGGCGACCGCAATTCCGAGGCCCGACATAGACTTCTGATTGAGGCTGCTAGGAGGGAACATGAACGTGTGCGCGAGGAGGCCGAGAGGGTGTACCAGGAACACCTCTTGAGGCAAGAGCAGGAACGTCTGGTCGAGGAGCGGAAGAAAGAGGAGGAAAGGATACGAGCAGAAGAACAGCTTGCTGCTGACCGAAGGAAGCTCAATGCTCTCAAGGCGAAGAAGGTCGAAATCCCGCCCGTCTTGCCCAACCCCGAGCCAGTAAAGGCACCACCTGCAGCCCCGAAGCCTGTCCCAACAGCAACTCCATCACAACCACCCGCGACTCAAGTCAATGGCAATACACTCTTCGGAAAGAAACCCGAGATCCAGCCAGCGTCTGCACCGGCTGCCCCGAAGCCTTTTGGAGGGTTCGGACAGACACCAACGAGTGCGCAACCTGTCACTGCTGTCCTGAAGCAATCAACGCCTGCAGTCGCAGCCTCTTCTCAGCCTGCGATCAGTAACTTGTTAGGGAACAATACCCAGGTCAATGGACTTACCACGTCTGCAACCGTTGCCAAACCACCCGCACCAGCGCCGGCGCAGCAAGGACCCGACCGTCTGACAGTCATTCACAAAAACCTGAAAGAGCTGCGGAAGTCTATGTTGGAGCAAGCAATAGCGAATCCGGCGCTCAAAGCCCGTATGGGAGATATGCGTCGAGAGATCAGGAAGTGTGTTGGACAACTCACGGGAGGCGGCGTAGGAGTCAACCGTCAACAGGTACTGATACCAAACCAACCCTACTCTCATCTTTTTGGGTGGAATACGCTAACGGGACACAACAACAGAATAACATGATTGCTGCTCTATTACGCGAGGCGCTCGAAAACCGCGTACAGTCTCAGCTCGTTGACCCGAACACCTTCCTCACCGAACCACGAGCCCCGGTCCAAGGGCCTACCAACAACGATCCGCAGATCCCGTCCTTGTTTATCTATCTACTGAACGTTTTCGCCAAGGCCACCATCTCCCAGTTCATCAACGAAGGCGGTCCGCGACCGGAGACAGCCGATCCCGTGGGCGTCTGTATTGCCGCCGTATTTTCCGACCCGGCGTTCGCATGGCGTGGGGCTTCCATGATTGACATCCTTCTCGCCAAGTTCCGCGTCGTCTGTCCCGTCCTCTGGGGTTACAGGGGCAGCGAGAAGACAGAGCAAGGACGCGCCAGGATAGGGTGGTGGAAGGAAAACGGAAGATGGGTCACGGAACAGGTACATTTTGACCGCATGACGGGCCTCGGTGCTGGCTTTGCGGCGATATCGTTGCGAAACTTCGGCTCGTCCAAGAAGCAAAACCCATACCCACCACGGCATTACTGGGCGGCCATGGCGAAGATTGTCAACACCCCTTCGGCAGAAATCTCAAACACCCAGTGTGTGGTTCTGAAAGCGATGATCCAGAACTATGAGGAGAAGTTTATCCACGCGTATGGAACCGCTGCGCTTGCGGCATTGAGGACCGCGCTCATTGAGTTCCCTGCTCGGGCGCCGGTCAAGTCCAGTGCCGTCAATTCGTTGCAGGTTGTCCATGACCTGCTCAGGAAGAGTACTGGAGTTGTTCTTGGATAAGTGGTCGTGTAAGGAGCCAGGGACAAGGCTTGTTGTCCCATCACAAATGAAGTCATATCAACGGCGTTCAGGATTTGGTCATTTGAGGTTGTCAGCATCTTGGAAGGATAACGTCTGTCATATGCCGGTTACAGAAGCTTGGTGTTCTATCAGAAGAAGAAGAAGAAGAGGCGGGGCTTCCTAGCGTATTTGACGCTTTCTGTTATATACCCAGCGTATCTACAATTGAGGAAGCGAAGCTCGTAGTGCGCAAACAGAAACAAAGTTCTAGCACAGTAGCGGTTAGAGAGAGCCATATATCGGGCGCAGAATTGAGCATTTGGATGTCTCATACGATGACGCTGACGACCAATGCACGTTTGAAACTGAATCAAAACAGCAACAACTCGCCGTTATCGTGTTCCAGTATTCATTATTGTATTACCGTATACCCGTCCATCATAAAACTGTAGGAGGAAAAGCAAAGTAGGTAACAGGAGAGCCAAGTATCAATACACCCCCCTCAAACTCCTCTTAAACCGGCAGAACCCAAAAAGAAAACAGCCCACCTAACCAACCGAAAACAACCCCGATCCTGCTGCTGCCCAGCCACGAGCCAGCTCACAGAATAAGCAACAAAACCAACAACATAATCAACACAAAGATCAACACCGCAATGCAACAACTGCTCAGCGTGTCCTCGTTGTGCCTCATCACATACGTCAACTTTTGCATCCCCGTCTGCAACCTCCCTCCCACGCGATCCGCCAAGTCGTCCGCCACCTCCAACATCTCCCTCTGCTCCTCCAGCTCGCGGCCCATATCATCCGCCTGCCGCCTCAGCACCCCGACCGTCTGGAACACCCCATCCAGATGCTGGTCCTGCTCGCGCATCATCTGTATTTGCTGCTGGTGCTCGAACTCGGCTGCGTAATCGTCATCTTCTGCGCCGGCGCCGGAGCCGGTGCCGTTTTCACCGTCGGGGATGGCGAAGGAGGATGGGTCTGGTAATTGGTCTTTGTTTTGGGAACCCTTTCCAGAGACGGCTTTGAACGCGAGCTCCTGGCGCATGTTCTCTACCTCGGACCCGACGTCTTGCACGAGGCGCTTGCGCCGCGTGACTTCGTGCGCCGACAGGCCATATTGCGTGGGGTCGCGCTCGACGGCCTTGACGGACTCGACGAGGTCGGCGAGGTCTTCGGCGAGGGAGGAGAGGGCGGATTCGAGGTCGGAGCGGGCCGCGATCAGCTCGGGGGAGTCGGTGGAGGAGGAGGAGGAGCTGAAGAGAGAACGGATGCGCAGGTAGGAGGTGAAGAGGGAACGGGTGGATTGGAGTTGGGTTAGGACGTCCCTATTATTTGAAGTTTGGTTAGTTTGTCAATGTTTTGTGGTGGGTTTGGGTTTCGTTGATTGGGAAAAGGGGGGAGAGGAAGGGTTCGTACTGTTGGACCTCAAGGAAGGGGTCCTCCTCGTTCGTGGAGGACATCATCGCGCTGCTACGAAGACGAGGAGGAGTAAAGTGGTGGCATCAGTTGTCGGTCGCATCAATCGACATGCGCCGGCTTTGTCAATTCCAAGTCGAGGTCGATATTCACTGCATAAGAGTTTGGGGAAGTTGTGGTATAGTAGATGTCCTATTGTGTTTAATTATTCGGGAAGACTAAATGACGTTGCGGCCGGCAGGGTTCACGATCTCGGCGAGACACCTGCCTAGCGGCGCTGTGCATGCAAACGCGCCCCATATTGACACCCCTTTGGGGCTCGGGGTGAGTCTAAAAAGCACTTGTGGTTCTGGACCCGCTGTCGGCTTGGCGTGCGGCACCTCTTTGGCTGCCCCGCTTCTGCAGCGGCGCAGCTCCCGTCTCAGGGCAATCGCAACCGCTGTGAACGAATCCGATGATTCCAGGGGCTCTCGTGAATGGTGACTGCTGCCCCTGTTGTTTTGAGGGGAAAATGTGAGCCCCTTGTCTGACCCAACATGGAATTGGCCACTGCGGGCACGTCTGCACCACAGAAATGCAGAGGAACGGGGGAGGTTGGCGGAGGACGCGCGCTGTCGGTCCGGCTGCAGTGGTTCCAGGTTCCCCAGCGGGACAGTGGAGGGCAGCTCGCCCGATTTGGTAGGTGAAACGTAGCTTCAACGGAGCCGGGGACCGAGAGAATCGTGGTATAATCACGGTCACTGGCGCATTGTCCTTTTTCTTCTCTTTTTCCTCTTCTTCTTCTTCTTTCCCATCCACTCTTTGACTTGGGTTAGGTCATAGTCTTTTCCCATTTCAACCCAAACCATCGTAAACACAGTCAAGATGTTCAGCTTCCGGCGACTCCTCCTCGCCGCTGCGCTGTTCCTCGGCGCGATGCTGCTCTTTGCGCAGTCCGCCGAGGCAGCCAAGGGCCCCAAGATCACCCACAAGGTCTACTTCGACATCGAGCAGGGCGACAAGCCCCTCGGCCGCATTGTCATCGGTCTCTATGGCAAGACCGTCCCCAAGACCGCTGAGAACTTCCGCGCTCTCGCCACTGGCGAGAAGGGCTTCGGTTATGAGGGCTCTACCTTCCACCGTGTCATCAAGCAGTTCATGATCCAGGGTGGTGACTTCACCAAGGGCGATGGCACCGGTGGCAAGTCCAGTACGTTGCTCCCAAGTCCCGTTATGTGCTTGGGTCCATGATATTAACGGGTTATGTGCAGTCTATGGTGAGAAGTTTGCCGATGAGAACTTCAAGCTTAAGCACTCCAAGAAGGGCCTCCTCTCGATGGCCAACGCTGGCAAGGACACCAACGGCTCCCAGTTCTTCATTACCACTGTCATCACCTCGTAAGTTGACACACTCTGGCTGTACGGTCTAGGAAGTGCCCGGTTGACTAATACGCGTTATGTTGCAGTTGGCTCGATGGCAAGCACGTCGTTTTCGGCGAGGTCCTCGAGGGCTACGATGTCGTCGAGAAGATCGAGAACACCAAGACCGGCGCTCGTGATGCTCCTGCTGAGCCTGTCAAGATCGCCAAGAGCGGCGAGCTCGAGGTTCCCCCTGAAGGTATCCACGTGGAGCTTTAAAAAGCGTCTTCTATCCATTTTTGCGAATTCCCAATCCCCTGCCATTTATGTTTTTTCAAACCTGTGTGGGAAAGATCATATAAAAGAGGAAAGGATATAGAAGAAAAGTCTTTGGAAGCCTCATGCCTATCATGGTGTCCCACTTGTGGAATTGGCTGCCTGTTCTTATGACCGTTTACCCGTGTGTATGAGTCCATGTGCTGATGAGTCGGTGTTTTTCTCATCAGGCCTGGAAGGCCAATCCGAATGGGCATCTCCCGCGTACGCAGACGAAGACGAGAAGCTTGCTGCTCCTGTCCCTGTCTCCGATTCCAAGCCTCCTGCTCACGACAGCATCCCCGCCGCCACTGCCGACGACGATGATACTGGTGCCCCTTTGTTCGCCAAGGTCCTCTTCTTTGGCGTGTTGGTTCTAGGTCTTGTTCTGTACATTCGCCTTCGTCGCGCCCCTAAGGGTACGTACGGAAAGGGCATGGAGTAGACAATACCTCGAATGTTTGAGATCTGACAAGGCTGCACAACAGGTAGCTACTGGGGTCTGAGCGGGGGTAACTAGCCCAGACGACTAGGGTAAATTTACTCTAAGATTAAATCATGTGCGTATTTGGATCTTGATCTCAGGGATTATCTTTTCCATATAACAGGAGCAGTGATGGTTGTGGTGATGGTTGCTCTGGCGATGTGGTGGTGTGTCTGTAAGTCGAAGCATAAAGTAGCATCACGTGGACCCATTTTTATCCGTTCGAGTCGCTGGGATATCGAACTTTTTTTGTAGTACAGTACCGACTTGTAAACCACCACCAGGAAAATCTTGAACATCTTTTTTTACAATCGCCTCGAAACTCCGTCTCGACAAATCCAAAACAAATCAAAATCGAAATATTATATTCAACCAAAAATCATCAAGATGAAGGTCATGACACTCAACTTTCTGACCTGCGCGGTCAAGAACTGCAAGTCGTCCAACGACTCGTTCCCGCTGCACCCCAAGGAGGCCGAGCTGGCCAAAGATGATATCGAGATCAACCCTCAACTTCTGATCAATGTCCTGCCCCGCATCGACTGGGCTGCTCTGCGGACCACCTCTACCGAGGTATGTTGAGCTCATTTCATTTTGCTTTTCAATCCGACTCACCATTCCGAACATATCCATCTCACACCTCCCTCCTCACACCTCACTCACCCTCCCACTCTTTCACTGAAACCCCAAAGTCTCTTCTCATCTCCCATGAAATCTCAAACGAGTCCGTTACTAACAAACACAAACACAGCTCGGCTTCCCCACCCTCCCCGAGCAGCCCCCCTCGCCAGAGGACCTCCAGTCCGACGAGGCTCTCCTCAAGGAGCTGCACGAGCTGCTCATGGAGACCCAGATGATGGAGGGCAAGCTCGTGTGCGGTCACTGCGGGCACGAGTACGCCGTCAAGAACGGCGTGGCCAACTTCCTCTTGCCTAGCCACTTGGTATGAGCGAAGCGCGAAACGGGGTGTTTTCATGGACTGGTTGGATCATTAGATCGGTTGGAGACCGGTTGGAGAATATCCAATCGAGAAAGCTTCATCGGATGATCAGCGAGTGGTATGGATGAAGAAGCGGCTCTCACCATCGGGGAACGCGATGCTTGGCTGGCTACATACGGAGGAGCCATGAATGAGTGCTCTGGGTGACTGTTGAGGGTTGATCAAGGGCTACAGCATCGAGTTGTCCTTGAAGAGGACGATGAGTGAGAGGGGTTTGGAGGATCGGGAAAACCTTTTCTTGAGGGGCGGCTATTTCAGCATTTTACTTGTTCACTTTCAAGGCGTTCTGTGAGGGAAAATATCAATAGAGGATTACCTGGCAATATCAGCGGCATACAAAAAGGAATTCATTCACCAAGCGACGACAGATTGAAGGATTCAACACATATTTCGTGACTGTCATTGCTCATGTGTACATTCTTGTTTTCATTCCCATCTTCTGTTGTTCTAGTGTACGAATGCGCAATGCTTTAATGATACTCAACCAAGAACAAGAACCCTCGAACTCCGACCTGACCCCAAAACCCATATAGCATGATTTTACAGCAAAACAAAACTTTCGTTCTACCGTATGCGCATCTGTTATTCGTTGCATCCCAAGCCCTAAAAAAGCTAAGAACAAGACCTCCAAGTAGTTTACTGCTGCTTCTTCTGCGCAGCCGGTCCCATCTCCTTGTCGAAAGCGCCATATGAGACTTCGAGACTACCGAGAGCCTTCAGTCCGACGCCAAGGATGGAGAGCATGACGATGAGAGCGATCAGGGCGACGAAAATACCTGATTCAGTGTCAGTCGAGTATCTGTGCAAAACTACGGCTTGGAGAGTAACATACCAGGAGTGAAGAACTGATACTTCACAAACAGCGGGCGGTTATCATATGTGGTGTTGCCATTGTCCTTGCCCTCCTGAGAGCCAAAATCTCCACGCTTGAGATCCATATGGACTGGCTCGATAAAGTCAGGCTGGTAGGCCTTGAACTCGTTAGGGTCTGAGACCATGACAAGGGTATAGTCGCTCTCGAGGGTGTCGAGCATAAGACCCAGCTGATCGTCTGTAGTTGCACATGTTAACATGAGTCCAGACCTAATAGCCAACTCGCGATCCGAACTGAACATACCATTAGAGGCCAGAATTTGCTCCCTCTTATCCTTGTGCTCCAAGGAAGGCAGATGCGTGAGATCAACCTTGACGATACCGGCAACCTTCCCCTTGCCCGCGCAGGCTTCCTTCACATAATCCTCCAACGAATGGGTTGAGAGGTCACCGACTACCTCCGCAACGCTGAACCGGCCCTGGATTTCCTTGCTGGCGATTGTGTCGCATAGACTACGCATTTTGCAGTGAGAGCCATCGCGGATATCGGCGGCGTGCACGTTCGGCTGGGAGACGATAACGTAGTCCCTCGTGGGACAAGAGGAGAGGATCTCCTTGGCGGAAGCAATTACTTGATTGCTGGTCTGGAGCTGATCGTATTTTTCGGGTGTGTTGAGCCTGGTAATCACAGTTTCAACCGGTCAGCATCATCAGTTCGAATCAAGCATGAATGCGCAAGGTGGTTTGGATGTGGCACAAGAATCATGATGGCGCGAAGGCAAGGGACACCACTCGCGGCGACAATTGGACATGACGTACTTGGAGGTGGAAAAGAGGACAAATGGTGAAGAGTCAGAAAAGGCATGCACCGCCGTGTAGGCGAGCAGAGTTGTTGCTATTGAGAGTTGCATGGTTGATAGGTTATGCACACCTCTCTCCGATGTCGTCGTCGTCGTTGGTTGTTGTGTTGGAGATGCGAATGGTGTAGTGTACAACCGGTAGCGTGGTGTAGCTCCAGGATCCAGACTGGAGCCCGGGAGCGTGGATGTCACTGCACTTGGGAGAGTGCCTGGCGTCTGCTGCATGGGATTGGGTGCTGGACGTGCGACCGAGCGGCAGGCTATGGGCGGCTTGACGCCACCGTCAGAGGTGGGGCGGTAAGAAAGGGCAGAATCCGATAAGGCCGCTTCCTGCATCGAGTGAACCTTCGAACAGGGGGGGTGCTATCAGTAAATTTACAGTTGACCTAGACCCGTCGCTACATTCAAACATCCATCCTTCCCGTCCTTACCTCGACTTCTTGTTCTCTCCACACCACACAACGAACCAAACGAACTTTCCACCCAAACTCAACGTCATAATGGAGAGGGACCCAGCATTCTTCGCCGCCCCAAGGCCCAAAAAGGAGGGGCTCATTCCGCCACCCAAGAAGCGCAAGACGGTGCACAAGGTCGAGGAAATCACATTCGACAAGGACGCCCGCACCGAGTATCTTACCGGTTTCCACAAGCGCAAACAGGCCCGCATCAAGGCTGCGAAGGCGCAAGCAGAGGAAGAGGCACGGCTGGAACGAATCAGGTTGAGGAAGCAGGTACGTACTGGACGACCGCTGTTTCTTTCCTGTTCCATGGCAGCAATTCTAATCTACGGCGGGTACAGATCAGAGAGGAGCGCCAGAAGAACCTCGAGGAACATATCCAAACAGTGCACAAGCTTCTCCACGAGGCAGAGCGTGCCGGCACAGACGACAAAACCGCCGAGAAGAAGTCAGACGACGAGTGGGACGGGATATCCGAGGACGAAGTAGCGGAAGAGCCTGCGCTTGATGTTGAGGAGGAGTACATCGATGAGGACCGCTACACGACCGTGACAGTAGAAGCTGTCAGCGTAGATAGGGACGGCATCCACAAACCACGGACTTTGAAGGACGAAGAAGATTCCGAGACGGAGAAGAACAACAAGAAGAAGAAGGCGGCTGAAGAGGCGGCGCAGCAAGAGGCCGACAAGAAGTCAAAACGAAACTTCCCCGAGAAAAAGAAGAAGAGGAAATTCACATACGAAAGCCGGCATGACCGAAACGTCACAGAGAGGAAACAGAGGGCAAAGAAAGCGAAGCGGTCGTAATAGGTTAGATGATGAAGGAAATAATCTACCGCTGTTCCTGACAGCGGTTTCCCTTACAATATTTAGATCTTGTTTAAGTACAAAATGTGCAATGCTGGGATGATGGATTATGCTTTGAACTAGTAGGGTAATATGAGTTGTACGAGGAAGTGAGATGACGGTTTGGCTTGTCCGTCTTATCTCCCCATCCGACAACCCGAGGACAAACGGCATAAAGGGTCAGGCTGATATTCTCGATGCGGTGACGCTGTGAACAAACGTAAAGAAAGGAATTTCCACCATGTTCCGACTGCATCTGTTAACCAACTTAGATGTTGGCAATATCGGCCTGGAACTCCTCCAAACTCTTCTGTACCTCGGCGTACTTCTTGGCCATCTCCTCGTACTTGGACTCCCACTGGTCGCGCTCGTTCTCGAGGGCCTGAACCTTGCGCTCGAAGTGGCCGGCCTTGACGTCGGTCTGGCGAAGCCTGTAAAGGGAGAAAAACAGCACGTTAGTCTAAGCTGCCGCAAAGAAAAGGGGTTCAGGGGCACAGGGGGGTCAGGGCCCCCAGTCTCATCGTCCGGGAGCGGGTGTATTTCGATGCGAACGTACTTCTCGTTGGTCTCGCGGAGAGTCTTGTCAGCCTCCTCGGCCTCCTCTTCAAGAAGTTGAAGTCTCCGTGTCAGCGTCTCGTTCTGAGTGCCAGTCTGCGCGCCATCCTCGGCGGCGCTCTTCAACTCCTTAACCTGGGTCTCAAGCTTGTCCACCTCACTTTCTAGCACGCTGTTCTTGTGGGAGAGGGAGGTGATCTCCTGCTCCTTCTGGAGGTTCTCCTGCTCGAGGACCTTGATCTTGGACTGGAGGTCCTCGACCTTGGCCGCAGCCTCGTCAGCCTCGAGGCGGAGCTGGTTCATTTTCTGCAAACATGATCGCGCTGGTCAGCATTTTGTCGACAAAGAGCATCGCAATGGTAGTATCGAGCGGTCGCGGGCATGTTTAGACCTTGACGGGCAGGCCTGGGAAACACGGATGTGGTGGTGGCCGTAGCTGACTGTTGCTCCCATTAAGGGGTTACGCATCGCTGGGCAGTTGGTGGGGTCCACAACAGGGATCAAGCTCTCGAAAGCGGTGATGTTTCTTACCTCCTTGATGCGATCCATTGTGTCGGTATTAGGTGTTTGTGAAGTAGAAAGGTGTGATTAGAAGAGCGCGATGGTGCGAGTTGAATTGTATCTCGAGTGCGAAAAGGGCAGCTTATGAAGATGGTGTGGATGTGTGGTTGGGTTGATGGAAGGGAAGAGGAGAAGTGGAAGGTAGCGGACAGATGATAGTGGGTTTCCAATATGGGAGTGCCCCTCCCCTCCATAACGGCTGCCTGCGTTGTCTCCCTCGCCTGCCGTGACTTGGGAGAGACGGGAACCATACATCGTGCCCAGATCGGGGGTCCAGCTGGTCCTGTTGACCCAGTGCATCAGTGCGCCAGCGGGCGGTCTGGCAAGTCTACCCATCTGAATGGGCTGTCCCGCTGTCTTTCAATTTCCATCCCCATCCACTGGGACTTGTCGGTCTGGTCCCAGGGCATCTCCTGGAATCCAACAAGGGGTCGGCTCAAAGTGGGGCAAGTCAAGTTGACCAACTCACTCCGTTGCTCAGCCAACGCTTCGCCCAATTCACCCACAAACAGACCGACGGCTCCAAGCACTTGAACTGAAGAGCATACAATTTACTGGACCCTTTCTCCGCGCAACCTATATACGACTTCACAGAATTTCGTCTGTCTGGGAGCAATCCCGTAGCAACACAACAAGATGTTGGCAGCACATCAAGATCAAGAAAATCGCATCGCGCATCAAGCTGGCAACGCCAAACAACTTCCAGCAAAGACACCCGGCGCTTTGTACCCGAAAACGCCGTTGAAGGTCCCACTCAACGATGAAAACACCACTCGAGTGTTTGCCGGAAAGGGCACGGTTGCAAAAGGCGATAATGGCTTCACCAAGGGAACTCGGGCAAACATGATGACGCCCGGTGAGTACTCTTGATCCCTTTCCACGGTTGTAAGAGGTTGGTTGCGCAAAGAATATGGGTTAACCATCATCACAGCCCCTCGAACTGCCAGAGCACCGCTCGGGAACAAAACCACCAACGCAAAGGCAAGAGCGGCACAGCAAACCGGTGGAGGCAAGGAACGAGGCGGCGATCTCAAGTCAACCGTGAAGCCAACGACGACCCTTCGTCAAAAGCAAGCCGCACCGCAGACCCAAGACCCCAAGCTGGACGTGCATGTCGATATCAAGCCGAAAAGTGACCAAGAGGAGGAGATCGAGTACTGTCCTCCCCCGGCCCAGGACCTCCCGTACGAGTCCGACGTCCTCCCTGCGCACGCCTTGACCTTCGAGTCGTTGAAGTCCGAGAACATGTTCAAGGGATATTACGAGTATTACTACAAGAAGGTGGACGACAATGGAATGACAGCCAAGGAGAGGGAAATGGCAGAGCGGCAACAACGCGACTTTGCACGCGGCGACGAACAAATCAAGAAAGACATGGAGGAGTTCGACTGGAGCATTGGCGACATCCCTGAGAGCAAGGATCTCTTTAAGAAGACTCAAGTGGACGCAACTGCAGTTGCTCGCTCCGGAGAAACCAAGAAGATTGGGCGCCTACCAAGCAGGCCGCCTAGTACATTGGTAGCCCGAAGAGCTGCTTCCGCTCTGTCCCATACTTCCGCGAGGGAACGAAGCATATCCCGCCCACAATTGAATGGCAAGCCCTCTTTGACGGCCATTAACAAAGGCAGTCTCTTTGCGCGCAAGCCGTCTCTATCAAACGCAAGTCACGCCAGAACCCTGTCGAAGGATCGTCCAACCTCCAGTGCAACATCCCGGAACACTCTAGGATACACCAGAGGCAGATCTGTTTCCGAGGCTGCAAGGCCGGCCAGCGCTGCTGCCAGTAACCAACAGCAATCTGGGCCAAGGCCTCGCACTTTCTCCCGCACCAGCAGCTTGGTGTCGAATGGGTCAGAAAGCACCATCACGCCAGCGCGGTTTGCGCAGGCCCAGACAACACAAGAGTTTCAGAAGCCACTCGGGCTTCTCTCCATCTTCACCCATGATGAGGAAGAAGAGCACAGTGACCATGAGACTGTGCCACATTTTGACGATTCCGACGATGATTTCCAACTCTCTACCGACTTCTGAGCACAGGCGTTCGTTGCAGGTCGACCACTTACTGGGCAGCCTTTCGGTTCATTTCTCTACATGAGTGGCGTTCGTGTTTTATTGTTACGGAGTTGAATGACTGGGTGGTAAAATGGATTATTACGATGGTTGGTTGGTTGGTTGGTTGGTTGTTTGATTGGCCTGGTCGGTTCTTTTACGCACTATGCGATGTTAAGATCAAGCGCCTCTATGCCCGGTTGGCATTGGGAATGGGTTGGTTCCATGGTGTGGAATATTCATTGTCGGAGCAAGCATGATTGATTTGGCGTCGATTGGGAAGAAAGGCAAATAAATGGCTATAATGATGATGTTCCCACACCTTGTTCGGTGTTGGGAATTTGTAACCGTATAGGCTGTCATATGGCAGTGCAGGGAACAACAACCTTGTGGTTTTTACTATATTCAACAATGAGACGATTTTAGCACTCTGTGTAAACAGCAGAAAGCGAGTCTTTGAACCTTGCTATTGTTAGCTTAAACTTGGAACAAATTGCAGTTTCCGGTCGTCAGTTGTTGGTATTGCATGCGATTGTCACCAACACATAGTCTTGAGCCAACAGCTCCAACAGAAGTGTTCTTCAGACTTCAATCCCTTTGTGGTGATGGAGACAAACAACATAGTTGTGCGAAGATGCAATGACGCAGTTGGTTGTAAGGGAAATGGTAAACCGACAGTGGACACAGTGACATGTGGATGCTCTACCCCGGGCCTCTTTGCGCTTTCACGTTCTTGGCGGAAGACACCAGACGCGACAAATGAAGCGCGACACGGGCTTTAATTGCTGATGCACAGACCAGCTGGATGCTTGGCGCAGGACGGACCTGAGAGTAGCTTTCCGCTTTTGGCTTAGCAAATCCCCTTATCCGCCTGCCGCCATTGATTGCTCTTCACACCCGACGCTTCTTTCAACTTTCAGCGGCCGGCGCACAACCCGGTCTGCGCTGCCCATGCCCTTGTGCCCTTGACGCACCTCCTTGAACACTCTCAAACTTTCGACTTCATTCAATCCCGCCACGATTTTGCACTGCTCACAACCATCGTCTCCCAGCGTTTTCCGTGTCGCCGACGTCAGCAGGGCTCGCCGTCTTTATTTGATCCAGATTCATTCCTTCCTTCGCACACAATCGAGCTCACCACGCCCTCATTCGCTGCCCCGTTCACCAGCCAGTCACCCCCCCGTTCAGCGTCCAGCGTCAGCGCCCGCCCTGATCGGCAAAAGCCCAGTCCCGCCCGTCCTGTCGCGTGGTTCTCTCTCGCTCTGCACGCGCGCGTGATTCTCCCCTTCAAAAAGTTATCGCAGCTCACGTCGCCCTCGACTTCGGCCACGGCCCAGCTCAATCCGCCCGCATCGATCCCCTCATGCATGCTATCTCGCAGTATCGCCGACTCGAGTGATGATGGTAGGAGGAAGGCGGGAGAGGTAGACGTTCCCCATTCTCGCAATGTCTCGGTCGTCCGGTGCGAGTTTCGCTCAGTTCTTCCCTGCCGCTCCGCGGGCTGCCAGGGACAGAGCTACGGAGCGCGAGCGGGCAAGACTGAGAGCGCAAGCTTCTCCGCCCACGCAGCCAGTTGACACGAACGGTCATCGCACTCCCTTGTCCTCATTCACTTCCAACCGATCTGATGACGGAGCCAGTCCTGGCCGCTCACACATAACCTCTCTCAATCACAGCTCATCCGCCGGTGCTGACGCAACCCGCCCTCCGCTTGAAGATACCGAGTCGCTGCCCGGCGACACGCTAAACACGGTTGGCTCTGCAAGCTCGCATGCGAGCACAAGCTCATCCATCTTCAGTTCCTCCACGCGACAGCTCGCCATGGCCTCAGCTTCAGTGAGGAACTCTCACACTCACAACTCCACCACCCCTCTCACAACCGCCGACTCACCGTCATCCTTATATCTCTCTACATCCCTTCATGCGAAGCCGCACTCCGTCTCGCCCCATCATGCCGACAAGCAAAACGGCCTGACACCGACACTCAATGGCTCGGCCACTGAGTCCCTCGTCCCTCTACCTGACGGTACCGAACGTGTCCCTCCCCGCGACCCTAGTCGCTCCGTCTTGTGCACCATATGCACATATGATCCTCTCCTGGACAAAAAACTCTCGAGCTCCGAAAAGAAAAAGGCGAAACCTATATATAAGGATTATGGCTTGGTACGTACACTGAACACGTCGGCGTGGAGGGGGGAGCGTCATCTTTGTGAATCAATTGGCTAATACTGCTTATAGAACGATGAAGATGACGCTCCCCCTTCAGATCCACGCCTGGCGCACGGCGGGAAACTCAGCTACATCAACGTCAACTTTCACCTCCCTAAAGCCCAATTGATCGATGCGCCGAGCAACCTGAAGCCCTATCCATATGACCCCAAGACCTCCTGTGGCCCCGGACCCCCAGTCCAAATTCTTGTGAGAGGCTTCAATCCTTTGATCGCCTTCACAAAGGTCACTACCATATTCGCATCCTTCGGCGACATTGCGGAAAGCAGCAACAAGATGCACCCAGAAACGGGAAGCTATCTCGGCTTCGCGACGATCCGGTACAAAGACTCGAAACCGACCCCTTCGCGACCCGTACCTGTTCCTGCTCATCAAGCTGCCAGGAGAGCTGTCCGAGGAATGCACGGGAGGAGGATAGAGGCCAACCAAGTCCGCGTCGAGTTCGACCCCGAAGGCCGAAAGAGCAAGGCCTTGATGGAGGCTGTTCTTAAAAAGAGCAGGGAAACATCGCAGACCCCAAGCGCTGCCTACAAGATTCCTACCGGGCCTAAACCAAGAGCTGGGGAGGTTATCCCCGGACCGCCGCCAACGGCCCCCAAAGGCCCAGCAGCGCACCGAGCCCTCGGAGGCTCCGAAGCCGGTTGGACCTCAACCAAGCCTCGACATCCCAGCATCATCGAGACCGAACCGATCATCAATCACATTAAGAGCGAGCCGTATATTTTTGTGGCGCACGAGTATGTTCCAGTGATGCCGACAACTGTGGCTCATATGAAGAAGCGGCTCAAGCAATATGGGTTTGATGACATTCGTGCGGATAGGACGGGCTACTACATTATCTTCCGCGATTCCCATTATGGCCGGGACGAAGCAAGCAAGTGCTATAATTCCGCCAACGACACAGCATTCTTCACATACAGCATGGTCATGGAGCTTCACCTTTTCGGTACGGTGGGCAAAAGCTCAAGGAGCTCTGAGGACCATCGCAGGCACAGCTATAGTTCGGAGAAAAGGCCGCCACCCGAGCACCGACAACGTGATGATCAAGATCGGCGTCGCCGTGATGAAGAGGCGGACATTGAGGAGGAGAAGAAACAGCGGGCCAAGAACCTCGATCCAGTTAAGGAGGCTGCCGAAGTAATACGACGAGAAATGACGGAGCATTTACTCAAGACCATCCGTACCAAGATCACCCTTCCCGCAGTCTTCGACTATCTTAACCCGGTCAATCATGCCGCAAAGCGGCGTAAGCTTAACATTGATGACTCCCACAGTGGTACGATTCCATCGATTGTCTTCGATGATTCTGAAGACAGATCTTCTCCAGTTGGTACTCCGAACTCGAGAGCCGACCCAATCGAGAGGCGTACGGCTCGCGCTGATGTTTCAACATTACGGGTCCGAAAGCTGAAGAGCAGGGGACTGAATGCTCGAAAACATGGATTCAACGATCCGTTTGCGCGAGCACGACCCACGCAACGAGTAGATCTCCGGTCTCTGCATCATCGTCTTAACTCCGATAGTGACGATGATTCTGATGATGGTGTGGATAACCGATATTCTATGATCCGGGACACAGAGGAACCGGAGTCTCGGCCAAGGAGCCGTATGAGTTCGGAGGAGGACCGGAACAAAGAGGAAATTGGGTCCTGGGTTGCTGGTGAAGACGATTCAATGACGGAGGCCAGCTTCGCTCTTAACGATACATCAGCCCTGCTAAAGAAGCGAAAACTGGACCTTCCAGTAGAAACGGCTATCAAGCGGCAAAAGAAAGCTGAGGAGCTCTTCGAGGCGACTATCACACGCATCGAGACCGAACTGCCTTCACAGGAGCAGGCTGTGGAGTCTGCTACCCTCCCAGGCATCGAAGCTCCATTGGATGGCCTACCTGACGCCGACGTTAAAGCCGAACCGGCAGAGGACAAGGAGACTGATGACTCGCGGTTGCCAACCCCTATACCGGACAACACAAAACCGAAGAAGAAGGCCAAAGCCAAGAAGAAATCCAAAAAGCAGATCTTCGAGGAGCGCGAGGCGCTCAAGAAGCAGCAACAGGAGATATTTGAGAGAGAGGCTCTTCGGGCCGCCGGGATTGAAGACATTGAAGCTACCCCGGACGTTGAAGCGAAATCCCAGGTTGGTGAACCCGAACCTGTACCTGAACCTGAACTCGAAACAAAAGGGGAAGCCCCCGAGGCTCCTCCGACAGAAAGCAAACCTGATCTGGATCCTGAATTGTACCCATCCGAGGCCGTTGACGCTCTCGTCCTACCCAAGGATTTCCACTTGGATATTGGAACCCTGAAAGTGGTGCCATTACAAGGCGAGGATGGGCCAGATACCCAGAGGCTCCAAAGAAAGTTTGGTACCGGTAAGCTTGGATGTGATGCTGAGCTGTGGCTCTGGAGACGGAGTCGTATCCGGCAACTCAACTCGGAGGATGGGTCAACGGATAAACCCGTCGGAATTGGCGGTTATTATGTGCCGAATCCGACTGGATGTGCCAGGACCGAGGGTGTCAAGAAAATTCTCAACTCTGAGAAGTCCAAGTATCTTCCCCATCATATCAAGGTCAAGAAGGCCAGAGAAGAGCGGGAAAAGAATGCCAAGAACGGAAACACCAACTCTGTCGCTGCTGCCGCAGAAGCAGCCAGGCTCGCAGCAGATAGCCTGGTGGCCAAGGGCAATTCGCGTGCCAACCGTGTCAACAACCGCCGATACGTTGCGGAGATCAACGATCAGCGGAAGAACTTTGGGCAAGATTCGGATGTCTTACGGTTCAACCAGCTTAAGAAGCGAAAGAAGCCAGTGAAATTTGCCCGGTCCGCCATTCATAACTGGGGTCTTTACGCAATGGAAAATATCAACAAAGATGACATGATCATCGAGTACGTTGGTGAGGAAGTCCGACAGCAGATTGCCGAACTTCGCGAAGCCAGATACCTCAAGAGCGGCATCGGTAGCAGCTACCTCTTCCGCATCGACGATAACACCGTTATTGATGCGACGAAGAAGGGCGGTATTGCCCGATTCATCAACCACAGCTGCATGCCCAATTGTACAGCCAAGATCATCAAGGTGGAAGGGAGCAAGCGCATCGTTATCTATGCGCTCCGCGACATTGCTCAGAGTAAGTCTTCATGGTAGAAAGCGGCATGAGATGTAGTGAGAAATCGAGCTAACGCGGCGTGTTATAGACGAAGAGTTGACGTACGACTACAAGTTCGAGCGTGAGATCGGAAGCACGGATCGTATCCCCTGCTTGTGCGGAACAGCAGCATGCAAGGGTTTCCTCAACTGATCTAGCAACATACGATGCGCTTGGTATAGCAACAACGACAGTCAAGTCTCTATATGCTTTGGATGCTGAGCATTCCTCATGATGGTGGAGGTCGATCAACTGGGCACGACAAACAGCAAGGTGGTGGAAGATGGATGGTGTCAAAGACGGGTCGGTTTGATATGGGCAACAAAGCGGGCTGGTTTCTCCTTTCCTTGCCTCTTATGAGTTGCACTTCTTTCCTGGTTATGCTTATCTCTTCCTGACGAGCGGACAATTAATCACCGATTACCCTGCCACGCTTTGGTTATCATCATTCGGGTTCATTTTTTTTTCTTTTATGGCCGTCTGGAGGGTAGTTGCCACGGAACCCGTCCAAACTCGCAGCAGCCTTTCTCCCTATATACCGTGTGCACTTTTCGCAAGGGTCATTTTGTTTGGGATAGGCCTCAAAAACTAGGCGGATGGAAGGACTCGGACGGTTCTTGAAAATGGGGTTCGTATGCTTTCCCTCTACTTTGCTGCGTGGGGTGCCTCTTGCCTTGGTCAAATTTGGGTGTGTTTTTCACGGTGATCTTGGCGTTTGTTAGAGGATCTCTTGGTGTTGCGGTATTATGGGGACGGTATCTGGCTATGATTTGGGATGGTTGAACACGGTTGGCTCCCCGAGACAAAAGGCACAGGCATGGGATATTCTGGGTGACAGGTTCAAGGTTATGGCCCTTCCATCGGTTATACTCAGCTTCAGTTTTGAAGGCGTGAGAGATTAGGCTAGGCGGTCGACCCCTTTTCAGCATCATGACACTGGTCTATATAGACCTGGCTTAATCCACATGGAGTTGACCGTCAGAGATGAGAGGGAAACGGGTAAAAAAATATCATTTCAGCTGAGACAAAAGAGGTTATTTAGTAGATGGGTTGCGCGTTGACGATGACTGGTCGCGTAATTGGGCCACTTACAATATCTGAATATGAATAGGTTATCTAAATCTAGACCATACCATCGCTCCCCAAAGTGCCACCAGGTTGATTTGCGGTTCATCAAGCGAAGTCTACTTTATAGACATTTTGAGTTTCTGATGAAGTGGGAATGTCGGACGTTGAACAGCGGTTCACCCCTTTTCACTTGGTTGGGCGGGGGTCCTCAAACACAGGGGGGCTTGTTTACTTCCAACATGTGTTCCTCAAATGCGCCACTGCCTGCACGATAAAACGAAACATCTGCCTGACGAGACAAGCTCCAAAATCACTTCGCCAGTTTGCCAAACCTCGTGTCGAAGAGTCTATTTGGCAAAGATACACAATACCACCAGGACTGTACCTGAGACCAAGTACCTTCAGTTCGACCATAAGCGTGCGCACTGCCCGCCTAACACCGACCGTTCATTGACACCTTCCCGCACGACACGTCTGCATATCCATCCAGCAGGGACCTGACAGACAGATTGCATGCAGGCGGGATTCAGGCCGCGGTTGAAGGCGCGACCTTCGCTTGTTGACCTGCTGGTTCATGCCAGCAGAAACAGCGGTCCCAACTCTCCCACTTGCAGCGAGAGCGGTCTTGGAACAGGCGATTACTGGGACAAGAGGGACAGCAGTCCGGGCAAGAGCAGCCTTAGGAGTTGGAGCGAGCGGGATGACAGAGGTACTGCTAGGGGCCACTTACAGCAGGAGTTTGTATCATGGCCTCCACAAGTGGTGGGATCGGCGGGGTCATGGTTGGAGAGCGACGGGGATCCAGATGGGGAGCAGCTGCCACTGTCCCTCCCACTACGCGGGCGGCTGCGGCTGCGGCCTGGGGTGCCTCACCTCGTCACCACCATCCCAAATTCGGCGGCTCTGCTTGACCAAGCTTCCAACCTCCCACTGCCACCATCACCAACCAAACCGTCCTCGGATCCCTCAACACCCACATTGCAGCTCGATACGCCTGCCCGCACATCACCCGAGCGACCCGCGCACAAACATATACCTACAGTCATCGTTACCTCGGATTCCCCTCGACCTCCTCTGAAACCTACCTCCGCGCCAATTGCTCTTTCGCCCAAGATGGCTCCCGTAAGCTTCGCCCCATCATCCCCCTCTTCTCGGCAACGCGTCGCCTCACATCGCAAACCACCAACATACCATCGCATACCTCCTATCAGACCTTATGTACGACTTTGCCTGCTGACATTGCTTCTGAATAGCAACAAAACGGCGCCGAGAAGGATGGCATCCATACCGGTAAGTGTCCAGTTGGCGACCTCGTGTAACTGCTAGACACTAACAGCTCACAGGCAAGATCTACTCCGTTTCCGGGTACGCTCCCCATCGCAGCCTACCTCCTTGTCTCTCGGCCAGTTCGCTAACCGATAGACCCAAAGCCCCGTCGTCGTCGCCGAGGATATGATTGGTGTTGCTATGTATGAGTTGGTATGGTTATACACTTGTCCTCCGCCACTGGTGGGGTGCCTGAGCTGAGACTGGAATTAGGTGAAAGTCGGCCACGATCAACTAGTTGGTGAAGTCATTCGCATCAATGGCGACCAAGCGACTATCCAAGTATACGAAGAGACGGGTAAGGATGGCGACCCCCAAGTCATACCATCCTTGCACTAGATGGCTAACAAGTCCCTTGATAGCTGGCGTCATGGTTGGCGATCCCGTACATCGGACAGGCAAGCCTCTCTCCGTCGAACTCGGCCCCGGTCTCCTAAACAACATTTACGATGGTATTCAGCGCCCCCTCGAGAAGATCGCCGAGGCTGCCAACAGCATTTACATTCCCCGCGGTATCGCCATCCCTGCGCTGGACCGTAAGAAGAAGTGGGAGTTCACACCGACCATGAAGGTTGGCGATCACATCTCGGGCGGTGACGTCTGGGGTACCGTCTACGAAAACTCGTTCATCTCCGTTCACAGGATCCTGCTCCCTCCCAGGGCCCGTGGTACCATCACCAGAATCGCTGAGAAGGGCGAGTACACCGTTGAGGAAAAGATCCTGGAGGTCGAGTTCGATGGCAAGAAGACCGAATACCCCATGATGCAGACCTGGCCTGTTCGTGTACCGCGCCCTACGACCGAGAAGCATTCCGCCAACCAGCCTTTCCTTGTCGGCCAGCGTGTGCTCGACGCTCTCTTCCCCTCCGTCCAGGGTGGTACTGTTGCTATCCCTGGTGCTTTCGGCTGTGGCAAGACTGTCATTTCTCAGTCCGTCTCCAAGTTCTCCAACAGTGACGTTATCGTATATGTCGGTTGTGGTGAGCGTGGTAACGAAATGGCTGAAGTCTTGAAGGATTTCCCCGAGCTGTCTATCGAGGTCGACGGCCGCAAGGAGCCCATCATGAAGCGCACAACCCTCATCGCCAACACCTCCAACATGCCCGTCGCCGCCCGTGAAGCCTCCATCTACACGGGTATCACAGTCGCCGAGTACTTCAGAGATCAGGGCATGAACGTTGCCATGATGGCTGACTCTTCGTCCCGTTGGGCTGAGGCGCTCAGAGAAATTTCCGGTCGTCTTGGAGAAATGCCGGCTGATCAGGGTTTCCCCGCTTACCTTGGTGCCAAGCTCGCCTCCTTCTACGAACGTGCCGGCAAGGTCGAGGCTCTTGGTAGCCCACCGCGCGAGGGCAGTGTCAGCATTGTTGGTGCTGTCTCTCCCCCCGGTGGTGACTTCTCTGATCCCGTCACATCTGCCACCCTCGGTATCGTGCAGGTCTTCTGGGGTCTCGACAAGAAGCTTGCGCAGCGCAAACACTTCCCGTCCATCAACACCTCTGTCAGTTACAGCAAGTACCTCACGATCCTCGACAAGTGGTACGAGAAGGAGTACCCCGACTTCCCCCGCCTCCGCGACCGCATCCGCCAGCTCCTTTCCGACAGCGAAGAGCTCGACCAGGTCGTCCAGCTGGTCGGCAAGTCGGCGCTCTCGGACCCCGACAAGATCACGCTCGACATGTCGACGCTCATCAAGGAGGACTTCCTCCAGCAAAACGGCTACTCAGACTACGACCAGTTCTGTCCTATTTGGAAGACGGAGTGGATGATGAAGCTCATGATGGGATTCCACGACGAGGCGCAAAAGGCCATTGCCCAGGGCCAGAACTGGAACAAGGTGCGCGAGGCCACCCAGGACCTGCAGGCCCAGTTGAGGAGTCTCAAGTTCGAGGTGCCTAGTGAAGGACAGGAGAAGATCTGCAAGAAGGTATGTTTCGGAGTTTTTTTTTCTAGTGCTTGTTCATTGATCGTACGGCTAATCATTTCATGTGTTACAGTACGAGGCGATACAGCAGCAGATGCTGGACAAGTTCGCGTCTGTTATTGATGAGTAAACGCCCGGCGCGGGGATATACGGTAGTTGAGTTAGCATAGAAGGAACGAAGCAAGCATGCATGCATGGACTGCCTGTCTGTATGGGGTTCATTGAAATGAAAGGAGAGTACACATGAAATGGATTGATAGGATGATGATGAAAGACTGTTCTAGTTGGTTTCTTTCACTTTTATGAGTAGTTCGTCGTCGTTGTTGAAGTGGTAGTTGTGTATGTTGCTCACTTGTCACGGAACCCTTGGTACCTCTTGCTTTCGAGCGCCATGCTATTATCTTCTCTTGGGTGCGCTTTTGTCTTACACAGACAGCTATACCAACCGTGCTTTGAACCACTTGGTCGTATGTATATACCCTCGCTTGCCTCTAGAATACTGGCTTACTTCAACCCTGTGCATACCTTTTTTAGTCACAGTAGGTCAGTGTTTTAGTAGATTCTGGGTAAGTTGGTGTATTGTTCAACTCGTCATCATGGTCATTAATTTCATTCTATGTGCTCGTCATATCCATCGTTACAGTAGTTGGGTACTAGTGCCCCCCCTGGTGGTGGTACAAGAAAACTTCCGTTCGCAAAAGACATGGCCGACACAGACAGCGTGAAGATCAAATCCCTTCATCGTTCAACTTTCGCATCCAGATATTTCCAACACATCAAATCCAACATCATCGCTGCCATCCGATCTGGTAAGATCCGGCAAGATCTGATCCGACCCAACCGGCCGGGTTACCTGACACGTGTCGTATGCCGTCCGTCATGCCTCCCTCGGCTCCGGCTCCGAGCCTCTGATGGATACCCTTTTTTCGCAGGGGGTTTCTTCCTTGCTAAAGGACCAAACTTCTCCCGAGGCTGTCGTCGGTCGGGCCGAGCGAGTTAACAGGGCTGGCAGTGCGGTTGCTTGTTTGCAGGATTTTCCGACTGTCATGTTCCGACACTTCTACCAACGGCTCGGTCGGTTTATTGCGATTTTGAATGAGGCCGGCAGTTTGCACCCTTCGCTTGGAACGGTGTGTGATACCCGAGATATGTTCCTGCTGGTGGTGGTGCCGCTGACTTCCATGACATACGGTGGTGGTCCACCATTGTTCTTTCAGTCAGTCCGACAAGTATTTGATCACACCTCCGGTTCCGGTTCCGTGAATCCCGTGAATTGGGTCGAGGGTCGCAACGGGAAATGGTGGTTGGTTGGTTGGTTGGTTGGTTCCAGAGGGCAGAAGGGAATGGTGCGTACACGGTTTCGTACTCGTAGATATGCATATCTGATTGCTGTTACAATGATTGGTATCGATATCGACAATTGCGCTACTCTCGTGTCGTGTCGTGTCGTTGATACCGTCGTGATCTCGGGTAGGTCTCTCGATCGGATTGCAATGGCCTTATGTCCCCTTATGTCCCCATATTCTTGGTACCAATGGTATGATAGGCAGGCTGAGGCTGCTTGTGCATCTCTGGCGGCGCCAAACTCTTCTCCCATTCCTTCATGTAATAATCGGCCGTTTTTTTCAAGTTGCTCGGTGTGAATTTGGTGAGGACGGGCGGGAAGAGATCCTCAAGCATGGTATTGGTCGACGTAATCACCGGTGCAGGAGAGCGGCTGGAGGCGGCCGCAACGCGTTGCTTGCTCGAACTGGAGGACTTCTTCTTCTTCTTTCTATGAAAAACGAAAGGGTTAGCCGGTGGTAGGGAATGGAGGGATTGTGTGTGATAAGAGAGACCTTTTAATATTTTGATATGTTGTGATGCGTGGGAGGAGGAGATATGATATGCCGTTTTCAAATCATGATCCACTACTCATAGAAGAAGTGATATGTATTGGCTCGTATTTCTGGTGGATTTGATGGCCCTGTTAAAACAAACTGGGACATGTATACATACGGCCGGATATGGTACCCACGTAGGATGGGAGAGAGTAAGATAAAATAACGGATTGCCCTTACAGAGATGTGTCGTTCTCGGTTCGCTTTTCGGAGGTTGTTGATGGGATGATGTCGCCGTTCACGGTAGTTCCACTCCATCTCGTGGATGTTGCAACTCCTGCAGTTTCCCAGTTTGACCAGTCGTTATCGTCCACCGAATCCATCGTCAGGGGAGTCCAAGAAAATCGCTTAGATGACTTGGTTGAATCTGTTTTGGATCGCATCAGTGCTGGGGCTGGTCGCGAAGGAGATTTCAGCGCCTCATCGGCCGTCGAATCCTGAGCTTCCTTTTGAGGGCTGGTGGACCGTGATGTGGCCGCGGCGGGTGCCCAGTCGAATGCTGTTGAAGATCGGTTCCTCGGGGTGTTCAAACCGGATGCCTTGAATCCATCTTGCCCTCCCGTGCGGCTGGGGGAAGAGGCCGTGCCGCCGTTCGGCATAGGCGTCATGATCAACTTGCCGTCCGCGCCTCTCATGTACATGCCCTGTCCGGTGATGGGTTCGTCTCCTACGGTAGCTTGCCTCAGATCCTCCATGAAAGTCCACAATCCCATCCTGAGGTCCTGGGCAATCCCTTTGACCCCAACAGTTTGTGATGCGGTTTGGGGGGCCCAAGATTGATGTTTTGGCCGATGTGATGGGCTGAAAGCAACATTGCGACTATTTTCGGATCCATCACCGCGTCCAGGGAAATCACTACTCGGTTTTGTTGGTGACAGCAATGATAGTGTGCGTGCATGTCCTCCTTGGAATACACGACGGCGCCCGTTCTCGGGAAGTGGTTGATTTTGGTTCTGTAGGCTTTGTAGCAGCGCTTTCCTCCTGTCTAGTTCCACGACCCTTTTTGTTGCCTCGTCATCTTGGAAAGTTGGGACCAAGCCGACGGAACGCAACGGCCTTTCGCCTCGTTTCTTGTATGCTTCATGGGTTGCCCACTGCTTTTTCAGCTTGGCCAAGTCCGACTCGGCACGAGAAAGCTCTTCGCGGAGCTCGAGAACACGGCGCTCTTGCGCTGCAATGGCGGTAATGAAGTCATTGGAATCGGCGGGCGACGTGAGTGCTGGGGTATCTAAAGGGGTTGGTGGAAAGGAGGCGGTGGTCGTCGAGGTCGGTATGGGTCGCGAGGGATTAGGGTTCGGCGGCGCGATCGGAAGCGTTAGGGAAAGACGATGTGTGGTCCGGGACGCTGTGGAAGCTGACCGTGTAGAGCGGTTCTCAGTCAGGTCGTCGGAATGGGCGAGAGCTGTGGCAATGGCTTCGTCCGGTACATGTTGAGGTTCGGTTTCATCTGTACTTTTCCCACGGCGAGCGCGAGATCGCAGAGAAGAAGTTCGGCGGGGGAGGGGGGCGGACTGCATTGCGACCTGACCAAAGCTGCTCTGGGGTGATACTATGTGTGCCATGACGAGGGAGTTCTCCTCCCGTCGAAATTGGCTAAGAATTGGCCCTAGATATCTCGCTTGCTGATGAATAGTAGCAGTAGTGATAAATGAATGTGTTGTTGTTGTTGCTGTTGTTGTGTTGATGTTTGGTGGATGATAGGGAGTGACGGTGGAGGCGCAGGGGCGGCGAGTGCGGGTGGTCCGATGTCGATCGCAAAGCTGCTGGAGGGCCTGCTGGAGGGCTGTGTTTGGAATTGTTGTGGTGGGAAAGCGAGTCGTTCTTCTGGCGACGATGGCAGCCGTGTGGATGTTCAGCGGATGGCTGTCACGGAGTAAAAGAGCGTTGGCGCAGGCCGAGATGGAGCAGGTGGTGAGGACTGGTAGGGCGGACCGGAGTGCGGCGGTGGAGGAGGACGAGGTCATTTAGAAAAAGAGAAGACCAAAAGCCCCAAGGGAGAGGAAAGCTTCCACAGCTGCTTGGTGGACACCCGGGTAGTGTTCATCTCGGTCCTGTCATGGAACCGTGGTGTTTAATTGGCGAGGATGGGTGCTTTCCCCCTGGTTGTAGGGCATGGGGTGCCCCGGATCTCAGCTGGAATCCGGTGATGTTATTCGCCCTAGAGTCGCGGACCCAGTCGCCAAACAGCGTCTCCGCAGGGTGGTGTTGGTGGTGTCGGCCGGTGTTGTGCTTGAAGCTTCTAGACTTCTGTTTCCGCCGGCGACATGTACATCGACAACCTCGAAGAATGCGTAAATGGTCGCACCATGTATGGATATCCAGAAGAAAGGCGAAAGGCGAGTCTAGAAACAACAACAACAACAACAACAACAACAAGAGGTGGAGACCCGGTTTGTTTACTCGATCCAATGTTTCCGCGTTGAATTGCAGGACAATGCAGGAACTGGAGTAGCGTCCACTGTCTGCAAGGGTCCCGGCTAAGACCGATACTGAGGAAGAGGTTTATCAACGGAACGATGTTGAGGACGTACGGTGGAAGCTCAAGGATGGAGGTTGGTTTTCATTTCCCCCAATGCTTCTCCTTTATGCGTCGTCAATGGGAAAGAACTATCCTTTGGCCGGTCAATTCATGTTTGTGCCCCTGCCGTCCACTGCAGTCTTCCTCGTGTTACAGCAGGTGTGACGGGAAGTCGGGAAGCAACAGTTGCCAGCTGCAGGCGACTTGAGGACATGGGGGCAGGCAGCTTTGGCGGCCCGTTGCCAAGTGTACTCTGACCAGGCACTGGAACTTCCTCATCTTCATCTTGTTGTCAGTTCTCCAGTCCGCCAACAACAACATGAGCGCCCCAAAACAAACACCATCTCCGGCATGTGGCCCCAGCTGTGGCACTCATACATCTCCAGACGCCGATCATGATCTCGAACATTGAAGCGGAGAAGCGGATACCACTTGAGATGAGCTTACGTACTTCAGCACCTGTCAGGCACTCCCGCGCTGGTCCAAGCACTACGGACGCAATACAATCGGACGAACTATTCCAACGTAAAAAGTTCGTCCTTTGACTAGGCCACTACGGACATCTCCCATGAAACATGGGATGAGTGGGGTCGATTGATCAAGTCTGGACACCAACAAATAAAAGTGTGCGGTCGTTGAACCACCTTCTGCCGGCGACATATGAAAGCCCGGCTGCCTTTCAGACAACAGAGTATGCTGAGCCCTTAGCAGGCTGGCGGAAGCTTCACTACTCGAACCGAGACACTGCCTGCCGTATTAAAGTTCAGCAGCAGATTGTTGGCGATGCTGCTACCCCTCCAAGACGAAGCCAGCTTCCTTGATGGCCCTCGATCCAGCCTTGCTCACGATGCCATCCACTCGACACATCTGCTCCAAAGCCACAGTGTCCCGGCCCGTACTCTGCCGCATGTTGTGGTTGTCGGATCCGTACCCCCCGTGGGTGGGCTAAGCTTGCCAGCGTCAAGTACAATCCAAAAGATGGTGATACATTGGATCTTCGCCAAGGACGGTCTGGAATCTCCAGCTATTAACCTACCGCGCTTCAGCCATATGTTTCGATTTTCCGTTTCTTCACTGGTTCCGAAGCCGGCTACCTCGTTGCCCAGACTTTCCGCTGCATGCAAGGCTATCCTGTCGTGCCAGCCTGCTCGTATGTAGGAGTCCACTCAGATGGGCCCACAGGGACGACTTCAAAATATAATCCCTCATCCTGACCGACATCTTCAACAAATAACAGCCCGATTAGCTCAGCTGGTTAGAGCGTCGTACTAATATCAGAATTCTGATATCAAGTCAATGCGAAGGTCAACAGTTCAATCCTGTTATTGGGCATATCTTTTTCCAGTTTCTTTTTTTTCTCTTTCATCATGATGACGCTCTCGTCTCGATTCTTTTTTCTGCAATTTCTTTTCTTTTCCTTTTTTTCGCTTCGGATACCCGTGCCTACCAGACTTCGAATTGGAAGACCATCATAGCACTGGCAAATATTGGGAGTCCGCTCCCATCGCGCGGCACGAGGACATCGACTTATTGACCGGAACCATACCATGCTCATTGGATCGTATTTTCGTGGGTCGAGCTGGAACTTAGATCTTCACTTTGATCGAACATAATCACCAGCGACCGAATATCTACTGTTGGTGTAGAGCTGGAAGGAAAGCCGGTCTGCTCCCACTATTGTGATGCCTGTCACCTAACAACGGCACTACTCGGAGGAAACAGAGGGCAGGACTCCGTCAAACCAAGCTGGCTAGCTGAAATACACTGTCAGATTCTGCCATAAAGCGCAAAAGGTCATATCAGCACTAGAGAGATTCCAAAATCCCGCGCAGTGCTAACTAAGTATTACCAAACCCTCTCTAGCCTTTCCTTGGTCCAGAAAGAGCAGTGGTGGGTAGCACAAAGGGTGAGGCTGGCGCTGTCGGCTGGTCTACTAGGAGAACCGAGGAGCTGAGAGCCTTAGACGCTTATACAAGCAAATTCCGGCGAATTGGAGGTCGATGATGTTAATGGAGGCTTGGATTGGGGCAGCAATTCAGCCACGCCCTTCCGTGTTACAGCCCTGCCCTCCAGCTGGTCTCCTGGATCTCACCTGAGCAGCGAGACATAAGGACCGCGCAGCAGCTCATCGGAGGGAAACACAAGTGCCTCGCAGACGTTGGGGACTTCACCTGGAGCGCCAATGTCCTATCATGCTTGGCCTTCTTCTTGATCGGTTCAGCATGATATAAATGCTTTAACCCCCCACGGACTGTCAAGGGATGTTGCCCATTTTAATTCTCTCGAAACTCGCTCTTTTTCATCTTCGCATTTTGACCTCTTTGGTGCCTACGACATCCAGTTTTCTGCAAGGCATCGGTCGAAATAAACCTTACGAATCAAGGAGTACTGACCACTGGTGTTGGATGTTCCAACCGGGGAGATGGGCCATATTCCACTGTAATGCGAAAACGCGAGTGTGTCCAGTGTCGGCTTTATAGACGTTTCCCCAGGACTTCAAGTATCTACCTCACCAACAGAGCATCGGTATCTGTTCAGCGACATGCTAGAAGGAAGAAGATGGATGGAGCAGGCAATACAAGAAGGAGCAGGGGATGAGAATAAAGGCCACATGCCTCCGCTCTCGAGCACCTTGCATCAGAAGTCAGTGGGTTTGAAAGCAAAGCTTCGGATACATTGTCATGACACTCTGCAATTGCATCCGCATGAGTGATAGCCTACCTAAACCCTTCTCCGGGGACAAGAAACTCGACCTCCCGGAACCACTCACGTCCACACGGGACGTGGTATGTCTACAATGCAATGGTGCAAGTAAGCATACACGGCAGGACTCATTCAAACACATTGCCAATAACCAGAGGATCTGAAGCGGGGTCAAGGCTACCGAAACAGTTACTCCCTGTGATGGTATGTCTTTAGATTACGGTTGCTTATGTGCAGAGCCAAGGGTCTGAAGGATTCCATGGGATTAACGTAAAGTCTTCGATACCAACGCCGAAGTTTTCGGGTATCAGAGTGACCTCAACAGGATGTTTTCATTGACTGTCTCGAGCGATTTCAACCATGGGGGGGCATGTCCCTACTCATGCTATGGTATGATACCTCTGAAGTACTTCTTCCATGGCGAGCAGATCAAGTCAATCTCATTGGGTGGTGAACAAGATACGGTAGGCGTGGGAGGGTCGCACCACCAGATCCTTCGATGCCACAATACTCGGTTAAGATTATACTGGACCAATGGTGGCAGGATCCCCCACGTGAAGACCGAAGCATGTCATCACAGGCAACGAGGCTCGGATTTGGCCTCCATGGGGGATCAGTCCGTACCCAAACTTCCCAAAAGCGTCACCCAGAAGTTTCGACACTCACATTTTCCATGATGGATACTTTTACTCATCCGCTATCTCGCGGCACGGATCGATCCCGCGTTCATATGAGCCGAAACTAAGAGCCGGGAGTGTTCAAAGCTTACAGAATGGCATTTTGAATTTCGCATCTACCCACTCGGATTGATTTCCCAGGCCTACTATGGCTCATATGCTCAATGGGAGAACAGCATTTACCAGGCCACATCATTCACCGTAGGATCCGGTTAGTAAACAAAACGATTTCCCCCTGACGGCTGTGAGATCGCCAGTACCTTACACCACCCCCCCCCCCCCAAGTGCGAAGCTGGCATCTTTCGACAACGGTTCGCACTAACAAAAGGTCTCCACAGATCAGAGCTCACAAACATACCGTACCTATGTGCCTGCCTGGTCTTGGACCCCTTATCACGGGGCAGAGAACTGAGCACAAGACCCCTACTCTGCACTGGTCTAATTAGTACGGTAGTACGCTTAACTGATATCTCAACATTACAGATCTGACATACCCGCAACGGGTAAATCTTCAACGATAGTCTTGTGCGGGACGCCATCGCTTCCTATTTGAGAGGTTAGGAGAGGTTAGGAGGGCCAAAGTCCCGTCCCCACTCCCCATTTACCTCCTGGTTCTGGAAAGAAGCGGGTACTATCTTGTCGGAGATAAGGAGACAGTCCTCGGCTTATTACCTTCTTTTGGGTGTGCTCTATCATTCAACTGGAACCTGGCACGAGGAGCGAGGCACCCCTCGTGGTATTTGGGCTTTTGCCATCTGCTGGTTTGTTGCTTCCGTTCTCTGTATAGCCAAGTCCTGATAGTCATGGAGTTGCGATCAAAGTGGATTACACTTCTCTTATTCACGCCCTTTGAGCTCCTGGAAATTAACTGCTCCGTTAGGGTTCAACGACATGAGCCAATGGGTTCTGCGTTAGTCCTACCACTGTTCACCGATGAATGTGGGAATCGGTCTCTCTTTGGCCGTCTTACTCTGTTTTCTTTTTGACCCTGGTTGATCTGAAGTCAGAATCCTTCACCTTAGCCCAATCACAAGTCTTACTCCCCCCATACCCTTCCTTTCCTGGTTACAAAAGTACTAAGCAACAGTACTACCTCCAGACCCACCTTTTCCAACTTTGCATACTCTTATCTCACCCAGAGGCGTCGTGTTCCCCTCTTCTTTCCCTTCATGGCAGCCAAAAAGGTACAATCCTCCCTTACCCGCGCGCCAAAGCCGTGAAAAGCTTAGTATGAAGGGTGTTCCCGTTCCCGAACCGATTGCCGTCTTTCAGTAGATGATCCTGGACATTCCCCATACGGAGCACATGTAAACGCAGCCGTTAGTACCATACTATCCTTCAAGCGGGCTGAGCATGTCTCCCGATGGCCCTACCGAAGGTACTGGGCCCCTTCTCTACATTCCCTTTAGGTTTCGGGTTGTTGGCCCGGATGGTACTTTTGCTTCCCCGTGGGAATCTGCTCAAGGAGCTCACTGTACCAAAGAAACATGGTGCCACAAAGGGATCGATGTTGTGATCCTGAATAGTTTACGGGAGTTCAATTCGGTATTCCAAATCCAACTGAGCGTCAGAGACCCAATACGATTTATACATCCATCCGGCTTCTTTTAAACTTCGATGCTGGGTTCTTGTTTTGTGTGTTTACCATACCACATCAACAAGTTCAAGGTTTCAGTTATCTTTGGCTTCGATACCATCATCGACCCCTCTCAACAAGAAAGGATCACAGTAGCACTGTGTTCACTGAGACGCTGATTCCCAGAAAGTCCATCACACCGAGGACGACAAAATTCCCCAGAGAAACCTTCTCTACCCACCACCGACAGAAAGTCTATAACAAAGGGTCTCGGTCACCCAGCTGGAATCTACCAGTACCACACAAAGGTACCACCAGCACCGCCACATTCATACCCATACCTCAAGATGGGTCCAAGCAGAGACGCCTGTGACCGGTGTCACACGATGAAAACCCGGTGTCAACGAACTCCGCAAACTCGGGAATGTGTACGATGCAACCGACTCGGAATATCGTGTACCTACTCGCCTCCGGGCCGGACCGGTCGCCCACTAGGTGCTCGCAAGGGGAGTTCAGAGAAGGGCAAGGAGGAAACGGCCGCAAAGAGCAGTGAGTCTCCTGTTTCCTCGATTTCCAGAGGACAATCTTATTAACGTTGTTATACAGGAAAAGGACGTATTCCACATATGGTAAAAACGCACATGCCTACGTCAATGGAAATGACAACGCCTGGACTCGATCACAGTCTGCCGATGATGCCCGACGGGAACTCAGGGGTAAACCCGAGTCTCCTCGGCGATTTCGACCTGTTTTCCACTTCAGCTTACCAAGCCGAGCTCGACTACCTTTCCTTCCCCTTCATGGACTCGTTCCTCGCCGAAAGCTCCGGTGACCTCACCTTTGCACTTGCGAGCGCCATGGATTCGCACCCATCCCACTCCTCTGGATCTTCCAGCCCTGCTGGCTCGTCTCTGCACTCCCCCGTGACACCACAACAACAGTCCTTCCACCACTCGTCCAGCCATGACCACCGCGCCTGGAGCATGAACAGCACCACCGACTCATCAGACCTGGACTCGCCATTCCCTCTCTTCACCGAAAACATTTTCTCCCCATCTTTCATTCCCAAGCTGCCCCGAAACCAATCTTTCCCCTCGGACGAGCGCAGCCGCGACAGCGATGGAGACATCCTTGTCCGTCTTCTGGACCTGCAAACTCGCATATCCAACCTCGTCAAGCGCCTCCACGAAGACCGTGGCTCGTCAAACGACTGTAAAGACATCCTTAGCGCAGGAAAATCACTCATCAGCCTCCTCGACAGCGTTGCCGCTCCCTCTAGGCTCTTCTCCGCCTCATCTTCCTCGCCGTTCTCAAACAGCAGCATCTCCGAGCCGGCTAGTCCTATGTCCTCTGGTAGCTCCAGGTCTATCTCCTCCTCCCCATCCTCCGGAAGCTCAGCTTCTCCGCTATCCCCCAGAACAACGACAATCCCCAACAACGTCCTCGTTCTTTCTCTCTCCAGCTGCTACGCAACCCTGCTGCATGCCTACGAGCTGCTCGTTGACTCTCTGCATCAACATCACAACCACGCCCACCAGAAATTTGCCTCAAGCACACATACACCGCTGCTGAGTCCTGCTTCGTCTATCTCTTCTTTCTCATCAGAAGAACAACAGCAGGGTTACTTCATTAGCAACGGGCTGAGACATCAAGCACCACAAACACTAGATAGCAACGATGTTCACCTCAAAGCCATGGCGCAGATGGTGCAAAAGCTTAGGGGTGCGTTACAGCGGTGTGTGACGAGGGTTGGACAGGGAAGTGGAAGCCACGGGCACGGAGCGCTCGGTGCAAAGAAGAAGCAGGATATGGATATGGATATGCATTTGGGTTTAACGGGTTTGGAGAGCTGCAACGCGAGTGCGAGTGATGACTTGCTGATGGGCCTTTCAAGACCGGCGTTGCTGGAGATGGGATGGGGAGGAGAGGAGGGGTTGTGGCAGGGGATGAACTGGTGATGCCCTTGGTAAACTTCTTGCCGTGTTTTTTTCTTTTTTTCTTTTTCTTTTTTTTTGTTGTTGTTCCCCAGTGTGCGTCACACTCTTGGGTTTCTGTGCTCTTGAACGGATTTTCGGTGGTCATATTTCTTTGAAATGGGAAGCATTGGGATGGCGTTTGGGCGGGTATGTTGTTGCTTTTGATACGGGGTTCATAGAAAGGTTGTTCATGTCGAAATATAGGAATGCACATAACAATTACAAGAGGATAGAGAGAGGCTTTCACAGTTTTCAACTTGGCTCCCGGGAGAGAAACTCGACACGAATAACGGAGCTTTGAATGACATGGTCGCAAACAGGTTGTCATTTTGAGCAGTGGTTGGTTGGTTGACACGAGCTCCTACCTACCTATTCCGCACCCCCAATGTCGAAGAATAAGCACCGACGACCCGACAAATATGATCGACAACTAAAATAGCAGTATTTCCTTTTTTTCCCCTCTCATTCACAAAATGAACGGAGAAAGATCACAACCGTTCTTAGATCACTGCCTATACTATATATACACTTGTCTAGTAGTAGCCGTTTCGATCTTCATCACGTACTTCCATCTCATCAGGCTTTTCATCCGAATCTCCCACCCGCTCGCTCCGGTGGAGAACTATAAGTTATTTCGTTGATGTGGATAATGCCCATATCACCGAGTTTGGCAGACCCTCCGTACAGATAATCCACCGCCAAGAATGATGCGAAGACTACTTACATGCCTCACTCATACCGAGTTGCATTGACTTGATGGTGTTTTGAGCCATGAACAGATTTACCGACAATGCGACTTCACCCTATAAGCACAACGCTTTGACCTCCTTTCATCTGAAATTACACACAGCCCGCATGGCTCAGTGGTAGAGCGCATCACTAGTAATGATGAGGTCGTCAGTTCGATTCTGGCTGTGGGCATGAACTTGTTCTTTTTGTCTTTTTGTCTTTTTTGCATGGTCACCTTTTCTTGGTCTAATCTTCAAGGCTTTCATTTTCTTGTTGACTGATGGATGCTTGGGGTTTTCTTTTCTGGTTCACAATGGAACTAATGGTAACTTTGAGAATTATCGTCTGTTCATTCGTGTTTTCATTTGTTGAGCAAGTGGCTGGATGATGTTTATCGTCATGATTATTCGTTCTTCTATCGATCTTCTAGTCTATCGGATCTAGCTCTATATACGCACACTAAACAGATATATCAATAGAAAAAAGGAAATGCAAACAGATATGTAGAACATGAAAGGGAAGGCATAAATATGTCATGAGAGTCATAACAAGGGAAGAAGGACATAAAGGAAAAGAAGACGAAAGAAGTCGAACGAAAGCCCATGCAACCACCAAACTCCAATAACTCCATGACCGAAAACGCTTCTAATGCACCAGCCCCTCCTGCACCATGTTCTATTGTCAAGCCGGTATCATGGACAAATCTCTAGCTCTGGAGACTGTCGTATGCAAGCCGCCTCAACCCCCAGCTCACCCGACACTCTCACCTCATCATTGACTCCAACACACTCCCCGCCTTAATCTCCATCTCCTCAAACTCCCCTTCATCCGTACTCTGAATAGTAACCGCCCCACCCGCCCCAATCCTCCATACCTCCTTCTGCTCCAGCTTATTCTTCACCAGCGTCCGGATAACCACCGAAAAGTCTCCAGCACCCCCAACATCCATATACCCCAACACACCCGCATAGATCCCCCTCGGCCGCTTCTCGAGATCAACCAAGATCTCGCAAGACCGCTTCTTTGGCGCACCCGTCATCGACCCCGGAGGCAACGAGTTCTTGAGGACATGCAGTCCCCTCGGCGCGCCGGGTAGTTCCGCAGGGGGCAACTGACCCTCGATGACGGACACGAGCTGGTACACCTTCTCGTACTCCTCCATGACCATCAGCTTAGACACCCAGGTGTTGTCGGCGCCGACGACGCCCGACAGGTCGTGGCGGATGAGGTCGACGATCATCAGGTTCTCGGCGCGCTCCTTGCTGCTGTTGAGGATCTCGCTGGCGATGTCGTGGGTCATCCCGGGACCCTTTTTCACGGTGCCCTTGATGGGCCGGAACTGGCAGTGGCCGCCGCGCGACCAAGAGAGGAAGCGCTCGGGGCTGGTGCCGACGATGGACACGTCGGGCAGGTTGAGGTAGGCGCCGTGCGGGGCTGGGTTGTTAAGGCGCATCTTCTTGTAGAGGGACCAGGTGTTGAGGGGTGGGTTGTCTTTGTCGGAGGATGGGTCCGAGGGGATGACGATGGAGCTCTCGTCTGTGAGGCAGAGTTCGTAGGAGTCGCCGGATCGGAGATGATCTTGGCAATCTCGGACTTGCGCACGGTAGGAATCGCCGGTCGGGCGGGTGATGGTGGAGCGGGCGAGTGTGTCGTTGAGGTGACGAGACTCTGTAATGGAAGTGGATGAGAGGCATTCAGATTTGCCGGAGGCAGCAGAAACGGAGTCGATGAGGCTACCGACGCGGAGAATCCAGGTCCAATCGTTGGGCAGAAGGGATTGGACGTAGATCTGGTTGGTATGGTGATCGATAACGATGCTACGGTGGATGAAGGCGAAGTTGATGTCGGGGATAGCTGAGCCGTCGGTTGGCTTTTCGGGAAGCTTGACGTCGATGGTTTCAAGGCCGGCCTCGTACGAGACGTATCCCATGAAACCGCCCCAAAAGGGGCTGTCGGCGGGCAGGTGACCGGCAATGAACCTGTCCATATCCGAGCGGAGCTTGGACCGGTCGATCTCCTGGTTCTGGGGGTAATAGAGATCGAGAGCCTCCTGGAAGAGAGGCCAGCAATCATCGATCGAATCGATGTTCTTGGAGAAATTGCCATACTTGAGCGTGCGTTCGTAAGAACTGTAGGTGACGTTTGTGGTTTTACCGGGAACAACGAGTCCGATAATGTCGAAGCGACCCATGTTGTGTCCTTGCGAGTCCAGAAGAATGACTTCGTCATCTCGGTGACCAAGCTTCTCTAGAAGAACAGTGGGAGTAACACCCTGAGCCGGGTATTTGGCCCAGCGGAGGAAGATGCCATCACGGCCGGCAGCCGAGCGTAGTTCTTGGGCGAGGTGAGATGTCTTTAGATGACCAGACTGAATAGGCGCGTCGACGAAGAGGCGAGAGAAAGAGTTGGGAAGATAACGACCAGTGAGCTCTCCGGTCTTGACCCGGCCGTTGTTGGCCGACCACCGAAGGGCATGCTTCCACCAGTTCACGAGTAAGTCCTTGCCGGCTTCTGAGGTGCAGATGGATTCGGGATGAAACTGGCACCCCCAGAACGGCTTGGTGACATGGCGCACAGCCATTAAGACGGGACCGTTATCGTCATCACTGAGATCCCAAGCCAGAGGCAAGAGGTCAGGGCAAACATCGTTTGGTTGCCAGAAGTGGGTCGCGGGAGCTCCCGTCAGCTCGAGATCAGCATGAAGCGAGTGATATTGGGTGCAGTCGAGATCGCCGAGCCCCTTGAGAATATCGGTACCCTGGTGCGTAGATCGGCTGACAATGCCATGGCGGGGGCTCTTGAGTTTCTTGACGTCGGCACCATGGTTGAGACACAGAGACTGGAAGCCGAGGCAGATGCCGAAGATGGGAAGGAGTTCTGAGTCACTGAGAGCCCAGAGCCTGTTGATGAAGCCAACATCTTGGGGGTTTCCAGGATGACCGGGTCCGGGCCCGATGACAACGCCATCTACGGCCCGAAGTAGCGTGTGAAGATCCCTGTCAGCCTGCTTGTCATCGATGCGAACCATAATGACATTTGCGCCTAGACGCCCCTCGAGAAGACCAATGATGTTGTTTGTGAAAGAGTCGAAACAGTCGACATAGAGGATAGAGAGTTGCTCATCGAGCGGCGTGGTTCTTGTTACTGAGCCCATGATGATTGTGGTATGTGAAGAACGTGTGAGGTGGAAGTCAAAACGAAGCCGAGAAGAAGAGCCGGGCGAGGCGACTGATATATTGGCGAGATACAAAGTGGAGCCCGTGTGACTTGGAATGGAGTATTTCGAGAATGTGTCTTGCGTTGTCGGCTGTGGAGTTGTCTTGTGTTTGAAGCTGTCGAGACTGTCGAGGAAAACTCAGGGTTGGTGGCAGAATCCGAGTATAAATGGACGTTGAACAACGTCAAAACCATGTCCAGAATACCGAAAATATCAGCCGACTAAAGCCATCAACAAACTACTTACAATGATATCGAATCCTTCCATATCCATCAATGTAAGACCGTCCGTGTAAAGAATGTAGACTCGGCGACTTGCCGTTTCTCTTCCGTCAAAAATGTCGCTTATTTGGCTACACTCGACTAGAGACTGACTCGGGCGAGTTTGATAGAGAAGTGGTGCATAGTACTGGAATCGGTACCTTAGCCCGGTACTGACACGCTCGATTTGCATACTAAGAGCGTACATGGCGAAGTGAAACCGCGTCGACCGGAGATGAAAGGGCGGAACGGAGAAGGAATAAAAACTACATGACTACTTTGCTACTACATGTTAGATGGCAGGTTCAACTTTACACAACAGTAGAGAAAGGTGCTTACTGCAACAGGTCGGAAATAAGACACCTCATGAGGAATGGGAAACTCGGCCAGTCAGATGGGAATCTTATGACAGCGGATAGCGGTATCCTAGCATGGCGACAGTCATCTCCGAGTTTGTTCCAGCCTCTGTCAAGACGAAACAGCATGCACCTGTCTACATCCGCTCATGTCCGCGATCCTACCAGACAATGGTGTATGGCGTATGGTGCCGGACTGCGTTTCCGGTGTAGTGATAACAAGGAGTGGTTGAAGCAACGATTGCTTGCAGGTAAAAATCAAGGATCGTTTGCTTGTTAGACCAGGGTGGTAGCGTAGTAGAAGCTTTCTGGAACAAGTGAGATAGAAGTGAAGTCAAAGCGATGCTTTGTGTAGCACCCGGCGGCTTTTGCGGGGTTTCGCGGAGGATTTTGAAGGTCACTTACCCATGCACCCTGCTGTGTGACGGTGCGGCTGTCATCACCACTCTTTTGAGGTCGCAACCTATTGTAATTTGGCATATGCGTTGTTACAACGCGATGGTGTGTATGTTCTTCTCCCATGTCTTCCTGCCTCTGGTCCACCTTTGCCAACCGAGCTTCGAACTCCGGCCGGGGGGAAACCGAATGGAAGGATCGCCGCGCAGGTATGAGAATGATCTTGGGCCTATGATAATCTTGACTCTCTGCCGCGTTTGGGAGACGAGAATACGCAGTCGTTGGTAGCTTTGCGGCCTTGATGACTTGCAGGAAAGCGTTGCGCCAAAACGGGAACCGTCCCCGTAACCACACTGCCACTGTAGCATACTGTTCAGTTAATCGATCCTTCCGGTACTCCATGTCGGCAAAACTGTGACAAGAAGGGAATGGCTGCAGCCCATCTCGTATACAGCCGTTATCATGCTCTTCTAGGTGTCAGAGGTCGAGGGTTGGCGCTCTTGTCAACAGTATCGGCCAACTCCAAATGACATCCCGTTTTAAACTCGAAAGCACACTCATATTATGTTATACTGCTCTTTACCTGCATGAGTTTTATTCTTTTTTCCCCGCCCAAGTGGGTAGTTATTCATGCGAGATACTTGTGAGGATCGTCCGGAAGGGGGCAGGACTACACAGCTGCGAAGCCCTTGTGTAAACGGCTTGATCTGGGTACCGTGCCGCAAGGGTTGTCCTTTTAGGATGGGGCCTTGCGGCCCGTGATCGTGAATGCGGGCTAACGGCAGCTTTGGACCTCACACATGGAGCGTTGAGGGACTTTGTTACTGCTTTCATTGGCAGGATATGTGCCACAGTTTTAAGGGTCCATCTCAGACCTCATCGAATCGAACCCAGACTACACAGCTGTCAGCGACATAGACTTCATACTTGACCGCTGTTCAGTGGCAGAGTGGCACATCGCTTCATGGGTAGTACGGCAGTGGCTGGGGCTCAGTCGATGCCGTATGTCGGGGACTTTTGCCATCGGTACCTTAGATAAGGTAACTTTTCCATATCGTGAGATCGAATTCTGAATATCACTGTACCGAACCTTGCTGTCCTCGATGCATTTTCGATCCTGCATGGAGCCTCTTTGGTACGGAAATAGAAGCTGTACCAGAAATCGTCGATAGTTCCCCCGGCTGACTTGCGAAAACTCTTGGCACACGATCTTGCGTACTTTTGTGTTTGGGGCAGTAGAGTTACTCCTGGATGCAGTTGATTGTGCGATTTGCTCTGGTATGCTCTGGTAAGTAGCTTACTACTGAGACCGAGAGGGTCGAATGGCTAAAATGATGTAGAGTCCTGTCAGACAGCAAGTGACTTCTCACAACAACGATGTGATCGAGATCGTACGAGAACGTATGGCAGTGGGACCGGTCTCCACATAGTTCAGGGGTGAAGTAAACAAAAACATAGCAACCGCCGATGCTCTGGTCCCACAAGTTGTAAGAGCAGGAACGACTAGCACAACCTGCAGCTATGCCATAGTCAGCTACTCGGAGACTTGTCTTGCCCAGATGCGACGGTAATAGGTGTCGGTATGTGCCGTGCTAGTTGACAACATGGCGAGCCGGCACCCGAACCGTGAACAAGTCGTGGTCGACGGTGGGTTAGGGGAGTCGTAGATAATCTTAGCCTGGTGATAGTGTGGAGGAGGTGCGGTAATGCCCTCTTCCGTCTTCAGCCCGATTTTGAGGAGCCTTCTTCCCGGCTTCCAATGCCGCGACACTGTCCGCGTACCATAAGCTAAATTTTGGATCCAGCTCGTGGCACATCACCACGGGTAAGGCTATGCAGGCAGCGCGGCAGCTGTGAGCGGCAAGAAGGTCTGTGGCTTCAGATCCGAATTGTGTGGCGGCTCGTAAGATCGGGATTGGGTGTCTTGGGGGTGCACCGGAAAACCCCCCTGATGATCCTCCTGGTAGCCCTGCCAAGGCTTGCTTACCCGAAGTCTTACATGGCGATAACGTCGTGGCCTCGGCCATTTTTGGACCCTGCAAGTAAAGAGTAAACTGGGGGGCTGAGTGTTTGAGGTACGTACCTAGTATCGTTTCGTGACATAGGTAGTCCGAGTGAAATATGCCTCCTTCGCCGCGTACCATGCGAGGACGTTGTTTCTGGTTTCGGCTACCATTTCCGGTAGATGTGAGTGGAAAGCCACAACCACTGATCAACCGAACCAATTACCGACTGGTCAAGGGTAGGTAGATAACCATCCGGGAAGAGCCGCACTCGCTCGCGCTTTTGCTTCGAGAAGTTAAAGCGTCCCTGACTCACAGTATTTTCCCCATTTGCTGACCATTCTCGAGTTGGAGTAACCGTAAGGTTGGTGTGTATTAGATATGTATGAAAGGGGTTGTATCCAGGACGGGAACAAGTGCGTGACTGCTTCTCAAGTTGGTGGTCTATCGTCCTACGTTGCTAATAGGCGGTATCCTGTATAGCGGCAGGCAGAGCATGTGTTCGATTCTCGAGAAGTCATGTTGTCTTGTCACAAAATCCTTAGGCGACTTTCTGGATCCATGACTGTGTTGATAGAGAGCAAAGTAAGGCCGATATGGCAATGGGCATTGGAGAGAGGGAGAAGAATGGTTTTTATAGCCACGGCATTTCACCTGCTATGTCTCATGGGCACAAGACTGGTGGACAGTTTAATGTTTGATGAGACCCTTTCTCGGCCACAACTGCTTATCGATGGCAATCTCCTTCAAGTCATGTGGTTGGCGATGTCGAAAACTCGCCGAGTCACGGTACACTGGCCCGCGCAGAGAACTACTGTAGCTTCATCAAGGAGACGGGATTCGAAACCGGCTCGCTCAAACGTTGTGAGGTCATTCCCCTCTAGGCAATGATCCGTTGAGCAGCTTCTTGGGACTGCTGGCGTCGACATGTTGATGACTTCCAGAAGTACCGAAAGAGAAGCCGGCCCGTACGAGGTTCATTGTCGTATCGTGCCTCCCTCATCTTCGTTTCTCGGTATGGTGGACCTTGGCCTCACAGATGCCAATATCTATCGGCGCTGATGTTGTAGCGCAATACTGAGCTCGCTGGGCCGCAAAGTTCAAGGCTCATCAACCTGCCAGAGCTCGTCATGAGCCCAACCATGTACAGCCCAAGAGTGAGTGGATGGAAGCAACAAAATGGTGGTAGCAGAATCCCATCCTAGGAAGAAGCGATTCCATGTGTCAGTGAGTGTTGATATGACTCTTCACAACTGACCTCCGGTGACTTGTATGAATTGAAAATCACGCCATTGTGCTTGTGAAGGTCGCTGATCCTTCTAGAATATCGGAAATGCCCAACATTGGCCTAAGGGGAGAGACGAGACGCGGCCCAAGGTGAAGAAGATATTGATTGACTCGACAGCTGTCGACCAGCATGCCATGTGTCAGGCCACGGCACTGAGGGGTGTTGATGAACCCGATAACTGAGATGCGATTTTTGGCGGATGGAATGTTGGGCTTCGGCAAAGGTTCTCTTCTTTCCGTGCAAGGCATCTCAGGGCAGGGCATTCCAATTGACGATTCCGAGTCGCTCGAGTCACTGCATGGCCTTTGTTTCACCATGCGCGCAAAGACTGCAGTGCTGGCCGAATGATGTAGCCGCGGTAGATGAGCTCGCGCTGCCGCTCAATCCGATTTGTTTCCCTCGTCGATGACAAGAAACGGTCAAGGGAATTGACGACGAGATGTGTTGTCATTTGAACCTGTCGATTCCGGGGAAGTGGGAAGAGGAGGACGATTGGATGGCAGACGCTTTGGGACGTGACATCAGCGAGCGTTTCGGTGCCTGAATTCGCTGGGGAGATCGCTGGACAATCCAGTAACGGGGAAGGTGAGGCCTCTTGGGTTGCGACCCAACTGGGGCGCTCCTGCTTGGTGATGAATGGGTGTGGACCCTGAACTGCCCAGTCTCGCCAGTGCTGCCCTGAACACATGATGTGAGGCAGTGCTCCATCAGCTGAATGGGCGGTTCGGTCAACCGCCTGCAAACTTCCACCGCCTCTGGCGAATAACCGCCAGCCCCCAGTCTCTTCACTGCCAACGATGCGGGTCGCGATGGATCAAGCTGGGCGCTGTTGCAAGGGTCGTTTCATCTGGGGGCTGGGGATGGGGTCACAAGAAGGTTGATATTCTTTTTCTCTTACTTCTTCCAGCCCTTCCCTCTTCATCAATATCTTCATCATTACCAGTCCCGTCCCTCGACTCCGATCCTGTCTCAAGTGGATAGACACAGACACAATTCCTTTGTTCGCGAGACTCGATCCTTGATCCTCGATAACGAACTCCGCTACGGGCTGCGCCTAACCGACCACCTTAACCATGCCCATCTTCAACAACACTCCCGAGGCCAGGCTTGGCAGAGCCGACTCCAAAAACCCATCAACAACATGTCGCGGAATCACGTCTGCCGGCAAGCCCTGCAGACGCCCCAACAGTCTCACTCAAGGTGGAAAAGTAAAGGTTAGCGACCCGAGCGATGAGCGCCTCTACTGCCACCAGCACAAGGACCAGGCTCGTCTGGCGGCCCATTCGGCTCCTGGGCCCGTCCGACCAGCCCATGCCGCCATCGCCGAGGAGCGCTCCAGTCTCGACACCTTAGCCGAGCGTCTGGGCTTGATGAAGACCAATTCGGCCCAAGTACGGCCATCTGCGCAATACCAAAGACCTCCACGACCGGCGCAGCAGAAGAAGAGCTCCTCGCTTTGGTGCTGCTGCTTCAGCATCCCCCTAGACCTCGAGCTCGAGGAACAAGCTCCGCCGCCGCGACCTCAGCCCAAGCCCGTACAGCACCATGGATCCTCGCAGCCCTCCCACCTGGCGCCCCCATCAGGGTCGAGCCAACGCCCCCCAGCTGGCTCCAGCGTTTCCCAGACGGGGCAGTTCATGTCCCTGATCCCGCACACCGCCTCTCCCGAGACAGCCTCCTTGTTGATGAAGGAACTCGCCAAGGGCTTCTCCTCGGGCGACGAGGCCGGCTACATCTACATCTTCTGGCTCACGCCCGAAACCGACCCGGCGACACCGCCGCACGAAGCCGCCAAGGCCTTGCTCACCACCAACCCACGATCGCGATCGACCTCTCGCGGGCGGGCGGCCAGCGACGCGCTGGATCGGTACGCCACCTCGTATGATGACAGTCGCGGCAGGGCCGGTGCCGGCAGTAACGAGAAGAAGAATAAGAAGATCCTTCTCAAGATCGGCCGCGCCAACAACGTGCAGCGGCGTCTGAACGAGTGGCAGCGCCAGTGCGGATACAACATTTCGTTGATTAGATATTACCCCTATGTTTCGTCGTCCAGCACCAGCGACGTGATGCGCAAGATGCCGCACAGCCACAAGGTCGAGAGGCTCATCCATATCGAGCTGCAGGGGCGCGGGCTGAGGGTTATGGACCGCGGCAAGTGCGCGTCGTGCGGGAAGGAGCATAAGGAGTGGTTCGAGGTGGATAATACGAGGGCGGCGGTGGCGGATATCGATGAGGTTGTGAGGAGGTGGTCGGACTGGGACGAGACTCAGGCTTAGACGATGGATGGGTGATGGGTGATGGTTGGTTTTCAGGCTTTCTTCTTCTTGGATGAGCGACGAAAGTTGGGTTTTGATACATGATTGGCATATAACATGACACGACAGGACACGACACGACACGACACGGCGCAGCATGGCATTTGGCATTTGGCGTTACGGATGGATATTTTCGTTGGTTTAGATTTCGGTTACGTTTCAACCATCTGTAGGCGGGAAATTTTGCGTGTGTGTTCACATCTTCCTCTAGCTATCTGGTCTTCCGCTCTTGTGATTCAATGCCTTGTGTTCTGCCTGAGAACTTCTTTGAGCAACGCCGAACTAATGCATCAACAAGGTATGATAGAAGAAACCTAACCAGCCAACTCCCCCCATGAAACTCCCAACATACTAATGCTCTTAACCCAGATCCCATCCCCAAAGCGCCACCCAAGTCCCATGTTCATATAACCCTCATAAATCAACAATTATACCCAACAATCCCGTCACCAAGCACCACCCCTCCCCTCATCATCGACACCCTCCTCCCAATGATGCCGTCCTGCCCAACACTGATAGACAGGTTCTCTTTCAAAGCGCACATCCGACAGCTCTTTTCGTCCAGGGTAAATTGCTTCAGCAGCCCGCACTCATGAACGGACTTGGTCATATCCCCGGTTTGACTAGTCACTGTATCAGCAAACCATCCCCTGAAGGGTTGGAAGACGCAAGAAAGGAAACCCACTGTATAGAAACAATCACGCGATTATCGAGCTCGGAATCTGAAGAGTCTGAAGAACCCGAGGAGTCTCTTTCCCTCAAGGAATCCTTGCTGGACAACATCGTCGTTGTTGTTGATGATGAAGATGTTGATGGGCTGATGAACGAAAAGTGGGTGGCTTGTTGGCTGTTGGGGGTGGATGGGTTGAGGAAGAGGAGGTTGCCTAGGAGGTGACGGTCCCTTGAGGAGGATGAAGAAGGAGAAAAGAAGTCGACTCGGGCACCGACCCGTGGTGTTGAGGACGGGGTTTCGGGGCCGCACATTTTGAGTGAGGGTATGAAATGAGATGGTTGAGGTGGTTGACTGTTGACTTTCCGAATCCTGAGTTGGTCCAGATGGGAATAGGGGAGGGACCTTTGAGTCGGTTTGGGTTGGTCTCAATGATCAAGTTGGGAAATGGATGCTGGTCAGACTGTGTTCACGATGGTGTGTTGATTTGTCTTCTATGGTTCTCTACTTGTACAAGTTGAGGACCTTGATGGATATATGTATCAACCATCAGACCTCAACCCCCTATCAAGGCCATCAATGTCCTCTCCACTACAACCATCGTTTCTGAACCAACCATCACGAAATGACAACCAAGCCTTGTAGCTTCTCGCTCCTTCAAGTCCGCATAACAGCTGAGATGTGTTTGAAAGAGACGTTGCGAGACGTTCACTCACGTGCGGAAATGGGTCCATAGGCGCCTACAGAGGCTGGTGGACATCAGTTCATCCCATGATTCCCATTTAGAACTGAAACCTTCTCACTCTGGGGAATGCGTGGAAGATGTGACTTGAATGACGGAAACAAGCTCAAACTGCCGCTTTCCCTCTCTGTTGCACATCTCAGCTTGCCAGTTGTAGATAGGTAGCGACGGCCCGTTGACGTCTCGACGAGAAGGTTTGAGGCCGGCGGACACAAGATCCGCGGGCAATTGAGCACGTTTGCGCGCGAATCTGGAACTTTTGTGACCGCTGCAACGCCCTCTGTAACGCAGGCGTGGCAGGTACGGTGGCCCAAGTGCGTCTTAGGCCCAATTGAAAACTGGTCCGATCTCCCAACTGGCCTCAGCTGTCGACCATTTTATATTAACGCTTCCAAAGCACTTGCGGCGTTCAACACTCACACCCATTAAACGCTAACTACCAAGCTTTAAAACTGCTTCAACCTTTCCAAACTTCATCTTTTTTATCTTTTCCTACCTTTCATTTTTATTTTTCTTTCTTCTTTCTTTTTTATTTTTCTTTCTTCTTTCTTTTTTCTTTTTCTTCCTTCTTTCTTTTTTCCTCTTTTTTTTCTCTCTTCCTCTCTCATTTTTTTGAGAAGGCGGAAGGATCCATTTGCGCTGTTACCCTACCCCAATTCATCAAAGTTCAAAATTTGGAGAAGGACTAAGGTCCATTTGCATTGTCACCCTAAATCTTAGTACCTCGTGGCTCTTATTAACTCTTATTAACTATTAGACTTCATTGCTTCATTACTTCATTACTTCGCTTTCAGGGAATTGGAATCAAAGTTACAGTATTAACCCCTAAAAGTGCAACTAATCTAGGCCGCTGGATTCTTTTGCACTTTGGAGGGTTTTTGCACTTAGGGGTAGTTGCACTTTCAGAGGTTGATACTATATATTATTAGCGTTGGAGTTCGAATGACACCCTTTGGCGCGTACCTAGTGCCTGCAGCTGACACGGGCCATTTTTCAACCAAACTTTTTCAATTGGGCCTAAGACGCACTTGGGCCACCGTAGGCAGGAGCCACAGGGACCTTGATATCATTCGAAAGGGGGCTGGCTCCACTCGTTTCTTGGCAAGAATGACAAACAGACCAATCACAGGAGACAATGGTGACGCGACAGGTGGAATCAACAATCGAGTCCACTCCTTCCTTTCAACTTCCACCCATTCAGTTGTGAGCACCTTGACGGCCGCCCATCGTGTCACTCCGTCACTGTCAATCATGAGATATTGCTCAATTCCGCTCATCGCAACTTCCATCTTGTAGGATCAGACACAAAAGGCAGGCGCGGGGTCAAAATTGTCGGTCAAGATGGTCAATCTAGGAAACATCTGGCAAAACCTTCTTGCCTCGCAAGCTCCTCTCCAATCCATGACAGGCAACGCAACCACCATGTCCGGCCTCGCGACTTATACCCTTCCGCAGCTGCCATATGCGTACAATGTAAGCTAAAATTGTCTGCCGTATGAAACCGCTACTATCCTGCGACGAATGCGGCAGAGAGCGAGTCAAAAATTACACCATGTCTAACAACAGCATCCCCAGGCTCTGGAGCCCTACATCTCAGCCCAGATCATGGAGCTTCACCACAGCAAGCACCACCAGACCTACGTGACCAACCTCAACAACGCACTGCAAGCCCACGTCGCCGCCATTACCTCCAACGACATCCCCGCCCAGATCGCCCAGCAGCCCGCCATCAAGTTCAACGGCGGCGGCCACATCAACCACTCGCTCTTCTGGAAGAACCTGGCCCCCGCTGAGACCCCAGAGACCAACTACTCGGAGGCGGCCCCTTCGCTGGTGGCCGAGATCGAGAAGACGTGGGGTAGCTTTGAAGGCTTCAAGAAGGCCTTCTCTGCTGCGCTTCTGGGCATCCAGGGAAGTGGCTGGGGTTGGCTCGTTAAGGAGTCTACTGCTGAGAAGGGAAGGCTGCGCATCATCATCACCAAGGATCAGGATCCCGTTGTGGGCGGTGAGGTGCCCGTTTTCGGGGTGGACATGTGGGAGCATGCGTACTACCTTCAGGTACAGTTGTTTTTGTTTCTGTTCCGTTACCCCTTGCAGTCTCTGCTAGTCAAGCTATTGGTCCCACCATGACTGACACAGTTTACCCCTCTTTGCAGTACCTGAACGGAAAGGCTGCGTACGTTGAGAATATCTGGAAGGTGATTAACTGGAAGACGGCCGAGGAGCGATTCCAGGGCAGTCGTGAGGACGCTTTTGCGGACCTCAAGGCTCTGTTGTGATTGTGGCCGTGGTTGGCTTGATGGATTTATCGCCGCTATTTTCCTTCCATCTTGACGGGTTTCAGAACGTTAACTGCACGTTTACCAGCGACTGATGAATACAATGGCTTTTTTTTTTCCCTTCGCCCTCTTCTTTGTTCCTCGTCACTGCTTGTCTCCAACACTTATCCACCCCACTTGGGTCTGACTATCATGTCTCAGCTCTCCTTTCGAGTGCGGTCCCGAACTTCCAGAACTCTGTCTTGTTGAACATCTACACAGCGGCTCTGTCTTGTCTGTGTCCTACAACCACCCGCCACCCTTTTGAAAGACCTGAGCAACAGGAATGACAAGCGTACCCACCGTCCAGAGAGAGCTTACACAGGTACGATAGCAAATAGCTGGAAGTTTCCGGTGTTTGCTACTCCAATTTTCCGTTTCACGGATTCCTATCGGCTCTTGCTCATCTCTTTTATATGTCATGAACCCCCCCTGACATGTCAGATGCACACTTCCATTGTGGCGAACGCCTCAATATGCAAGATCTCTTTGACAGGAATGCACCCCAGGATAACTCCCAAGACGTCACGGAAAGGCCTGGCTGGTTGCCTTCCCGCTCCACAACGCATTTGATTGGGACTGCAGGCTTGCGTTACCTGCACAACGGCAAGCTACGTATCGTGAGCTGCAGGAACCAGAAGCTATACTGACTGACCAGGGGATGAGCTCCTAACGCAAGCTCCGAATGACCGAGACAGCATCATCCTATTTACTTGTCTGTTTACTTCCATCGACTACTGACTGATACATACTATCCTCGGTTGTATTATGTCCACAAGTGCCACGTCTGTGATTCAGGAACAGGACAACACCCCCTCGTGCGTATGAGACATCTTCGTCTTATATCATAACGTATCATGGCATCCGAGCATGGTAGCACTGGCCTGAGGTTTCCTGGATGGAGATGAGACACGATTGCCAATATTCCACCAGACAGCACACTCCCACATGGCACAATCAAGAGTTCAAAAGTCCTTCCTTCCCTTGGCGTCCGACGGGATGAAGCGGGTGCTCATCCGGAGTTACATACAATCGCACAACCCGTTATTGCTCAATGGGTCAGTGACAATTCGGCGACTTTATGGATAGGCCCTTTCATACAGGAAGATCACAAACCGGGAATTTTCCTTACGGTGACTTCCCATTTGATGTTGGGGTTTGGTCATTGCCCTGTTGTGCCTGGCCACGCGGCCTACCCCGGGTAAGGGCCTGCGTAAGGTTGAGTAAACATCTTTGCGATGGCCACCTCGCTAACATAGCGACTAGGAGCTGAGATTTCACGGTTAACCGGTACCCCCAAAGGGTTCCTGCTGCCCAAGGAAATACAAACCTAATGACGGGCTCGGAAAGCCGCATTTGTTTCCCTCAAGATATGTCGTCTCCCCGTCATTGCATGTCCTGCGGCCGGGGCGAAGACCTATGGCCAGGGGCTCATATGCTGTCCTTCTGATGCCGGCAGCCGGATGCTGATCGAGTCAATAGATGGTACAATGCCACAGGAAGACAGGAGTGAGCTACCTGACAAAGGATATCTGGGAGTGTCTGTCATGAATCGGGGTGGACATGAGAAAGGCTTAAGGATATATAAAGCTTAAACCATCATGCGAGCATTCGCCTTTCATCAGCATTGCTTCTGTAGGTACTGCTTCTTCTGCATTGCCATTCCTTCTCCTGGCTCCCTGTTTGAACTGTAGCCACGATGCTTGTATTTGTTCGTCTTGCTCTGTTGAGCATAGGGTACGTTCCACTCCTATGTCAAAGACCTGAGAGGTTAAGAGACTGATATTGAGAGAAGCTTCGCCGCCGTCAATGGCATGCCCAACAATCTTGGACGCCGCCAAGGGTATGGCCAGAATAATGGAGAAACGTGCACGACAACCCGCACCATAACGGTTCCCGTTACCTTGGTGGACTATACCTACACCACCATTACGATCTCCGCGAATACAGGAGGCACGCCGATATTCCCATCAACTGTCACCGTTTACTCTGGCTGTCCGAGCTCCTTGAGCAGTATCCCTGGGTTGTCATCCAATTCCGCCAGCTCCTCCTCGAGCAGCAGCACACCAACTGGTTTCTCAACTACTACAAGTCCCAGCCAACCCAGCTCCAATACCACATCTAGTGCTACATCAACTGCGTATACTTCTAGCGCCCTTTCACTTTCCTCATCGTCCCCCCCTATTCCATCAAGCAGTGGCACTGCATTCCCATCTGGCGTATCTACTACCCAAACGGGCTCCCCGTTATTCGGCAACTCAACCACCTATGCTGTTACATCGACTTCATCGGGAAATATTCCCGGAACAGGCTCAACAGCCGTGCCAACCACCAGCAGCTTTACAGGACCCTCCAGCAGTAGCTCATCCTCTAACGAAACTTCGACCCTGAGCACTCGTCTTCCCATCCCCACCAGTCTTCTTAGCTCTTCTTCGACGCCCGCCGAGACTTCGTCCACTTTCAGTTCATCATCAGAAGTGACAGCCTCTTCGAGCAGCAGCAGTGAAAGCAGTGTGGTAACATCTTCCACGTCACTCGCGTATGGCTCGATTAGCTCGGTTTCTACCAACACGAGAGCCGATGTCGACTCTACGTCAGGAAGGACTCACACCATAGGCACGACGACCGTGACAGTGACCCAAGAAGTCACCGCGACTGTGGACGTCCCAAATGAACTGGAAACTACCGTTACCGACAAAGATGGAGACTCTCCTTCTACCTCGGTCGTAGTCCTGACATCCACAGGCCATATCACTGTCACTATTACGCCTGGCACCATTTCCTCTACAAGTATTCCGGACATCGACACAAGCGCAGCAGATGCTCTTTTCACTACTACCAACTCTGCTGTTCCGTCAGTTGTTGATGGTGCCCCGGTCAGCTACACTGAAAGTGAAGTCTCTTACCAGTCTACTACGAGCTATGAAGCGACTTCTTCGTCTTCAATTGGTAGTAGTGTGACGTCCGGCGATGTCACGACTGGGATATCGACAACTGAATATTCGACTAGCACACAGGCAACAGAGTCTGTGACTGGGTCTTCAACATTACCTGGGAGTTCGGAGTCTACCACGGCGTCAACAGTCTTCAGCTCAATCCCAGTATCCTCGACCGGCACACAATCAACAGATTCTGTGACTGAGTCTTCCACGACCCCAGGGACTTCAGAGTCTACTACAACCCCAACAATCTCCAGCTCCATCCCATTATCCTCGGCCAGCGATTTCCCTTCATCAAGCGAAGGAATTCCTTCAACTACCCTTCCCAGTAGTAGCACGTCTTACTCGTCCAGTGATGACAGCACACCAGCTTCATCAGTCACTTCTGTGCCTGCCAGTGACACGTCAACTCCTACAACTTCTCTGTCATCGCTCTCAGCCACCGAGACAATCACGCCCACAGTTACCTCTTCGTGGTTGACAGGTGTTCCCGCACCCTCTTCTACTTCGATCTCACCATCCACCAGCCAAGACTCCTCAGACTCCATCCCAGCATTGTCAACATCATACGACAGTGGCTATAGCTTTACGCTTCCGGCGTCCTCTTCCGAGACCTCAGAAGCTACTACTTCGTTCGCCAGCCAGACGTCGTCGGGGATCCCTGAAGGTGTCAGTTCAACCGCTGCGGTTACGGGATCAGAAGAAACCTTGACGACGCCGTTCCCGACCACACTGTCCACGATATCCGTCCCGTCCTCCTCCCAGTCCTCTGGCGATGATTCGACAGCGACTTCTTCTGCTGAGGGGAGCGAGAGCACTACTTATGGTGCAGAGCTGAGGAAGATTAGTGGGGGTCAGGACTTGGGTCAGATTCAGGGAATATAAGATGATTGGTCTTGGTTTATAAAAGTAGAGATGCCCTGGCTTTTCATTTCTTTTGACTGCGACTATTGCAGTCTAGTTATTGTTGGTGAAGATGGAAAGGAACAAGAAGAGTACGGGTTTGAAACTGTACTTCCTTATGAGACAGGACGTGATAGGTCTTAAAGAAAGAAAAAAATCACCTTTCACGGTCTCGCTTCATTTATGGCCAAGGCGACGTCATCTGCTTAGTACCCTCTTGTCTCCAGTGAATGATGCTATATCAATTGCAGTTGACTGCTTTGTTTACCTACCCCCTGAAGGAAAAGGAAACAGTGGAAAGAGCACTGCCAAGCACGGTGCTAAACATTACAGACCAATACTGGTTTGTTAGTTAGCTCGAGACCTCGGGTCAACTTTCCTAGGCGTTTTGATATCTAATGGATTCGTTTCTTTCCATGGCCAAAGCGTGATCTTATCTCGAATATGCTATTTCCAAAATTTAACATGTCATATTGAATCTTATTGATCCCTTTCCGATCCGTACCTAGCTATTCATATTGTCCTTGCAAGGTTTGAGATAGTTCGGGATAGATTTCGTCCAGTATGCTAGGAGTACCAGGCTAACAAAGAAACCAACATTGGATTGTAAAACCGCTGCAAGCCGGCCCGAGACGGAGCGTTTTGGACCACACCCCCGCAAAAGTCCGATGTCACCTCCGGTCGGGTCCCGACTCCCGTCCCCCACCTCCGAACACGTCATTGAAACCCAAACAACACAACGACAACCACAATTCCGCAAGCAAAAGTTGTTCTCAACGCAACAAGAACTTTTGATCAAATCATCACCCAATTGAAGCCCAATTCATAAATCATAATGGCTGAAAACAACGATACCTTCACCATCGCCGGCGGGGACATCCCGGTAGCGTCGTCATCAGCAACAGCACAAGCCGAAGCCCAAACCCAGACAACGGAATCATCAAGCGACTCACAACAACCCTCAGTTTCCCCCGAAGAAGAAACCCTCCCCTTTGCCCCCTCCCTCTCCACATCCGTCCTCCTCCCACTTACCCCCACCACCTCCTCCGCCCCCGCGCTTACCCACGTCCAGCGCGTCTGGGACTCCATCCGTCCCAACTCCGCCATCTACAACCTTCTTCTATCCGACATCGTCCTCGTAGCCGCCGTCTCCTACCCCACCGGCCGCATCCTCGCCCATTTGACTTTAAACCCAGTCCACCTCAACAGCAAGCGCATCCTGCACGGCGCCGTCAGCGGGACGTTGTGCGATTGGGCCGGGGGGATGGCTATTGCTGCCAGCATTGCTGGTGATGAACTCAAAGAGGGGGAGAAGGAGGGGGAGAGAAAGATGACGACGGGCGTGAGCACGGACATGCATTTGAGTTATTGCTCGACGGCTAGGGAGGGAGATACGCTGGAGGTGGAGGCGTGGGTTAGTAGGCGCGGGAGGAAGTTGGGGTTTACGGGGTTTGAGATTAGGAAGAGGGTGGAGGGGTGGGAAAGGGGCGAGAGGGGGGAGGTGGTGGTGTGCGGGAGTCATACCAAGTATTTGCCTTTTGGGCAGAAGAGGGAGTAGAGGGAGTGAACTGGTTGTGTAAGGCTAGGGACGGATGTATGAAAGAGTTTTTTGTTCGAGAGAAAGCATGGGGATGAAGAATAGCTGCCGGTTGCTCTTTTACATCGGGTCGAAGTTTACCTGGTAGGCCTTCATGTTATCGGCTTTTTGTCTGTTGAAGTTTAGCGGTGACAAGCCGCATTGTTTATTCCTTTACGATTCAGTACCTTTTACAAACTCCTCAAAGTACAGCGGTAGCATTGGGAGGAGAGGCGACCAGGCCCGGATGGTTGAGCGGCGCCGAGGTCAACAAAAAGCTGTACTTCCCCGTCTTCTTGCACGCCTCGCCGAGGGCGTCAAGATCCCACAGCTCGCCAATGGACATGCCGAACATGGTGAGGAAATACCTGTGGAGGACTGTCATTGCTCACTTGTCAGTATGTATGAGCTCATCTGGGAAGAAGCGGGAAAAAAAGAGAAAAAAAGGGAATGGACACCAAAACTCACCAAGATCGCACCCCGTCTCCTTCGAATACTCAATCGCCTCAAAAGCAGCAGAATCCCCCGCCACAGCCGCAAACCTCTTATTCCACACCCACCTCGCCGTCCTCTCGCTGCCCTCCACGCCCGCCAACTTCGAGTCCGCCATCTTCCCAAAATCCTCCGGCGTCGGGTTCTCCATGACGCTCGTCATCCCCGTCCTCACTAGCAACACATCGCCCACTTTGAACTCGACACCGAAATGTTTCGCCGCCGCCTCCAGGTCGTCAAAAGTGATTTTGTACCCGTCTAGCGGATGCCATTTTGGTCCTGTTTCTCCCTTGGAGTTAATGACCTCCTCGGCGTACCGCTTCCAATCGATTAACACGCCCCGAGCCACTAAGCCGCCCCTTGTATGCCAGCGGTCGATGGTTGGGAGCAGACCTTCCTTTTCGTTTTCTTTTTTGGTAGAGGTAGTAGAGGACAATTTCTCAACAGTAGGCACAAACCCATTATACGTCTCTCCCGAGTGCGAATGCGTGACGTGACACAACGAGTCCCACTGCGATGAGTACTGCGTGTTGAAAGTGAGCGAGTCGTCGAAGCCGTGCAGGCCTTTGGTGCCCATTTCGGCGGGCAGGGCAAAGGGCGTGTGGACGGGGGCCTGGCGGTGTCCGAAGGGAAATTTTATGGCGTTTAGGGACCAGCTTTTTGGTTGAAGTGATTGTGTTAGTAAGGTAGGATTTACAATAAGAAGACAGGCGCTGGGACAAGAAGGGCAAGACGAACTTGAGAGAGACCGAGATGCCATGTTGAACTTCAGCAGCTGCGGCTTTGACGGTCTCGGGGGTGATGAAGTTCAGAGTGCCGTAGATATCTTTGACGCCGTCTTTGTCGAAGAGACCCCAAGCACATCCCTGGGGTTGACCTTCAACCTTGGGGAGGTCGTCGAAGTCTGGGTAGAGTGTCTTGGCGTCCATGGTGAGGGTGACGGAGTGGGTTGAGGTTGAGGTTGGTAGTGATGTGGGAAGACCTCAAAAGTTCAAGATACGTGGCTTTGAGTTGAAGTTGAGGAAGAACTGAGCGGTGCTTGCGTGTGTTGTAAGAGCACCGTATTTGACCGGAGACGAGGTGTCGTTCGTCGTGGACATGGGTCAAGGAGTAAGCACAAGTGGAGCCCCGTCCGGAGTTCATGACATGGCTTTTGCGGGAGAGGTCACTAACACGCTATAGACAAGGGTGGTCAAGACTCAAGACTAAAGGGTTATGCCCCACGATGTTCACGTCTCCTACACACCGCGGGCCGGAGAATTCCAAGTCCCCGATGCTTTATAGAGTAGTTGCTTGAAGGCTGTAACAAAAATATGTAATCTGTAGCAGACTTTTGGTGATATTTCCATATCGAGAAAACGGAGGGGTTGCTGGGTTACATGTAACCTCAAGGACGAACAGAAAAGGAAACATTATCCGTCTTGGCTGCAGTTAAAGGTAAGGTAGTATATTCCCCACGTTTATAAGTGGACGTTAAATACATGAAGCACAATGCATGATCTGTGATCGAGCGGGAAAGCATGTTGTTATTTTCTTTTTCTAGCCTTTTCTAGACGTTGGTGCAGAGCCGCCTCCAGTCAGGATCTTTTCCGATCTTATAATGCATGGCAGGATCTTGGGGGCCATGTGGAGGGGCCAAAGGGGGAGGGAGGAGGTGAAAGCTGCTGGAAAACAACATGAACTTGGGGAACGCCCGACCGAATACGATTACGAAATATAAATGAGAAGTGGAAATTGTGATTCCGTGTCCCTTACAAGTCCGTGAGTCCGTGAGTCCGTGAGTCTGGCCGGCCTTTTGAGGAGGTGTGTAGCGGATCTCAACCCCATGCACATTGAGTCTCGAATTCGGTTGCCATGGTATCGAATGAGAAGGCGGCTGTAAAAGTTAGCGGCAGATGGCTTTTGTGGTTTCTTTTTAGTTCTGACCACTATGAATCAGGCTCGGCCGCTCCCGTACCTTGTTCATTTGGTACAATATTGTACCTCTATCTTGAAGTTGAGCGGTAAGAGATGGTAAGTTACTGTTTACCAATAGATTCAGACCGAAGCTCGAGATACGCACGATCTTGCAAAAGCCCAAGTTCATGGACTGATATTCAGGCACGAACAGAAGTATGGAGAACGAGACTGCGAAATAACTCCGCATTGTCTCTTTTGATGCAGGTACCTGCCTGTCTCCTTGTACAAAATCCGGTGCTATATCGAGTGATCAACAGTCTCTACAGCAAGAACCCTGTGAGGATGTCGAGCTTGTCCACACCGCTCTGTAACTTTCTTTCTTCGTGAACACTGGTACCGTTCACATCTTTGCGGACTTTATCCAAAACCAATCAACTTATTTTCCGCTACGGTAGCGGTTTCACAACAGATCTGGCTCTTTGGAGGATCAAGTGAAGTTACCCCCAGCGTAACATGGCTTCACCATCTTCCTTCTCTCTCAGGAAGCCAAGCCTCTTGGCTTCGTTGTGGAGAAGTCGGTTTCACACCAAGAAGGTGGATCCGAATACGACACAAGAGCTCGCTTTCGCTTTCGGGAAAAGCCCCCTGTTTTTCCCAGAGAGAGTGAGACCTCAAGGTGTATGTTGTTGATTTTGAACGGCGGGGAGATGGCTCCTCTTCCGGTACACGGTCCGTGACATTACGTTCGTTTGGTTACTCCTCTGGTCGTCTCCATGACTCGGTGTAGTAGGATGGCAGATGGATCGATATATAGGCGAGAGGCCGGAGTGCCCAACATGTCTTTACAAACGAACCACTGGTCTCTGCTCTTCTACAGCTACATAAAATCTTAATCACCATCCTCCACCTTGTACCTAAATTCTAATCAAAGCCTTCTCACAATACCATGACGGCAGACTCAACAAACGATGTCAAAGACACCGTCACCAATGGCGCCCCCAGCGGTGCCAATGGTCAATCCCAACTTCCCACCGAGGAAGACATGACACTTCTCCAGCTCCAACAAAGATATGCCGAAGAAGCTGCCAAGCGCATCCGGGCGGACGGCCCTACCCAGTTCCTCGACCTCACAGATGCCGACACAGACCGGTTCAAGGCCATCGCCGAGGATCCCTGGGCCGACCACGCCGCTCTCAACGCCAAAGAGACAGTCAAGGACGGAGCCGCCTATAAATTCCTCTTTCTCGGTGGCGGATACGGTGGTCTCATATTCACCGTCCGCCTCATCCAGGCTGGTCTGATCAACGTGCCCGACGATGTTAGACTGGTCGATGCCGCGGGCGGTTTCGGCGGCACCTGGTACTGGAACAGGTATCCAGGACTCCACTGCGATGTTGAGAGTTACATCTACATGCCACTGCTCGAAGAGACAGTGTATATGCCCAAGCAAAAATACGCACCCGGGACCGAGCTCCGCGAGCACGCTGATCGGATTGCCACCCAGTTCGACCTGCACGACAAGGCCCTCTTCCGCTCAAACGCAAAGGCAGCGACATGGGACGAGGAAGAGAAGCTTTGGACTGTCCAGGTCACGGAGGGACGGGGACCAAATGAGCCGAGCAGAGAGTTGACACTCAAGTGCCAGTATCTGCTGGTTGCTTCAGGAGTGCTCAACGTCCCTCATGTGCCCAAAATTCCTGGGCTCGAGGGATTTGGCGGTGAGATGTTCCACACAGCCCGTTGGAATTATTCTGCCACTGGTGGCTCCTATGAGAACCCGGATATGGAGAAGTTGAAGGACAAGCGGGTGGGAATCATTGGAACCGGCGCGACTTCTATCCAGGTCATTCCGCAGCTGGCGAAGTGGGCAAAGGAGCTTTACGTGTTTCAGCGAACACCATCGGCTGTACATCCCCGTGATCAAAAGGCGACAGATCCGGAAGAATGGTGAGTGACTCCTTTTATCAAACATTGACAAGATAAGCAGCGGCTAAATCAAAACAGGAAGTCAAAGATTGCATCCAAGAAAGGCTGGCAGATGGAGCGCGCACTCAACTTTGCCGCACACATGAGCCTCGCTGCCAAAGAAGGTGAAGAGAACCTAGTAGACGACGGATAGACAAGAATCCCCGCCTATTCTGCCCTGATCGGCTCTCCTGGGTATGGCCTCGTCGAGCCTACTCCCGAGGCGATTGGCGCGAACGTGGCACGCCTGTACAAGATGGATACCCCCACGGCCGAAACTGCTCGTGCTCGCGTCGACCAGATCGTCAAGGACCCAGAAACTGCAAACAAGCTCAAAGCCTGGTACCCATCATGGTGCAAGCGGCCCACCTTCAGCGATATGTACCTCCAAGCCTTTAACGAACCCAACGTTCATCTCATCGATACAAACGGCCAGGGCATCGAAGCGGCGACAAAGGACGGTCTGGTCTTTGCCGGCAAGGAGTGCCCGGTGGATGTTCTTGTCCTCAGTACTGGTTATCGCTCGCCGGCCTTTGGCAACGGCAACCCAGCAGCCAAAACCGGTATCGAAGTTATAGGTCGTGGAGGCTTGTCGATGGACGAGAAGTGGAAGAATATCGGCTCAGCGACTCTTCACGGTGTTGCCACCAGTGGGTTCCCCAACCTGTTCTTTGCTTTTGGCCCGCAAACCGCTGCCACAGCCAACTTTGTCACGATGCTGGAAGTGGGCATTCAGCACACTGCACACATTTTGGCCAAGGCAGAGGAAAAGGTGGGTGCCGGCTCGCGAGCTGTAGTTGAGGTTACAAGGGAGGAGGAGGAGGCTTGGACGATGCAGGTCATGATGCGTGCCCCTTATTTTGCGACCATCATGGGCTGTACCCCTGGATATCTCAACGGGGAGGGCCACTCTGCAAGACAGGACCCGAAGGACATGATGAAGGCGAGTAGGTCGTCAGGATGGAGTGAAGGAATGCTGTCGTACATCAAGGTACTCGAGGAGTACCGCAGCGAAGGGTCTCTGAAGGGTATCGAGGTCACTGCCGCATACAAGTAAGGAGATTGCAGTTGACTGTTCAATGACATGAAGGAATTGAAGACCCCATGGTTAATCACATGACCCTCACACCGTCCTTTCAGTCAAGGCAGGTGCTTCTTTCTCCCGATGCTCGACGTGCCGTGATGTTCTGGTGATACCTTGCCGTTCGTTCCTTCCGCACGAGATGCCACAACGTCATCAACCAGCGGACGCTCCACGACATATGAAGAAAACTGCCTGGCACCCACGCGCTTCTCAAACAGTTCATCCAATTGCTCCAAGCTTCTTCCCTTTGTCTCGGGCACAAACACCCACGTCCAAACGGCCAAGATCAGATTGCTTCCTCCCCAGATGTAACCATACTTTGGGGTCCAGTTCAGCTTATCCGAATTGATAAAGTAGGGCGAAAAGAACGACACCATCCAGCCAAAGAATGCGTTAATCCCAGCTCCGGTTCCCACCGTCTGCGACCGCAATCTTTGCGACGGGATCTCGGCCGCCAGAGCAATGAGCACACCCGCCTGTCCGAAGCCTGCCACCCAGCCGTATACGATCGACAGCGCAACCAGTCCCTTTGCGGCCCCCGCACCATTATCCGTCGCAGTGTGACTGCCCGACACCGTGTATATAATGGCCATGCCGAGCCACATGGCTGCCGACCCAATGGAACAATAAATGATCAGCTGGCGGCGACCCCAGATGCGCATGGCCGAAAACGACAACATGTTCCCCGTCAAGGCGATGACCAGGGATATCATGACCCAGTAAAATGGCTTTCCGACCTTGGCCATCATAAACAAGTACACCGAAAAGCCCGCCATGAACGTGATTCCGGTGCAAGTTCCGCCGATGATGCACCCATAGCTGAGCAGTGTCCTTCGCAGATCCGTACCACGAAACATGCCCTTCAGATGGATACCGGCATGAAGCTCCTGTTCCATCTCGTACGCGCTCCTGATATCCTCGACTTCTGCTCGAAGCAGCGTTTCGTCCTTGATGCCTCTCAACCGTCGAATGGCGTTGATCGCATTTTCATCCTCGCCTCTCATCACATAAAACCTCGGCGTATCCGGCAGAAACAACAGGAAAAGAGTCAACAGTGACGGCACAATGTACATCACTCCCAGTGGTATCCTCCACGACGCAGAACTTTCCCTCCCATTCGTGTAGTTATCCACCAAGATCCCAAACAGCGCCCCCAGCGAAGTCTGTAAGACTGTCATCCCGAGTATCGGTCCCCTCAACAAACTCGGCGCTGACTCGCTCACAAACATGACGTTATACGGCACCAGAAACCCATTCGACATGCCCAGCAACAAGCGACCCGCATACAGGCCCCCGAGATTCTCGACCCCAATCATGATCGACACGGACAAGAAGGCGAGCGCGCAGCCAATCCACAACCCCAATCGCCGCGAGATCTTCGAACCCAGAAAGTAGATGGCAAAAGCGGACATGAAACTCCCGATGTTGATGAGAGACTGGATCAGCCGCTGGACGTTGGTGCTGATGTTATAGCCGATGGGAGTGTGCGGGTCGACATGGCCATAGATCTTGAGGAAGCCGCGCATAGACTGGAAACCGGCGATAGCGGCGGAGTCGTAGCCATATTGGAAGTAGGAGAGTGTGATGAAGAAGGAGATGGCTATGATGCGCTTTTCGGCCCAAAACCGGCTATGGCGGGCGGTTGTGAGTTTTTTGGCGAACATTTTAAGCCCGTTCCGCGTCTCTGCAACAAGCTAAACGTGGGAGAAGAATCGTGAAGGACCAGCTGCGAAAGGGAGGACAGACACGTTATATCAACCTCTTATCATCCTCCGGCCGGTCGACTACCGCTTTCGAGGTAACATCTTTGACGACACCGGTCTTCGATCTGCCAAATATCTTGCATGTTATTGAGTCCGAGATTCTGATATGCCGGCGAAGCCGCTTTCCCCTCAGATGCAAGGGTCCAGTCACCGTCCTGGATTCGATATCAGCCGGCTGGGCTTTATAGCATCTGGACGGTACGCACAATTTAAACTTTCGGTCTGCAGCCAACGCCGTTGCAACTTTAAAGTTTCTGAGACTTGTGTAACCGATGCATCGTCACATGATAACAACGCGCGTCAAGAAGGAGAAGGCTTTGGCAGCGATGCATAATGGCTGCATCTACGCAAGCAAGGAGATGAATGCGATGGTTTCTTCGGGAGATTCACGATGCTCTGCGACATCTTCCGAGCTCGCAACGCCCTAACATCGTGGAGTGTCTAGTCAGACCGCGATAGTCCGACGACAACAAGCGTCCCGTGCCGTTGCTATGACGACAATCAGAGGCCCACAAAAGGGGCCCTTTTTCGCACCAGAATGGCCAATTTGTGCGTCGTGTATTTGGTATGCTAGCCGACGGGTGAAGGTTTAAAAACAATCGCGATACTTCAAAGGATTGCGCTTCTTCAACGGAAAACCAAGGGGAACATTGTCGTTGGTACTGGGGAAAAAGAAAGGGCGGGACAGGCTCCGCAACCTGACGGGTGGAAAAAGAAAAAATTGGCAAAATAAATGGGACCTGGGAGGCTCGAACTCCCGACCTCAGGATTACTCTGATTTTTTAACCAGATCATACAGGGGTATGAGACCTGCGCGCTAGCCAACTGCGCCAAGGTCCCTTGATGGGTTGTGAGCTTGCCCTCGGATTTTATGCTTATGAAATCACAACAGTGTCTTTGTTGGAGGAGGTTTGGCTCGCACTTCGCAGAGCAAAATTGCGATGCCTCGGCCGGTAGACATTTGGACGCAACATACAGTGAACGTCGACGTATCTTCTAGTGGTATTACCCCCAACTCAGTACTATAATCTCTAGAGAATGGATGAGTGATGGAGACTTACTCGAGAATTGCAAATGGTGAAGGACGGAAATGGTACTCATGTTTGTGTCCTGAATTTGTTTCGACTTTCGACACCTCAAATCTGAAATGTGCACCGCAGCAACGACACATGTCGGAATTATAAGCACTACTCCGCGGCCGAAACTCCAACAATAAAACCCCTTGTGGTGTAGTTGGATATCACGTTCGGCTGTAATTGTTTAGATTGTATACCGAAAGGTCACCGGCTCGATTCCGGTCGAGGGGAACTTCTCTTTTTTCGTCATTTTCGTCCTCTTTTTCCCGAGGACGCCTTTTTTTTTTTTTTTTTTTGCTCTTTTGCGTTGTTTTTTTTCTGGGTTCGGTGTCATGCAAGCAGGAGGAGACCCACTCGTTCTGCAAGATCGGTGATCCACACACGACGGGAGATTTCTTTTCGTGGTGGCATGGGTGATCCTGACTTCGTCTTTTTGTCTGCGTTCCAATGAGCCAAAGCCAATGTTCGAATCTGCTCTGTCGAATTTGAACCATTGCCCGCCCACTGGTGCTGTGTGAATGCGCGCGCGTGTCGTCTAGTAACTTTTTGCTTCGGATTCGCCTCAAAAAGGATGACAACTCTGCCTGATAGTACCAAGATGCCGACATCAAAATCAACATGGTCACTTTGCTTCCAGAGCTCTCTCTGTCTGCCGGCCTATGTCACCCATGTACCGGATTTTTGCCCCTAGTCGAAGTGAGGTGAGATTTAGTCGACGCTCTCATAATGTAGACTACCTCGACGGTTTGTCGTCGTGGACAACGAGAAGGCGCCAGGCCTCAATCATTCCAAGTGACCAGAAACCTCCGAATCTGACCTGAAATGACTTGTAGGTAGATAATGGCACATTCAATGATGAACAAACATATCCTGCCCGCCTCAAAATGAACCTTCCAAATCCCCCTCTTCTCCATTGATTCACCAGGCCCATCCATCCATTTCCCCAGACCCCAGATTTGCTGCTCCGGTTCCTGCATGTAAATAGTCTCATGGGGAAATTCGATTTCATGATACATATCGCGCATTTCTTTCGATTTCTCCCTCGATCCCCGCAAGTGTTACGAAAGGGTTTATCGCTATTGGTTGTTCGGAATAGAGTCTGAGAGAGTCTAGATCTTTGAGGCTTTGAAGCTAGTTGATGTTAGTATCCACATCGCTTGTCAGGTCCGGGTACGCCTCCCATGCTCTCTGGGGCCCCAGGGACCAGGGGTTAGCGTTGAGAACTTGAGCCAGCTGAATGAGGAACTTTGATATTGGGCCATGTTTTCTCATCGGCTTATTCATTCAAAGTGGAAGTCACATACAGAGGAGCACTAGAAGTGATTGGTAGGTATTGAGGACTTCGGAGAGAAAATATCTATTAGACCTTTATAGCTTTCTCGTGTCTCCGTTCCGTGTTGTACCCATCTTGTGCGTATCATCGCATCGCATACGTTCTGTTGTTGGCGTGAATTGCCTGCCCCCCTCGGTGCCCCGTTTCTTTTCCCAGGCACGCTGAAAAAAATATCAAGCTAAAATAAAACCAGATACGAACAACTGGGATGTAAGGGAAGTCATCAGGTAAAGGCATAAATATCAATCTTCTAGCCTAATATCAATGGGTAACCTCTTAATTCCTCGAAAGCCGCGACGCCCGGTATAAGAAGAATAACCACTTGGCATCTTCTATCAACACAAAGTGATCATCATAAAGTCATTGATGTGCTCCGCTACAGCCTGCGAAGGATTCCAGTCAAAATTTTATGTATCCCACCAACCACCAGAAATAAAACGTATCCCCATCCACTCATCCACCGGAAGATAGCAAGAAGCAGGGGTATTAATGCTCAGAATGAAACCTCAACGCGCGCTACACGGGCGCCCCTCCACTGCCACCCGCATCAGAATTTCGGTTCCCTGTGAGTATCGCCAGCTCGATGTTTTCCATCGGATTTGGCGCCATGGCCTGCGATGCACCTGGGTTTTGAGATGTTGCTGTGCCTGGTGAGTTCCTGGCAACTCCGGAGTGATGGCTGCTCTCGGCGATTGTCGAGTCCAGCCCAGTCGCTTGGCCAACTAATGGAACATGCGTAGGGGTCCCAGGAACGGCACTGGATTCTGTCGCCCGCACCGCCTCGTAAAACTGAAGGCCATGAGGTGGTACGGCAAAAGGCTGGCCAGGGACAAAGTGGAAAGGATTCGTGATAAGGTGCTGTTGTGGCTGTATCGCGGGTGGCGGTGGTGGCAGCAGCTGTTCTGTGGATGCCACGCCCTGAATAGGGAACGCAGTACCACCCATAACCGCATGGTGATTATGAAGCATTGGCTGCGTGTCTATCACCATCTCGCTGCCATCTTCCAAGCCATCATCGTCGTCTACCGCATCAGGCTCGCCATCGTCAATGAACGCAGCTGCTACGGCATGGTGACCAGGTGGAGTGACCTGCATTGGGTTGACTGCTGTTCCTGGGAAAACAGGGCCGGCTCGGTTCGGTACTCCTTCGTCGATTGGTCTTGCACCACGAGTGATCTCCGTCAGATTGTGCTCGCTGTTGAGGTAGCGCCGAAGATTGGTCACACCCTGACCGGAAAAGACGCAGAAAACAGCTCTCTGATGTTCAGTGAACTCTGTAGGTTTTGTTAGCCCTTGAACCTGATCGTGAATCGCTTGGAAGGGATTATCAGCATACCAGCTGGTGCCTCGCGGCAGAAACTCTCCAAATCCTCACGCAGGAACGCTTGGACACCCGTAACACTCAAGTGGGTGAGACGAGGGCATGCATTCAAAAGTCTTAGGACACTCTATGGAAGATATTAGTATCACAACCGAGATGGATATGTCACGATTCTACTTACCCTTAATGTCAAGTTGGTGCAATAGCTCAGATGAACCCTCTCAAGGCTGCTGTGGTGCATACTATTGTAACAGTCCCCGGGAACAAGATTGCCGTCAGCATCTCTGCGAGGCCGGCGCTGGTTCGCCCTAGCAAGAGCATAGACACTCTCGTCTGTGATATTTGAACATTTGACCAAGCCAATGCGCTTAAGCTTGGGCAGAGTAGCAAGTCTCACGACAGAATCATCTGTCAAATGGACGCAGCAACCGAGATCAATGTATCGAATCCGGTTGCAACATTGAACTAGCCGTTTGACAGCCTCATCTGTGATGTTTCCGCAGTGGCCCAGATGGACATAGTGCAGATTCTTGCCCAGCCTGGCGATAGCGAACACAGCAGCATCTGTGATGTTACGGCACTTTGCGAGCACGAGGTTGCGCAGGCGAGGAGCTACATCAATGATCTTCTCAACGGCTCGGTCCGTCAGTCTGGAGCAAGACGTCAGGTCTAGGATTCGGAGTTGCTCGTAGGTCTTGTTAGGGGGTAGGGAAAGGAATGCCGAGTCGTCGATCAAATCGCAACTCGCGAGGCGGAGCTCTCGAAGAGCTTTGCCTTTAGACATGAGCGCTGTAACTGGGTCGTTCCCAATCAGGCGACACTGGTGGAGATCGATCTCGAGGATGTTGGGGCAATTCTCAGCAAATGCGATGACGGCCTCGTCAGTCACCTGGGCACACTCGTTCAGTTTCAACTGCATGGACAAAAGACGTTAGCGTTTGCTTTCATGCCCAAATTCTTCACCACCAAAGGCAGAGCTGCCCCGTTTGAGCGCGATGTAGTGGAAAGAACCTACCCTCTTGATAAATCTGCAGCTGTGCGCCAACTCCACCAGACTTGCAACTGAGATCTTAGTGCAGTTGGCGATATTCAGGCCCTGTAGTCTGTGGCACTTTTCCGCCACGGCGTTGATAGAAGTTTCCGTGATGTCTTCCATGCCAGAAATGTCGAGAGCCAGGAGGCCAGTGTTGTTCTGGAGCAGTTTGAGGAGACCAGCATCCGTGATGCGTTTGCAACCAGTCATGGTCAGTCGCTCGACACGACTGCACATCTCCAAAGACTCGACACTGCCATCGTTGAGTTCGGGAGCCAGGGCCGACAGGTTGAGTCGCCTGATGAAATGTCGGTAGGCGAAGTACGGTCGTGGCGCACTGAGAGTTTGGCAGATGGTCGTGTGTCGTTCCCAGGACGAGCAAGCTGGACGGTGCCACAGAATTTCCACTGCATTCCGAGCCCAGGACTTGCACGTCAGCATGACATGGAGAATATCTGAGGAGGTTGTGAGTTTGACGAAGATGGCGATGAGTAGTTCGTTGGGCAAGCGATTAATAGGCGCTACACGGCACTCCTCATCGGCGACTTGCATGTCCTCGATATTGGGAACGCCTAGCGACGACTGGGAGTCGTTCGCGCCGAGAAAGAAGTCGGATTCTTCATTATCGACGGGCGGAGGGGTGCTCGACGACGAGGTTGATCGCGAATCGTCTTGAGCCAGCTGTTGGGCGGCCTCCGAGTTGGCTTCGGGAGCCGCGTCCCCTTGGGCCATCGGTGTTCCCCGGTCGTCGGCGATTATGTCGAGAGAAGCACGTAGCCTCATGATAACAGCTGTGCCAGTCTGGTGGCAAGCGAAGGGAGATGTGAGAGAGTTGAAGAAGTTGTCGGAAGGGAGGGCGACAAGAGGCAAGGCGATGTGATTGATGGCTGACTAAGTAGGCGCGAGGATCGGTCGATTGCTCGTCGGGGTGGATGAAGGTTCTAGGGGGCCCGGGGCCGCAGGTCAATCAAACACCAGGTGATGGGAGCCTCTGCTTATTGAGGGGCGGACAGTGGAAGGCTAGGAGTGACGAGATGGTCCTCAGGGAGACGGGAGGGAAGTCGGGGCGGCGTGAGCGGAGGTAGAGGATTCGGTTCAAGTTGGTCAAGAAGCCGCCGAGATGGGGTGCCGATGGGTTGGTAGCACTGGTGCCTCCTATCCTAGAGGCGTGCTATTTATTTTATCCTAGTACATACAAAGAATGGATGGTCGTTGTTGGGGGAAAGGACGAAGTATTGTCGAAGATGGCGATTTCAGTTGCGTTGCAAGGTGAATGGGGCCGCTTGCTTGAAGAGGATGCTCGGCTCGGGCTGTGCAAGTGAAGATGCCCGGGGCTTATTGTTGGTACGTAGGGGGAAACAGCGACACTGGCGTAGCTGCATGACTGTGCAGCGCATTCACTTTGGATGGAGGTGCTTTTAAATGCGGATGGAAAGGGAATGGGCGAAACCTGGCTGGCAGGCACAAGGCGAGACAGGGCAACAGGAGTGGGGAAAACACTGCAGCGTCAGTGAGCGACAAGCAGGCAGTATCCATTCCCCGGTCACGCTCTCGGGTCACTGCCGTTCTCAACGGTTGGGCGTAAACTCCAGCTCGTCTTGCTGATGTTCGTATTCTTCCTGGAGGGTTTGATCATGTTCTTTCTTTAAATTTCTAATACGTATTATGGCTGGCCCGGTTTGATGGCCAGTTGGTAGGCAAGAATGGCGGGCCGCTATAGATATCGCCGAGCCAGATGCCATGCAGGTTACGCCATTGTAGCAGTTACTATTCAGGGGATGGGCAGTGGAGGTCAGGTCCCGACACACGCCAGTCCTGTCGCTACCTTATCTAGCGTGGTGTAGACGCAGCGGGCTGTCTATCGGCGGCTGTATAGTCATTGTCCCTCTTTGCATCCACGTTCTTGAGCTTCCATGCATGTCTCCATTGCTCTCATAAAACTAATATCCCACAGATAGTCGTTGCCATGCTGTTGGCTTGGGAAGAGACGTGACAGTTTGGAAGCAAGTAAGCAAAACAATAGTCGTGATCACTGCGCACCGACACATCGAGACATACGGGAGACTCCAAACTCCAGAGTCCCCAGGTCTGGACTTGACAAAGTCCGGTGACTGTCCTGCAGCCTCATGACATACATTGTGTGTAGGCCCCTCTTATTGATGCAACAACACAGATCTCGAGAGCCATCAGCTGGTGCAACTCTGTGACATCAAACCATCACAATAGGTACTGGGGGGAGTGGGCAATTCGGATATTGTCAGCAAAGACAAGCCAATTTCCTCCTTTGATCATCATAGGGCGATGGCTATACGGTGGCCACCAAGGTTCAGCTAGCGAGTGATTGTCCGTCCCATCCGAGACCCAGCAATTTTCGGTCGAAAGTCTGGAGTTTGGACGCCGTTTGTCAATCTCGGAAAGACGGGCTCGGGATGGTGGCACTAGGTATCTCTCAAGAATGTTGTTTGGAGTCAAGAGCGTGCCATGTTCAGACTTCAGAACGCAAGGAAGACGACGAGCCCAAGCTGCACATTGAGGTTGTATCGAGGTCGCGCGGGAACGAGACGAACCCAGGTGCGCAACGGTTATTCGCCCATGACGCTCTGCATGGCGCTTAGAGCACGACGGTGGCTGGCCAGTGGGAGTTCAATAAATGATGTTGCGAATCTCGACCTCTGCCCGGGATGCTTTGGAACTTGCGTTCAGTTGGTGAGGCCTGCGCTTTGTTCGCATACATACCTCTTCATAACCCCGCGAAGGACCCTGGTTTTGTCACTTCAGCTCGTCCCGCCTTAGCTCCCCCTGTTCGGACCGTATCACTAATGGAGGGGTGACCTCATATCTCAGATACTGTAGGGTTACTATCGAAGAGATTGGTGATGGGAGCGAAAGAAGGGAAGGGAGGGATATGGATAGACATAACCAGACCACGAAGCAGATGGAGACGGGGAAGAGTTGTTTGCGAGATCGGCCACCGAGCAAAAGCACGGGCAAAGAGCATGGAAGCGGAGGCTTGCTCAGTCCTTGCCTTTGATCACCACTCGGCTTTGCATCCGAACTCCCACTCCCCTGGAAGGACCACTCCCGCCGGGCATAAGTAATATGCATATCTCGGAATCATGGGGCAAACGAAGTATCTTGATCAATATCGATAACTAGCACGTAGGTATGCATATCTCGGAAGCAGGTGCCCTAGGGAACTATTATTACAGTAGGTTTGTACGGCAAGAAGGCCATCGGCAAATTCACTTCTAACGATGCCCAGAGGTCGCATTCGTTATCGTCCTGCATACTATTCGTCTTATCAAACTGTTAGTAGCCTTAACAGTTTGTACCAATTTTGCAACCACTTTCCTTGACAATCAGAAAACAATTCGAGGCCATTCAGTGGTTTTCTGTTAAGCGTCTGAACACACAGAATGCCCACCGCTGACAGCTGCGGAGCTTGGCTACACTATCATCGCCATGATGTCAATTTCGTCTTCTGGTTACGGAGCTAGAACTAGTATCACCGAACTCAAGGCTTCTAGACCCCAGCACGAGGTCTTCAGGAATTGCAAAAGATCGTGCGCGGCGCTCGGCCATGAGGTGAACCAGTCAAGTTACTCAATTGATCTCTAATTACACAGAACAGCCCCGAAGCTGCGACAGTTCACGACTACAATGCTTCGCCAGTCGACCTTCAAGCAACTGCTCAGGTCCCTTGGATCCGCGGCCAAAGCCGCAACACGAACTCCCGCTTCGCGCCGAACCTTCCTGAGCCCTCCGCGAAGCCAACCCAACGAGCACCTCAACCGCCTCGACGTCAACAAGCTCTCGGAGCAACAAATCAAGTATGCCCGCAACCGCCGCGCCTTCCTCTGGACGGGGCTCTTCTGCAGCGTCAGCTCCATGATCTACGCCGGCTACCTCATCAAGCTCGAGCTCGAGAATTCGCCCGTCCAGGCCGACTCCAGCCTGCCGTCGACCGACCCTCTGGCCGGCACCAACGCCGCCGAGCGCAAAGTAGTCGTGCGCGACGAAGAAGGCCACGAGCTCGTCCCGACCGGCAACAGCACCGTCCCGACCTTCCCGCGCACGCTCGAGCTCGGTAGCTTTGAGGGGGCCATCGCTCCCGGCGCCTCCGCCTCGGGCCTGGCCACGACCATCACCGGCGCCGACAAGACCGAGTACACCCTCGTGGGCTTCGGCCTGCGCACCGTCACCTTCGTCGGCATTCAGGTCTACGTAGTCGGGTTCTACGTCGCCACCGCCGACGTGGCCTCGCTGCAGTCGGCGCTGACCAAGAAGGTCAATCCGATCGCCACGACGCTCGTGCCTGGTGAGCGCGACCAGCTGCGCACCGACCTTCTCGACCCTGCCAAGGGCGAAGAGCTCTGGGATGGCCTGCTGGCGAACGGAATCCCTGCGCGGTCCGTCTTCCGCGTGATCCCCGTGCGCGACACCGACTTCCACCACTTGAGGGATGGCTTTGTGCGCGCGATCCAGGCTAGGGCTGGCAAGGTCGAGGACGAGCAGTTTGGCGAAGCGATGAAGCACTTCAGGCAGATTTTCAATCGCGGGAAGGTTCCGGCGAAGAAGGAGCTTCTGTTGATTCGTGATGGAGAGGGTAAGTTGATTGTTGTGTACGATGATGGCGGCAACAAGAAGGAGGGAAGGCCGGCAGGGAGACAGTTGGTTGGAATTGTTGATGACGAGCGCGTCTCGCGTGCCCTGTGGTTGAACTACTTGGCTGGTAAAAAGGTTGCCAGCGAGCCGGCGAGAAAGAGCATTGTTGAGGGCATCATGGAGTTTGTGGAGAGGCCAGTTGGAACTGTTGCAGCCCAGGTGGTATAGACAATATACGGATAAAATGAGATCTACAAATATCTGGGCCGAAAAATGATCTTCGTGAAAGAATATAGTATGCATGAGATGCCTTTTTTAAACCACAAAGTCACAATTCAAGCATCGTATACGTTTGGCCATGATGTTCGGATATTCCAATGTTTTTGTTTCCGCAAAATGCTTCAGACGAATAGCCGCCGTATGATAGATCCCTGGGTATCCGATCCCGCGATTTTAAAAACTAGCAGAAGTAGAGCCCCAATGGCGCCACGCACACCACGGGGTTCCCTTGATGCCTCCCACCATGTGAGCCTCTCGAGCGCCTTTCCCCTTGGCCAAACCCTCTCCCTGTAGAGGTTTCTTTCAAACCAGACAGTCGTGTTCTTCGTAAACACCGATATTGTTTCCATCGTGTCTTGCGGAGAGCGACTTAGAGAGCGCCAGCCTCCTGGAGGAGCTCCTGGATCTTCTTGCCGTTCTTGCCGTTCTTGACAACAGCCTCGAGATCGGAGTTACCGCCAATGTGCTGCTTGCCGATGAAGATGTTGGGGACAGTGCGTTGGCCGGTCATCTTGAGAAGGGCGTCCTGGATATCGGAACCGTCGCTCTCCTGGTTGAGCTCGTAGGTGGTGTACTTGGCATTGAGGCCGTCGAGGATCTGCTTGGAGTTGGAGCAGTAGGGGCAGTAGGACTTGCTGAAGACAACTGTTTGCGACGATGAACCGTTAGCAATGGGTTGCTTCATGCGGCAGACAGCAAGACATCTGCAATTAGCTGCATGGAGGAGCGATCGGAACAGCGAGTCTCCGCAAGAGATACACGATCAGGGTTCTCGAGCGAACGGTGCATGCACCAGACCGTCGGACTCGCGCACACACATGGAGCGCACGTGTAGCGGCCCGTGCCGATGCAGCTGATGACTTCGCGCGACTTCATGCCGCCAGTGCGCAGGGGAACGCAGAAAACGGTTAAACGTGAAGTAGTCACATACCGACAGCGTTGTCGTTGATCAGCTGCTTAGCCTTCTGAGTAGCGGCGTCGGACATGGTGGATGTTGTGCTGGAGAAGAATCGGCGGAAGATGAAGGACATGGAGGTTGCGCGGGGTTGAGGTCCAAAAGGAGCGATATATATACAAGCGGGAAGGGAAAGGGTTTTATGTTGAACAGTTGGAGAAGGTCGGTTGGGGAAACTAAGCACTGCAGAAAGCGAAGCGTTTGGAAGGCGTGTGTGACCGTGTGTCAAACTAGGGTGGGCACAACGGGATAGATATGAGGGGTGGGAATGGCGATTGCGACATTCGGTGTGAATTTGTCACGACTCCAGTTATGGAAGGCTCCCTCATATCACACTTTCGGCGCGCAAGATGCCGCAAAGTCGCCGACTCGATCAGAATATTTGCGGAGTAATTCCAGTTTCCACATTACTAATGGCAACAATTCGAATTCAATCCTACCGGTTGAAGTCCGCCGGTCTCACGGTGTGTCTCGAGCATCAGATATAGGGACGAATGTCGCCATCATCTCTGATTTTTGCGCTCAACAATTCAAATCTTTGCCGTCTCGACTACACGGCTCATCCTTGGAGCTTGCATGGACACAAACAACCCAATGACGCAAAGGCATTTCCGACCGCGCGATTCACCCGCGATTCACCAGAAAGCCATCTTCGAATCCCCGCCGTTATCTTAACTCCCCGTTCCTATGACCCCACTTCCCCAACCTTCAAGCCACGATGTCTGTGCTGAGATTCGGCAAGCCTTCGCGCAAGTGTTGAAGTTGAAAATAAAAAGAATCTCGGATCTATAAGTGCCGATGACATTGCTCCTCACTAGTATTTTCGCATTCTCTAATAATTCAAGGGTCTTGATGCCTCGGTACCCATGGCGATAAGAAGAGGGCAGTCCGCAATCGGCCGAGCTGCAATGCTGACAGGGACTTCATCAAAACAGCGAGGATAGCCGCCATCAAGGGTTCCACTCGGGACGCCGACTTCAGCCACGGCCAGCCGGGGGCAGTTGGTGTCCGGTCTGGTGAAGCGAATACAACGCTTCATACCCTGGATCAGCCTGGCAAGCCCGGTCCTTTCCAGCACTGTGCTCTAGAGAACTCAAATCGGACCAAATCGCAAACTCTGGTGAGGCGGATAATCCGGCGTTTCCCATTGGAGCGACGATGAAGCTATTCACAGCATGTGAGGGGATCAGAAGGTCGGCAGCCTTGGACCCGGCCATGACTTCATCTGGGAACGAAATGCATGTCATCGACTTTGTTGCCGCCACGGCATCGTGATCCCTGGCTTGGTCCCTGTCCACATTTCCCCAGAGCCGAGGGCCAGACGGCTCCACGGGTCTTGGAAAGTGATGCACGTGAGTAACCCCGACGCTCTTATTCCAGGTTCGGCACAGTGAACCACGTTTGCCGGTTGATCATAGACTCCGTGGTGAGTTTTCAGCCAGTTGAGCTCTCCAACGCGCACTAGAAAACGAGGCGAAGAGAGGCTGAGCGGAAAAGATTAGCGTCCTCTTTCTTTCGACGTTACCCGACTCACCCGACACTGACAGTGTACGATTCTCTTGAAGATGAGGCGATGACTGGAGGTGGTGTCCCTACCTTAATCTCACAACAACAGCCCGTTGAGTTCACCAATGGCTTGCCCGATTCGAGGCCCTGAAGCGGCTTGTTGCAGGGAGCCACATAACATGTAGAGGCATGATGCAAGACCCCAAAGATACTTGGAGTGGAGATTACAAGTGGTCGAAGAAGAAGTCTGGGGATCTTACAGATTTGAGAACAATGTCTGAAGAGACTGTTGAGCTCGTGAGATGAACACCATGAGCCAGTTGATGAACGTGCAAGTCATGACGGATTACCTAATGATACCAATGTGGCCAATGGGAGCAGTTTCAGAAGGCACCCCGGGGCAGGAGTAACGGGCAAGCTTGCCTTGGCCTTGGGAGTTGGGGCCACTTTTAGCGGCTCCGTGGGTTCTTCCCTTTCGGACGGGTGTTCAGATGAAAAGTTGGGATCCCGGTCGCGCTTTCAGGCTCCATGTGCAACCTTTCCATCTGACTTCAAAACTGTCCTGACACGAAAAACCGCCACCGTCCACTTCAAGCTGCACCCTCAAACCTCAAACATCAACCCGAACCTGGTCTCCCACCCTGTCCGCCGCCATCCACACCATTCGCACCCAACCTTGCCGGCATTGCTAGACTTGTCCAACCCAATCGGTTGTGTTGCCAAAGACGCCCACTCCCGCATCTGCGCAACAGCCTGAAAAAGGACCCTTGGACCCCGAGGCGGTGATCGTCGTTCTAATCGTCATTTCCCTACCAATTTTGAATACGGGTGTCAAGGACAACTGGTCTCTCGTACCCTTCTTCGCCAGCCCACGAAGAAAGAAAATTACAGCCCCAGCTTCGCGATTGGTCTCACGCCCTTCTACCCATCTAGATCTTGTCCGCCGTTGATTGCTCGACGCCTGCGGCCAAGTCGATAGCAGCGCCGTATCATACGATCTCACCAGTCAAAAAGGTCAACCCAATTACCCCCCAAACCGGCCAGATCAACTATAATAGACTTTCCAGATTTCCACCTTTTCTTCTCTCTTTTGCAGCAGGTCAACGGCATACTGTCGTAAGACCAGCCCACAGTCGCAAAAGTGGCTTCCGGAGGAGATTCGGCATCGTCAGGTGCCTTGATTGCCCAGCTTGCCAACATCACGTCCTTCTTAAAAGTTCCGACTCAGTTGCAGCCTTACCTCGAGACCACCGCTGAGCATCTGGCCTCAGCTTCAGAGTATCTTCAGTCAGCGACCGGTCTTTCGCCCACCCAGGTCTACACTGCTGCCGCCGGTACACTCCTCGCTCTGAGCGTCATCCCCGTCGTCGCCGCCCGGAAATCCAAAAGCAGAAAGGGAGGAAAGATGTCTTGGTGGGGGCGCCCCAGCTTGTCGTCTTGGAACTCGGGTTTTGGCCAAGGGGGTGTGCCGAGTGTGAGTGAGGAAGATTTCAGCTACATCACTACCGAGGATCTTGACAGTCCTCGGTACAATCAACGCTATGACTATAGTCGGTCACTACCGGCTCTTGTTCCGGGTACCAGCAGGTACGAAGAACCAGAAGACGACGCTCTAAACATTGTTTACAAGAACGCCGTGTACCCTGAGGGGTTTCCTGCGTACTCGATTGGCGACGGCAAACTTCTGGTCAGTGATGTGAAGGAGCGAGTGAAGCTGATCTTGGGAATTTCCGATCGCCACGGGAGAATCCGTCTGTACTACAAGGGTCGGCGCTTGAGGGATGATGACAGGCCTGTCAGAGAGTATGGAGCCAAGCACAACAGCGAAATCACGGTTACGATAAGCGAGCGTGAATCCGAGAGCAGCAGTGATGTGGGGAGCGATGAGATTGTTATCGTTGATCGTGACGGGCATGAGGTCCGCGAAGAACCTGAGCCGTCGAAGAAGCATCGCAAGAAGCGCAGAGGCAGGACCAGGGACGAGCGCGGTGCCCGCAGCCCTCAGAGCCCGCAAGAGAATGCTTCAGATGTTGGTCTCAGAGTGCCGACTGAAGATGCTCGGAAGAGGGCAGCTTCACGAGTTCGAAATCACTCCCCTTCAGCCGAGTCCGGCTTTTCGGCAGCATCCGGGGTGTCCGGGGTCTCGGCAATCTCCGCTATCTCGGCCGGTAGCGTCACTCGCGCCAGCCCGGCCTCAGTTGCCCCGGGCGGTCCCATCGAGAAGCTCGATCAAATCGCCGCCCACTTCAACGACACACTCCTGCCATTGTGCCGACAATTTGCGGCCCATCCTCCTTCGGATCCTAAGAAGAGATCAGAGGAGCACCTCAAGCTTTCAGAGACGATCCTACAGCAGGTCCTCCTGAAGTTTGACGATATCGAAACGGGAGGAGATGTTGCAGTTCGCACAAGGAGGAAAGAGATGGTGAAGCAGTGCCAGGATATTCTGAAGACGCTCGACGAGGCTCTCAAGGCATAGTATGGATGGTCATAGGCGCAGTGCCCGGATTTTTATCATTTTCAAGCTTCATGATCGGCATGAGAATGGAAGGACTTAGGTGGTTCCTCGTTATAAAGTCGACATTTCTTCGGTATTTCAGCCATGTGAAAGGCGTATCGGGGTTGCTGGTTCGACGTCACCAGCTGCTCATATCTGTTGCGCTTATACTTCTTTAATTGCTTTTTCGGGTTGAAGGTTTCCCGTATCTCATGTCCCGTGGTGTGACAAGAGAACATGGAAGTTAAAGAGAGTCTAGCGTTTTGTGCATAGAGCGTGGTCAGAAGTGGTGGGATGTTGTTGACCAGGTCATAGATGGCAATTGACTGGCGTCCCTCCCAAAGTCCCAGTTCACGGTTCGCGATGCATTCAAAGACCCGTTGGTAACTACCTTGATGGCTAGCAGTGACGTGACAGTGATCGTCCGTCCTGTTGGTTGTGAGCAGCCGTCGCTCAAAGTGATGACCTTAACATAGCAAAGGCCACAAAACAACAATGCTGACCATCGATTTGAAATCCAATTCACTTATCAGTGTCCTCTGATGAGATTATAATCATTATACCCATGAGATAACCACTGCAAGCACCTTGGAATCCGAATCAAGGGGGTGCGTGATAAGGTTATCAGCGTGGTTGTCTCGCGCCACAGGAACGCCAAGACACGGAGAAGGAAGCAAAATCAGCCCCACCAATTGCAGACTGTAGGTCTAACCCTACCCCAACGCCTCAGGCAGCAAAGGCCACACTGGCTGGCAAGCCTCCACCGCTTCCGAAAGCGGACTAGTGCATATCTCCCAACACCAAGCACACGGGCAATTTTCAGCACACACAAAAAAGTCGCAGACCGTCAACCATCGCGAGGTAAGAGCCAGACTTGCTGCCCATTTGATCAGCCGGAGCTTGACGGACTGATCGCTAATCCTCCTTCTTTGTCAACCCAGTCTTCCCCGGCAAAGATGTCTTCTTTCGAGTCTGTGGTACGTTGCGAAACCCCGAAACCGATTTGATGATGGATGTGGTTTCCACCGGTTCCATATCCGTATCGCGACGAATGGCTAGGTTGCCGACCGCTGCAGCGACACCGAACGAGATGGAGACGACATGTTCGATACGGCGACGATACGGATATTGGATCGGGGGAAATCTGGGAACATTGCACGCCGAAAGGGACCGTTCGACGGCAAGGGTGCGGTAGCAGCAGTTTTGTGATGGCTAACCTGTTGCTTTACAGGTCGTCATCGACGGCAAGGGCCACCTCCTCGGTCGCCTCGCCAGCATCGTCGCCAAGCAGCTCCTCAACGGCCAGAAGATCGTTGTTGTCCGCTGCGAGGCCCTCAACATCTCTGGCGAGTTCTTCCGCGCCAAGCGTACGTTACACCTTCACTCCTACACGAAACCGAAAGAAACATGACTGCGACAACGGACAAGCTTGGGAGGATATTGGAATTGGGCACAGCAAGAGGAGGGTAGATTGGGAATCGCAGTCATGGGCGAAACGAACAATGAGGACCGAACGACGAGAACAGTCAAACTGACACGAAACCACGATTATAGTCAAGTACCACTCGTACCTGCGCAAGATGACCCGGTACAACCCCACTCGCGGTGGTGAGTTACAGCCCTCCCGAAACGACGACGACGACGACGGTCGAGTTCTCAGTCAGACGATACTGACTGCCCACAGGTCCCTTCCACTTCCGCGCTCCTTCCCGCATCTTCTACAAGGCTGTCCGCGGCATGATTCCCCACAAGACTGCCCGTGGCGCCGCTGCCCTTGAGCGCCTCAAGGTCTTCGAGGGTGTCCCTCCCCCCTATGACAAGAAGAAGAAGATGGTCGTTCCCCAGGCTCTCCGTGTCCTGAGACTCCAGCCCGGTCGCAAGTACTGCACCGTTGGCCGTCTCAGCTCTGAGGTCGGCTGGAAGTACGAGGATGTTGTTGCCAGGTACGTTGGTTCTGTCAGAGCTGAGGCTCTTGCTCTCCGAAAGAGCGCGCCGTTTGATGCTAACTGTTTGGTAGACTCGAGGAGCGCCGCAAGGCCAAGGGCGCCGCCTACTACGAGCGCAAGAAGCTCGCCGCCCGCCAGCTTTCCGAGGCCAAGAAGAGCGCCAAGGTCAACGACAAGACCGCCGAGGCTCTCAAGGAGTTTGGTTACTAGAGATAGTAACTGTTGCTTCGTCGACTTTTTATCCTTTGTGCGTTTTCACTCTAGATTGGCGCGGTTCAGGGCATCATCAACATCTGCGAGGAAATGTGGAGGAGTCAGTGGCTTTCCGACTCGCTGTTTGTCCCAGGCTTGGGACCTCATACGAATAAATGATGAGATCACACAACCAATGGAGAGATCATGCATGGGATGAATGGAAGAAACAAGACAAATACCCCCGGGCGTTCAGCATGCAGTTCAGGACCTTTGTGTGGTGCGTGCCAGGCGTGTTCTCATGACAGAAAGGGACCTTTGCGTCTCGTAGATGATGACCATGCCGTCCAGCGGTACCCCGTCCACAAGCCCGAACATGCTGAAGCAAGCCGATGAATGACTACTGCGTATTTAGCCAAATAATGCCAAATAGTCTACGAACAAAACCCTCTGATGTCATGGCATGGTGCTTACAGGATCACCTCTTTTTCCAAGCATCGATAACGGTCTCTAGTCCACGACTCCAACACAACCTCATTTCAGGCCAACCATCAAGGTTGGCATCACTTCTAACATCGCAGATGGCAAAAGACAAAAGGCCCGGTATTACTGGGTAATGGCTGTTCGATCCCTTTTCGAGTGTCATAGCCAGCAAACTAATGAAGTCTTCCTCTAACCGACAACCCAACACCTCGGTGTATCATTTTTAAGGCAAATGGCAACATAATCAACTCATGCCCTACTTTATCACTTTGTGACCATGGGCATATTTTCCCTAGAAAAAATAATGCAGTCTACAAACCTCCTCAGCCCCATACCTGAGTTTTGGATATCAGTAGTGAAGCAAACACATCGTATGGTCCATGTTTAGTCTTGTCCCTGGTCGTGGATGGAGAAACTGACGTTGACGAGGACGCATTACTTCGGTTCACTATCTTCTCCTTCAAACAACTTTCTATCAACAGAACAAGACACAACAAGCATACACCTAGCGTCTATATCAATCGATATTTCTGTCTCTTTAAGTTGTGAAGCAGTCCGGATGTGCTTATAAAGTCCCAGAGGGTGTTCTTGTCTGATACATAGATGCATCACTTCTTGTGCATCACTTCTGAAAAGAAGAAACTGCGAATTCGACAGTGACATGATCTCACAACATCTACCTCTCGTCGTGCAATTGCAATGTAGCAACAGAATTTAGATATGAATCGGGTTCAAGTATCTCTCCCCAATCGAGCTGAATGACAGTTGTGTTGATACTGTTGCCATGTGCAAATAAATGAACTCTAAATCGACACTTCTGATTATCTCCTCAATCTCTATTGCACATCCTCCTTTCCATGTCTTCGGTCAATTGTCCTTTACCATTTGTCTTTCTCCGTTCTAAACGAAAAATTGGTCTCTCAATCTGTCCATCTCACAGTGGTAGGAAAAGAAAACCCAACAATGAACGATCAAGTTTCCAAAAACTATTGTGTTCGGAAGGCAGCATGCCAATGCGGACAACATGAACACAATCCTAACCTCTGTTTCACAACTCACATTGGGACCTTGGCGCAGTTGGCTAGCGCGCAGGTCTCATATACCCATATGATCTGGTTAAAAAATCAGAGTAATCCTGAGGTCGGGAGTTCGAGCCTCCCAGGTCCCAAACTTTATCTTTTTGTCGATTTTCCGTTTTTACTTGCCCGACAACTTTCCCGTCCCATCATCCTTGCCTCGCGGTCTTTTTGCCAAGCAGTTTCTTTATCGATCGCCTTCGAGAAAGAGCTGATGAACCAAGTCGAACTTCGGTGTTCTCGAGACCCTGCCCTGCACGAGCCATCATCGGTGTCGGCGAATTTGAATCCTACACCGAGCTGAACATTGTGGAGACCGGTAACGATAGGGCTCGATGAGCGATGACATCATTGCACAACCCCGCGATATATTTGGTGGTCATGAGCTGCTGACCTGCACAACTTGGAAGTTTTGGCGAACGACTGGTTGTTGACTGGTGACCCGGATTGCTTGGCGAAGGCAAAACATTGATACAGCCTCTCAAGATGAGGCGCAATTGACGGCGCTGTCGGAAGTGGCCATTAACGGCAGGCTGTAGTGTAGGCTCTTGTCAGCTTCTATGGTCGTGAATGTCTGGTTCCTACATGATGTGGTATGCTTACTTCGACGTGTGCGACGATACCAGCATTTCTGTGTTTCCTGTATTGTAGACATTCCATCGTTGAACAGATAATTTGACTTTAGGTTTTTGACCTTCTATAGCTTTCATTCCCCTAGTGTTCCTGGATACTCATCTTCATGCAAATGTCATCACGAGCAGATCGGGGTCGCATACCCGCATTGGGCGGTACCAATCCCGACTACTACCAGGAGACAGCCAGTATCTATGGAGATGGTGGCTCAGGAGATCCGAACCATCGCCGACGGCGACGGCGTCGACGAGATGAACACTCCCACTCGTCGCACCACAATCATCTCCATCATCACCCTTCTACACCTCCAGTAGCACCACAACCCATACAAGTACCTCAGCCAGGCCCAGCATACAATCCCGCTCCTCCACCGGCTTACACTTACCTCAACCCTCATCAACCAACAACACAGCCGTCCCAACACCAACAAAATGGAAGTGGCAGATACTCACCCCCTCCACCACCAAAGCCTCCACGGCCGGTGATGATCTCACATCAATCCGGACCAGGTTCAGGAGCCGTCATTCCCACAGAAACAGGAAGCTCTTCACAGTCAAATAACCATAACAACAACAACAAAGACAAGCGAACACTAAGTGAACGATTATACCAACTAAGCGTCAAAGCCGGCACGCCCATCAACAAAATAACCAACGCGCTCGGTTCCGAAGCCTTCTGGCCTTCGAACATGGATCAGGAATGTGACAAGGCTGCCAGGATTATTCAATCTTTTTGCACTAATCAAGGAGCTTCCTCCCGCAACAAAACCCTAATCCAAATCCCCCCTCGCGTCCTAGCCACCTGCTCCGGCCTAGCCATCTGCTCCGGCCTAGCCATCTTCACCGTCTTCCGCACCGGCTTACACCTCTCCGGCTCTTCCGGGTCCGGTATCGTCATCTCTCGCTTACCTACGCCCGGCTCCCAGTCCTCCTCCAAAAGCTCCATGTCATGGTCCCCGCCCTCAGGCTTCCTAATCCACTCCCTCGGCGCCGGCTTCCTCGCCGGCATCGACATCTACGACTGCATCTGCGTCTTGCGCACCCCCTCCGCCGTGCGCGCTTTCGCTGAGCGCCCCCGTGTGAGTCTGGGCGGGGATGTAGGGATTGTTGCTGGGCCGGTAGGGGCTGGGGCGGGGGTGGAGGGTGTTCTTGGTGGTTCTTCTGGTCGCTCTTCTTCTTTTTCGGACAAAGAGAAAGAGAAAGAAAAGGATGGTGGTAATAGTAAACCGTTGGTGTACAGTTATATCAGGAGTAGAGGGCTTTATGCGGGAGTGTCGATGGATGGGACGGTGGTGGTGCCGAGGGGGGATGCGAATGCGGAGTTTTATGGGAGGAGGGGGATTACGGTGGATGAGATTCTGAGAGGAAATGTGCCTTGGCCGTCGCAGGACCTGGGGATGAGCAACAGTAAAAAAGATGGTAAGAGGGTTTGGCCGGAGGGGGCGAGGGGGTTGATGGAGGCTTTGAGGATGGCGGACCAGCAGGGGAGGAGGAGAGAACGTGATGGGGATCATGGGGGTTCGAGCAGGGAAGTGGATGATGATTGGACGTATGAGGATAGAGAGAGGGATAGGCGCAGAAGAATAGATGAGACGCCGCCTGTTGAGTATGGGAGGGATGGCAGGCGTAAAAGGTGAAGCGTTAAGCTCAAATGAGTAAGACGAGAGGCGGTGGTAGGCTTCACGTTTTGTATAGATACAACTGACATGAAGCTGGACTTCATAATGAATGCATCAACAAACCAACAACTTGAGGAGTGGAAAACATACCCTAAGAGGAGCCAACCTTTAACTTCATTCTTTCGCTATGATAAAACGCTACGGTATCCCTTTATCTTCAATCAACCCAAGGTCCGCTTAGTGATGGATGAATACTGCCACCTCAGAGCTGGATTGTCAGATCCATTCTCAGTCGTAATCCGCTCAGATCTGAAATGTCTTGCAAATTAGGCCTGATAATATGCGATTATGTTACAAGTACAAGCCCTCGGGCTCGCCTTCCTGCTTCGTGCGCAAGACTCTTTCACGAGCAGCTCTGAAGTCAGCCATCTGCACCCTCATTCTGCGCTCACGGAGGGCCATAAGACCGGCCTCGGAGCAGATAGCCTTGATGTCGGCACCCGAAAGATCATCCTTCTGGGCAATGAACTCCTCCAGGTCAACATCCTCGTTGAGCGACATCTTGCTGGTGTGAAGCGTGAAGATCTTGCGCTTGGTGTTCTGGTCGGGATTCTCGAAGAGAATCTTGCGGTCGATACGGCCAGGACGGATCAAAGCAGGGTCGAGCGACTCGATCTTGTTGGTGGCCATGATGACCTTGACGTCCCCACGGTCGTCGAAACCATCCAGCTGGTTCAACAGCTCCAACATGGTTCTCTGGATTTCACGCTCACCGCCTGACGTCGAGTCATAACGCTTTGTACCGATAGCATCGATTTCGTCGATGAACACGATGGATGGGGCATTCTCGGCGGCAACCTAGGGTAGATGTCAGAACGTGTACTTGACCGCGAAACTTAGATGACCTTCACATACCTGGAAAAGCTGGCGAACCAGTCGGGGACCGTCACCAAGATACTTCTGGATAAGCTCACTACCAACGATGCGCAAGAATGTTGCCGAGGTTTGGTTTGCCACAGCCTTGGCAAGCAGGGTCTTGCCGGTACCTGGAGCACCGTAAAGAATGACACCCTTGGGTGGCTTGATACCCATTTCCTCGTAGAGCTCCGGATGCAGCAATGGAAGCTCGACTGATTCACGAACTTCCTGGATCTGCTGTTCCAAACCACCAATATCCGCGTACGACTCCGTAGGGGCCTTGTCGAGCTTCATGACGCTAACGGCCGGATCCGTGTCGTCGGTGAGCACGCCAACAATGCTGACACTCTTGTGATGTAGCAGAACGCTGGCGCCGGGCTCCAGCAGGTCTTTGTCGACGAAGCTCATGATGCTAACGTAGTACTCGGGCCCCGATGTGCTAGAAACGATGGCGTGGTCGTCGTCGATCAACTCCTCGAGAACACCGACACCCATGGGGCTGCCGCGCATGTCATCGACACGGGAGCGCTCGTCAGCCATGCGGTCGGAAGATTCGAGCTCGGACGAAGGAGCGTTGCTGTCCTTAGCGGTCTTTGCCTTGCGTAGACGTTCCTGATTCTCAACGTATTCTTCCTCGAGCAGCAGATGATCGTGGATTCGTTGCATTCGTAGGAGTCGGAGTTTGCATCGACTTGTCGGATACACTGCGGGGAGCTTGGCGGCAGCGCTGGCACCGCCTTGTCTCTTCTTCTTGCGGCCGATGCGGGTGGTAGGCTTCGGCGGCGGCTCGTACTTGGGCTTATCTTTCTGTTTTGGTGGCGATGGTGGTTAGCGATGTCCATGATGTCAGCGCTCGACAGCGCACAACAGAAACCATCAAGAAGATGAAGCCATCTTACCTTGTCTTTCTTGGACTTTGAAGGGTCCTGGCCTCCGCCCATGCCAGACTGATTTTGACCCTGCGCAGAATGTCAGTATGTGATGCATTGCAAGCTTGAGCTCAGCTCCGTATTGCGGCCAACTGACCATGTTGACGGTTAGCCTTTCGCAACTCCTGAAAGTGTGGTGGAGGGTTCGACGGTGTGTTAAGGATTATGTTATCGAGTCGTAAGAGCGCCGCACGATATGAACTCGGTGATCGGGGCGGCAGTGATGGAAATGGTTGTCCTGGTGTTCGTTGTTGGCGGATGCCCGTTTGAGGTTGCGATGGCGAGCTCCAGTTCAGGCCCCCAGTGAACGCGACATCCGTCAGTCGTCCAGTCGCACACCTGACGCACAGACCACCAAAAGCTATTAAGCTGCCGGGGGCAACAGCACGATGCATGCCGTTCGATCACTCCTAGTATTTACTATGGACTTGCATTCGATCTGTCCACTGACCACACATTGGCAGTTGCACTTGTACTGTACCGTATGACGGACTGTTTTCCCATACAGCGCATGGCCACGGCATTGAGCGAGGGAGGGGACCAGTCCGAGGCAGAGCCTCCTGCTTCCATCCTATCCCGTCGCAACTTTGTGTACATTGGAGGCCGACAGTGGTTGTTCATCCTCAACTTCCCGTATACTGAGAAATAAAGCAATGCGTGGTTGAGGCGGTCAAACAATACCATACCACCAAGCTCGTTCCATTACAGCTTCTCCAACACAGCAGGAACACCACGCTCACCAACTGATGTGAGCATTTCGAGTCTTGGCACTCTTGGGTACCTCTACGGACGCGGCGCCCCACCTCTACTCTTCAAGTTGCGTTTCTGCACTTCCCTTTCCCTCGACAGGAAGTGACGACCACCATCTCACCTTGTCAGCGAACGTTCTTGCAGCCTTGCATTCACCTTGCATTCACAACTAAGTAGGCCTGGTTTGCTAACCCTCGATCAGTTGCGGATGGAAACTTAAACCTTCCGTCACTTGTTCTACTACCAACTCCTCCATCACTTGGAAACCCTCCCACCTCGCAACGTTATTCCACGGACCTCCTTGACCCCTCCACAAGGTTTATCTTATCAGTGATTATTCTACTTGTTCTGCTGAACACTTCTAATCTTACGATTTTATTTGCGTCTAACAGCAAACCGTATACGTTACCCACTCCCATTCGGGCGCAATACACCCATTCCTCTTCACCAACATCACATCACTTACCATGGCGTCTACTCGTGAGCGCCGCGTTGCGAAGGAACTGCAGGACATATGGAACGACAGAGAGACCTCGGGCGTCATCGCCGAACCCCTCGACTCCAGTAATCTGTCGCATCTCAAGGGCTCCTTCAGCGGCCCTCCGGACTCGCCCTACGCCGGGGGTACATACGAGGTCGACATTCAGATTCCGGATAAGTACCCGTTTAAGCCGCCCTCGATGTATCTGATCACCAAGATCTGGCACCCCAACATCAGCAGCGTCACTGTACGTTCCTTCTGTTTTACCTGTGTTTGTGATTTATGTCAAGAGGACGTGGAAGTTTCAATAGAGGCTAAACTAACCTAACCTCCATGTTCACAGGGCGCCATCTGCCTCGATATTCTCGGAACGGCATGGTCTCCAGTCGGTACAATTAAGACAGCGCTGCTTGCCGTACGAATGCTTCTCGAATCGCCGAACCCGAAGGATCCCCAGGACGCCCAGGTGGCCAAGATGTTGATCGAGAACCCCAAGCTGTTCGCCCGAACGGCGCACGACTGGGCCGTCAAGTATGCGGGCGCGCCCAGGGTGGACGCGATTCCTCTCAAGTATGACGAGACCTCAAAGGAGGGTTCGAGGAACGATGCCAGCAGGTATGTGGCGTTTATGGCCATCCCAACACAGTGAACACTCGGAAGTTAAGCAAAAGCCATATGGACACTACATTACTGGAAACCCGGAATGAAAGTCAGGGGCGACTAACTTTGAGCGCCTGCTTGGCAAACCAACACAGATATGCTGGCTATAATAAGGACCTGGTGGATCGTTTTGTCAACATGGGATTCGACGTAGAAAAAGTGGTCGATGCTTTTATCTTCGTGGGTATTGACCGGAACGGAGGCGCCGACTACGAACTCGAGGAAGCATACATGGGCGACATCACCGCGCGGCTCCTCGGCGAGCAGTAACGATTATTTTAGAGAGTGAGGGATGGGCATTGAGAGCAACAACCGCGGTGCTGTTTGGCGATGCGGAGGTGGGATTACATATCAGCACTCTGAAAACCGGAAGGATTTAGACTTTCGATAGCGAACGGCGAAAGCGAAGGATGGGGATTCCAGGAACTGGGGCCAACGTTCGGCTGGTTTGTCCGGTGGTAGGTTAGCATGGCTTCGTCTGTTATAGTCTATACATCAGCCGCATTCGGATATGGAGTTTTACGGACAGTAAAGGGTTAAACTGAGCAATGAAATTTCTGGCTTCTTTTTACTACTGATTCTTCGTTTTCCGGCTTTTCGGGGTTTCCGTCTTTCTTTACTTGGTTGCTAGCAAAGTAACAACGTAGCCATACAAAGTATATGATGCATCCATGCTGGTTTGTGTCACCTTAGGTGAAGACATGTAGAGAAGTCATGTTTTATGTGATATTGTGAGTAAATGTAAATTATCATATACCTGACCGCCCACACCCATTCCTTGGGTTCACCTCTATCTATCTTGCAAAAACTCGCAAGATGTGGAAAGAGGATATAAATGCACCACGGTATACGCCCAATTCCCACGCCCATTAGCGATGGCAAAATGTCTATATCAAGCTTCATTGTCATCCCAAGACACACAGTCACACATGCACCACGCTCGGCACTTCCTGCTTCTTCTGACTTTGCTTTCAGCGTCAACCAGACCGGCAGATAAGTTGAACCAAAAATGCAAGACCACCCACGCGCGAGACAGAGGAAACATGTACGTAATGTTTTGGTTGGTTGGTTTGGTGGTTGGCTGGCTGCTGCTACTATTTTTCATTCGTCCGCCTGAAAATAAGATCAAAGAAAAAGCTCAAGAGATTAAGAATTATACTCCTTCAAACTTTCCTTAAAGCAAATCGCGTCTGACGAACTCGTCACGGAGGGCCTTGCCCAGGCTGGCGGGCGAGCGCTCGACAACAACACCGGCGGCCTCGAGGGCCTTGATCTTGGAGTCGGCACCACCCTTGCCGCCGGCGACGATGGCACCGGCGTGGCCCATGCGGCGGCCGGGGGGCGCAGAGATACCGGCAATGAAGGAGACGACGGGCTTGCCACCGTTCTTGGTGTTGTACTCCTTGAGGAAGTCGGCAGCCTCCTCCTCGGCGGAACCACCGATCTCACCGATCATGATGATACCGTCGGTGTCGCCATCCTCGAGGAAGACCTTGAGGCAGTCGATGAAGTTGGTGCCGCTGAAGGGGTCACCGCCGATACCGACGACGAGGGACTGGCCGAGGCCGGCCTGGGTGGTCTGGTTGACGGCCTCGTAGGTGAGGGTGCCGGATCTGCTGACGATACCGATGCGGCCGCGCTTGTGGATGAATCCGGGCATGATGCCGATCTTGCACTGGCCGGGGGCGATGATGCCGGGGCAGTTGGGACCGACGAGGCGGGTCTTGGACTGAGTCTTGAGCATAGAGGTGATGCGAACCATGTCTGTAACTCGCCGGTTAGACCCCGTTTCTCTAAACTCGCTTTTCTTCTTTTGCGCTCCGTCCTTGCGAGCCATTGTACTAACCATGCTGGGGAATGCCTTCGGTAATGCACACGGCGAGGGGGATCTCGGCCTGGAGGGCCTCCTCGATACCGGCGGCAGCGAGAGGGGGGCTATTTTCAATTTGCCGTTAGCAAGGTCCCCAGAGGCTAGTGGTCCAGAGAGAGTTCTTACGGGACGAAGATGGCGGTGGCAGTAGCCCCGGTCTCCTTGACGGCCTCGCTCACATTGGAGAAGACGGGGCGATCAAGATGTGTTTGGCCAGCCTTCTTGGGGTTTGTGCCGCCAACAACCTTGGTACCTAGAGCAGAGGGTGAAATGTGTCAGAATTCCATGTTTGCGACAGTTTGCGACAGTAAAATCGGTGCCGATAAGCGGGAGATAAGGGAGGGGAATGATGGTGATTGAGGGTGGTGATTTACCATATTCGATGGCCTGCTGGGCGTGGAAACTGTACAATGAGCCAACGTCAGCGAAAAATTTCGCATCACCAGTCACATCCCATGGTGTCCTGGTCTTCGGAAAGCTTGTGATCATGGGCAGTTGTGCGGAGGTGGAGCATTCCCCAGATGCGCCCGAGTCGTGTCATCGGCGTCGCGAGTCACGACAAGCAGGGCGCAATGGGGAAAACGGGGAACGGGGACTTTGGGCAGGGGAGGCAGCTCTAACTCACGTTCCCTGCTTGCCCGTGAATCCCTGGAAGATAACCTTGGTCTCGGTGTTGATTTTCAAGTTGTTGATGGTCGCCGCATAGGGGGACGAGCTGGAGCTGTAGGCCCTCTTGGACAGCTGCTGGACGAGCTTGCCCGCGGGCCGTGTTTGCCTTGCGATAGCCTGCATTGTGAAGTCTGCGGGGAAGAATGCGAAAGTAGGGATGAGGAGGGCGCCGGAGGAAAGAGGAGGGAGAGGGCAGTAATATGGGCGAGAGAGCCAATGGAGCCGATGATGTCGTTGATGGGGATTTTGTTGTTCGTTTCCAGTTTGCACGGGATCGCACGTAGAATTTCAGGACGTCGACGGCTCGAGCTTCTCCAACTGAGCCAACAGAACCCTCTCCTCGTAAAATGTCTCCAACTGCTCTGCGGGCCACCATCCATGACAGGATCCGCTCGCGAGCCACAGCTCCTGTTGCAGACCCACAAACACCCACCTCCCACCGCCCACGGCAGGGTCCGCGGCAATTCAAGCTCATGAGGGACCATTGTTATCAGCCAGGTACACTGCGCTAACGCTTTTCCAACCCCGCCGCACATGGCCACACTCAACCCCGCCGCTCCTCTAACGTGAGAAACCTGACCCAGATGCCCCGGTGGGTACCCGACCAAGCCGACTCCAGCCGTACGTCTCGAAGTACCGATCGGTACCAATTGTACCTTCCTGTCTCGCCGAGCTCGCCAAGGTACCAGTGGATTCTCAGGGTTAAACCGTCAAACCGCGCCGAGTACAAGCCACACTTAGACAGCAGACTCGGAGCTCGACGACGGGAGGCTGGAGGATCCAGTTCAGCCGCATTTTATAGTCACTCCTTGTGCACGTGCATGACCGATGACTTGCAGTTGCAGCACCCTGCAATTTGACAGCACTGAGGCTGGCATTCTGTTACAGCCACGGCAGCCGTAAGCAGTACGGCACCTTCAACGACAAGCGTCCTGAAATTTGCCCCGCCAAAAGGTTCAAATAATTGATTGAACGCCAAACACCGAAATCGACGACAACGAGATACGAGGTTCGCCGGTCCAACACAGCGCAAACATGGCGACAACAACGGTCACAGTAACTCGCAGCAAGAAGGATGCCAACTTGCCGTCCGAAAACGACCGGTTCCTGAGGTGCTGTGCCGACATCGCCAACGCCCTCATCGAAGATCATGAAGCAGCCCAGAACGGCCGTCCGCAAAAGGACATCAACCTCAACAGCCTCCGATCCAAGTTTGCGAAGAAGCACAAGATCAACAACGTCCCTCCACTCACCGCCATTATCGCTGCCGTCCCCGAACATTACAAGAAGTACATCTTGCCCAGACTCATCGCCAAGCCCATCAGAACTTCGTCGGGTATCGCTGTGGTGGCTGTCATGTGCAAGCCCCATCGATGCCCCCATATTGCGTATACCGGCAACATTTGCGTCTACTGCCCCGGTGGCCCAGACTCCGATTTCGAGTACAGCACACAGTCATACACGGGATATGAGCCGACATCGATGAGAGCCATTCGGGCTCGTTACGACCCATTCGAGCAGGCGCGAGGACGAGTTGATCAGCTAAAGTCGTTGGGCCACTCGGTAGACAAGGTCGAATACATCATCATGGGCGGCACCTTCATGTCGCTCCCCGAATCATACAGAGACGAGTTCATTTCCCAGCTACACAATGCCCTGAGCGGTTACGGAACCTTGAACGTAGACGAGGCTGTTAGGTCGGGAGAGCAGAGCAACATCAAGTGCGTGGGTATCACGATAGAGACGAGACCGGATTACTGTCTTCAGCCCCATCTTTCGAGCATGCTGCGCTACGGCTGCACCCGTCTCGAAATTGGTGTCCAGTCCCTTTACGAAGATGTCGCCCGCGATACCAACCGTGGCCACACCGTTGCTGCCGTTGCCGAGACCTTTTGCCTTGCCAAGGATGCCGGTTTCAAGGTGGTCAGTCACATGATGCCGGATCTTCCCAATGTCGGCATGGAGAGAGATCTTGACCAGTTCCGGGAGTACTTTGAGAACCCAGCTTTCCGTACCGATGGCCTAAAGATTTATCCTACCCTTGTCATCCGTGGAACGGGCCTATACGAATTGTGGAGGACAGGCAGGTATCAAAACTACACGCCCAACGGATTGATCGATCTCGTGGCAAGGATAATGGCCCTCGTTCCTCCTTGGACCCGTATCTACCGCGTCCAGCGTGATATTCCCATGCCGCTGGTAACGTCCGGCGTCGAGAACGGTAATCTGCGCGAGCTGGCTCTGGCGCGTATGAAGGACTTTGGAACCACCTGCCGCGATGTGCGCACTCGTGAGGTTGGTGTGAACGAGGTCAAGAACAAGATCAGGCCCAACCAGATCGAGCTTGTCCGTCGCGACTACACCGCCAACGGTGGCTGGGAGACGTTCCTGGCCTACGAGGATCCCAAGCAGGATATCTTGGTCGGTTTGCTCCGCCTGCGTAAGTGTTCCGAGAAGTACACGTTCCGTGAGGAGCTGGTCGGGCAGCCTACCAGTCTGGTCCGCGAGCTGCACGTTTACGGCATGGCTGTACCTTTGCACGTCAGAGACCCACGGAAGTTCCAGCATCAAGGTTTCGGTACGCTCCTCATGGAGGAGGCCGAGAGGATTGCGAGAGACGAGCATGGAAGCGTGAAGATCAGCGTTATCTCTGGTGTCGGTGTGCGTAGCTACTACAGGAAGCTTGGGTATTGGCTCGACGGACCTTACATGTCCAAGTGGCTTGATGGAAGGCCTGGTCCTGAGGAGTAGGAGGTCTACTGGTACTCTGTGAGTGGATTTACAAAGGGGCATGAGGGCGTTGGGCTTCTGTTATGATTCAATCGGACAGGCGCAAAGGGTTGCATAAAGGCGGAAAAGGCGTTTGAGGCTGGGAGTGCGGATTTGAAAGACTGATGGGCCTTTTGGTCAAAGGCAACTACAAATGGAGATTGTTTTTGGACACAGACGCTTTCCAAACAGTCTTTCCGCATCTTCGTGCCCTTGTTTTCTCTCAAAACTTCGGTCATGTGTGTTGGTACTAACTGCACCTCACCTCTACAACATCAACATTATCCCACAACCAAGCAGTTTTTGGAAGTCTCCTTGGAACTCGGCATTGGCATCAAATCTGGAGCTGGGAAGGAGGGAGTTGAGATGGGACATCCAACTCGTCGATGTCTGGTCCATTCACGTGTCTCACGCAGGCTCGGTCAACCTCCCAGCTAAAGCGTCTTCCTTGCAAAAGGCTGCGTGCGTGAATCATACTTTGCGATTGTGAATGTTTGAGATGCCGTACTTGATCATGGCCGGACGAAATGCTTGAGAGGAAAAAAGGGAGAATGTTTATCTACCAAACTCTACACTCCCCCCTTTGAGATCTAAGCGAAAAAGTAAGAGTCCTGCCCATTCTTCCTAATGCCAAAAACCATCTAGCCCTACCATTACCCTCGAACTTTTGTGGTTTTCCATCAGATGTCGACCGCCTTCTAACTTTTTGTTTTCCACATCCCATCTATTAACGACGACATTTCCCCTCAAAATACTAATCGCCTTTAAATGTTTTGTTCTCCAGATCCTAGGTATTTTTTATCCCCACTTAATGTTCTACGGACGGAAATCTTCGAGCCAGGAGTCCCAATCGTCAAGCTCCGAGCCCCAATTATCAAGCATCGCTGTTAACTCCTCTGCGCTGCCGCTAACATTTGCTTCATCCTCATTTTGATAATCTCTGAATAAAGTAATTGCGGAAACCTTCATTTCGAGATCTTCTTCATAGTGGGCTTTGCTAGGATCTGTCACAGGGTTAGCCGTGACATGTCTACATAGTGCGTGCATTGTAGTTCTGTCTAGCGTCCATCTTTTGCATGGTGTAACGGCGCGGGGCATTGCACGCTCTGCTCCGTGACACGCTCGTCGCGAGTATTTGCGTTTGGTTTCACCTTTATTTCAGTACGATAGCAGTTAAGTAGTATGTGGAGTATTAGGAAGTTAAGTGTAGAGTAGAAGGGGGATCAAGAAATTGGTCCTTACCGTTGTCTGTTAGCGTGACGCTGTCTGTATCTTCTGACGAGAGTTCGTCTTTGCTCTCTTTATCAATGGAGGGGTTCGATGTTTGAAGTCTTATGCACGTCCGAGTTGCCTTGGTTCAACCTGATAGGTAAGTCCAGTAAGTTGATTTCACCTGTTGACACGTTTTTATATGTCATGATGGATGCTTATTTATATAGAGAGCGATATTATTCTTTGTGAGAATATAAGTGACTAGCGTTCGTAGTTTACAGATGTTGTAGTTGTAAAGAAGACGTATTGCGTATGGAGAATATAGGAACGCGTCAGAAATAGAACTATAGGACTAGGAGGGATAGCAGGGGTAGGAAGGGTAGGGGTGCGCGCGTGTTGAATCGAAAGGCGTTACGACTATCGTAGTTTGCAAGATGGATGAGAGGGGAAGAACGTCAGGAGAGGAAAATGTGAAACTGTAGACTTTTTATACTTGAACCGCCTAGGTAGAAGCCCACCCACCTCCCAGTAAGAAAAGAAAGAAAACCCACAGACGCGTGTACACGTCGCCAGTCCAACACAGCTCCCACAGCCAGGATCGTTCTGGACATAATATGCGCTACAGTTGTAGACGGACTAAGCTCCACACTCAAGTACTCGTGTTGTCCGCAGAAGCGGAAATGTATGTGTATATCTCCCTAAAGTCCACGTTAGGTACATCTTAGAGCCCACCTATACCTCCCCTCCTCAACATTTAGATAGTAAAATCTCGTCCTAGGAGACCGGTCAACTAGTAGCGGCCAGGCCCCCCAGTCTCCACTACCTCTTCATTGGATGATGGGCAGGTTGTTGTTGTGCATGGCTCACACAATGTCCCCTCGATTACTCCAATGACGAGCCAGTACGCAACAATTTGACCTTTTTGTCGCAGGTCTAGATTAAAAATTGTTGCCAACGTGACCTGGATAAGAAGTAAACAATCCAGGATGATCCGATCTGCTGCCTATAACAGGGATCTAGACTTTCATTGTTCTCCGTGTCTTGTGCTCTGGCCAATGGGTTGTCAGATTGCCAAGGCTGTTGAGGATCGGTTATGAGGCTTTAGGAGAAGGTGGACGCCGGACGGAGGTCACGGAGGACCAAAAGCGAAAGGACCCGGCCGGCATCCGCTGGCATCCTTCGTCTTTCATCCGCGTTTCTCAGCCCCCGGGGCCCTTGTAATTCGCTCTGATTAATGCGCGTTCGTTTCGTTCTGGTCGTGAGCCGTGGTACCGCCATGGCACCAGTTCGAGTCGCGGCAACCGCACATGGGGCCCTGAAAGTGCTGATAAGGTGACCAGGGGAGGGGGTTCGGGCAGATTTCGTGGCCATGTCGAGCTTCGGTGGTAGGATTTGCGTCAGCCTGAGGCTCATTTGTGTTTGGTGTTGTTCTGTTGCCTTCGATGGTAGTGGCGGTAGCGGTAGTAGTGGTGGTAGTAGTAGATGCTGGTATGACCCTTTAGTTTCTGCTCCATGTCGTTCCAGGGGCGTATTTCGATACCTACCTTTGCCAATGGTGTCAATATCCTTAACGAAGCTCGACATAGATTCCGTGCCGGTTTTCTTTCCGGAAGCGGCATTTCTCTCCAAGTCCTTCTGGAAAGTGTTGATGAATTTGAGGTCGTTTGTTTTGCTTGCGTCAGCCATGTTGAAGAGTGGCTGGGTTGAGGGGTTGAAGTGTTATTTGAGAACGAAGTTGAACTGAGTGATCGAGCTGTAACTGAGGATGTTGACTTGATGATGCGGATGTCTCATTTTCGACCACGGATGAATATCCCTTATTATATCTTTGTCGAGCATTCATGATGCCGCTCCATCCAAGTTGCTCTCTGAGCCTCCATCGTTGAGATCGAGATGTTCTTGCGTCCGAGATCCACTTCTTGCTCTCCCTACCAGAGCCCTGGATATCCTGATAAGGCTCATTGGGGCAGTGTATCAACACCGACTGTTGATGCATGCGAAGAGTTTGGCGGACTTGTCAACAAAAGGGGTGAGAGTGTAACGTATCCGTCGATGGAGTACAGTACCTGAAGACGACTTGTTAGCAACGAAGACATGTTGCTGCCCTAGGCCAGTCGGCCACCGTTCTGTTTCTGGAACGACTCAGCCTCAATTTTCTTCCCACAACCGACTTCAAAGTATGGAGAGCAACATCGCCGACCGACAACCACAAGGTGTGCCCGATGCATACACGGACATGAAGAAGCGGCAGGCCAAGAAATTTGGGAGATTAGATGGGAGATTAGATGGGAGATTGTGTTGTGAGAAAGCGGTGAACTGAGAGTTGCCTACAAGGCAAAGCTTCATGGTTACGTGAGGCTCTCCGGCCGGGAGATCATATGGTTGGATCTCACGGTTACGGTGCGAGCGCCGGACGCCGATGGCTCCGGAATTATAAGTCCGGGGTGTAACTCAACGACAGGGCCATTTACAGGATGGCTCGAAACCATTGTACCTCTTCCGAGTAGGCTAACCAGGCAGGCTTCCACGGGATCAATCCTGCTGCGAGTGATTCCTCAAAGCTGGCATGACGAATGGTTTCATCTGTCGCAATGCGGGGTTGATGAGGAAATGATCGCTGGGATCATTTCCGACATTTGAGGACTAGATATCAGCGAATATCAACAGGCGGATACCTGTTCGAGGTTTAGCATCAGTAAAGAGCTTCACACAGCCTTCTTTAACTTGACCGCTTCCGCTCATTGTGGGCAGCGTGGGAAGGCAGCGTGGGAAAAGTATGCCACGTATTGAAGCGGAAATTATTCCACAGACACTACTGCAAAATAATGGCCGCCGTCATTGGTGTAAATGTGGCTTATAGGAATTTCGAGCCAACGAGAGTTCGCTTATGGGGGACGCCATACCGAAGAAGCGGAACAACTTGCATGCGGTGAACGTCTCTTGCGAAACGGATAGCAACGAGAAAAAGAATCGTGATGAAAGTTGAGAATGTAGAAGCGAGGTAGGTACGGTTGTAAGTAGTGAAGACTGCATGATATCCGAGGGCGAGGGCGGTGAACTATTAGGCCACTAGTGCAGCACGCCGGATCTTCGTGATCACTGGATGTTGGTAGTAGTCAGATGAGCTCTGCGCTTGTCAAAAACACCCTGTTGAATGCCTGAAGACCCCAGCTGCTCATATCGATCGTGCTTGACCTCAGAAAGAGATCTGGCTAGGTATTGATACTGTGCAGTTCAGAAACTTGCTGAAAGAGATCTCTAGTCCATTATGTCAAACACAAGACTTAGTAGGGTGAGGAAACAGGGGAATTGATTGGTCTTGAGGCCATTTCACTGCAAAGGTGGAGAGCAACACTTCGAGTTCGAGCTCACGCACAACGACCACTTCTTTACCCCACTTCTACTACCTTGAACACCACTCGCGATGTTGACCCGCCGTCAGATCCTACTTGACCAACTTGAAGGAGTAAAGTGCTTGCTCTAAGTACCACGCCAACGAACTTTCCAGGGCTGGATTGTATTTTTGGCAAGCTGAGCCCAACTCACCTGAACCATGAACCAATCTTGAAGAGCCGGGGCGTCACATTCCGGGCAGGTCAGATTCCCGGTTCCTGAATGGCCCCAGTTCGTACCCCTGGCTTTCCTTTGCTGTCTTCTGGCCCCTTTCTCGGGAAACGCTTTCGAAGACGTTTATTTGTTGAATTCTTTGAGGCTCAAGAGAACCTTGTCACGCTCCAACGTCTGTTCAGTTTTGTCGTTGATCACTCCAAGAACGGCACATTTCTCGATGGCTGTGCTAAGCTCCAAGAATCCCTATTGCAGTTGTCGGTGGACTAAAGAAGAAATACGGGCTTCGGCTAGATAATACGTATCCATACCTGGTTGATGTAGTTGTGGCCGGGTGTGTAGCGGAGAGGTTTAAGAGGTTTAACAACCCCCGTGTGTTAAAGCCGTCCGGAGGGTTTTGGAAATTAAAGGCGGAGGTTGTGCTCGGCACTCCGGATCTTCAACCACAAGGATCGCATACCCGAACCCCGCGTACGCGAGCCCGCTAACATGGGGTGTGACAGCCCACTAGCTGTTGCGCTATTGCGTAAATGGTGTCAACATGTTACGCTTTCGTAGCTACCCCGCAGCGATCCTTCAACAGCTAGGGGCCACAAGAACCCATCGACAAGAGCGACCGAGGTGAAATTCCAAGGAAGGAATCGAGGGGAATGAACTCGTTTCTTGGACCATGCCAAGGATCAAGTTCCTACAATGGTAACAGTTAGCATATAGCCAAGACGACAGGGAGGTAGACCATAGTATAAAGCTCGGGTATAGAATCTTGTCCATCGACACATCCTCGCTTCCCTTGAACTCATGCCAACCTTTGCCCATCATGAAGTTACTGGGCCCATCTGTTACCGTCGCTTTGTTGGCCTATGCCGTCTACTCCTGGGGCACTTTTATATACCACAATGCCATTGTTTTCGGCTTCCTTCGCACCAACCCAGCGAGCACTCATGTCCAACAAGAGGACATTCAGTACATCCCCGACACTGTTCACTGTGAAGACCTTCACTATCATGCCCCCAGCAAGACCCTCTTTACTGCTTGCGAGGACCATCCCGAGACTCGCTTTCAGTGGTTTCCCCCTTTGACCAACTTCAACGATTCGTCAATCCTCAAGACCTACCGTGGTTCTCTTCATGTGATCGACCCCGAAGTAAGTCCAAAACACCATATGCCCACAATCGTGCCTATAACGGATGGGAGTCACTTACCACTTCCATAGACGAAGAAATCCCGACGTCTTACCGTGGACAACTTTGACGGACCCTTCAGCACCCACGGCATCGAGGTCTTGACCGACCCCAAGCAACCGAATGCCGTGTACATCTACGCCGTCAACCACCTTCCCAACCCCGAGCCCGTCATAGCCATTCACCCTCCACCCGCAGACGTCCCCAAAGCGCGGTCCCAGATCGAGGTTTTCCATCATGTCATCGGCACCTCCACCGCCACTCACCTCCGCTCCATCTGGCATCCTCTAATTCGCACTCCCAACGATCTCATCGCCACATCCCCCACGTCCCTCTACGTGACCAACGACCATTTCTACCGGGACCACGGCGTCATGCGCTTCTTGGAAGACATGTATGCCAACGCCAAATGGACCGATGTCATTTACTTGCAGTTCCCCCTTGAAGCCCCCTCAACTGCCGCGGAAACAGACGCCTTGGCCGGCGTTACCGCCCACGTGGCGCTGGACAAGTTCCACAACGCCAACGGCCTAGGTCACGGCCGGTACGAGAACGAAGTAGCCATTGCCAGCGCCGCTTCGGGAGTTTTGAGCATCAGCGAGCTACCATCGTCGTCTTTATCAAAATCAAACATGATCACGGTGCTCGACCGCATCGAATTCGACTCCACCATCGACAACCCCTCGTACTTCTCTGACCCTTACGCCGGCACGGCGGACGGCGTCGACCACAGCGGGTTCGTCGAGGCCGGTTTGGGCAAGGCGCACACGCTGGCGCAGACGTGCAAGCAGCCGGAGGCCAAGGATCCGGTCATGGTGTGGTTTGCGAAGCCCGTCAAGCAGGGAGAGAATGGGGATGTGATTTGGGAGAAGAGGCTCTTGTTTGAGGATGACGGGAGCAGGATTAGGAGCGCGAGCGCGGCGGTTTTGGTGGCTATTGATCCTCAGAAGGAAGAGGGGAAGAGGAAGGCTTGGTTGTTTGTTACGGGGTTTGTGTCGAGTAATGTGGTTGCTGTTAAGGTTGACTTGTGAAGTGAGTGATGAAAGAAGGCGGGAGAGATGTTGGCTGTTGGGCTGTAGATGTTCAGCGGCTTGAGCACGGGCCACAAAACCATTAAGATGATTTTGTGGCCCGTGCACAGAGAGCAGAAATCTCGATGAATAGTAAATCAATTGGAAATCCACTCGGCGATATTCAAGCAAATACATCAAGGAAGATGTTTCCACCAATGACATATGGCTAACTGAGAGTATTATAGTGGTTTACAAAGTTTAATGGAAAGATTTCCTTTGAAAGTACTGACATAGGAGGATGATCCGACTTATATATACAAATTACCAGATGCTGCGTGACTCTTCCTTTAGAAGCATTGGCGGAAATCTTTTGTCAAAATACCTTCTTTCAAAACTATTAACGCAAAGGCCTCAGCATAAGGACACGAGAAAGCCATATAATACTTGTATATGACGGTTGGTATCAAGTCAAGAGATCATTATCGTAAATGGACATGCACACGAATTCGTCATGCCCCGAAACATCACCGTAACTTCCAACACTTCATGAGAACCCGACGCTCAGTGTTTGGCAGGTGCAGCAGTATTTTCCACCTACTGAACTTCTCGTCCTTCCCTCTTCTCATCCAATCCGCTCGGCACCCTCTCCATATCTCCCGCCTCCAAATCATCCACCTGCTTGCCCTGCTGCTGCTGGAGGTTCATACCCGCCGGCAGTGCCTTCTCAAACTCTCTACCCCTCTTTTCGGGGCCAAAGGCCGTGGTGACCACAATGCCCATCACAATAATCGCAGTAGCGATGCCCATAGTCGGACCATAGGCCTCGACCAGCTTGCCGGTATGGCTGATGATGTGGATCTTCTCCGACACGGCATTGACGATCTGCGCGGACGGGGACGACACCATGTTGCCGACCTGATACGTGATGCCGGGGAACGAGGAGCGGAAGGCGGGGGGAGCAAGCTCGTTCAGATGGATGGGGATCACGCCCCAGGCGCCCTGGACGAAGAATTGCATGAAGAAGCCGGTGGCCGACAGCGCGCGCTCGGAATTTGGAAGGATCCACGCGGGGATCAGACAGCCGCTGATGAGCGAGGAGACGATGATGGTGCGTCGGCGGCCGAAGTATTGGCTGAGGTAGCCGATGATGGTGCCGCCAACGCAGGCGCCGGCTTTCATGATGATGCTGGCACGGCTGGCGCCCGAGTTGTCCATTTCCTTTTGAGTTCTCATGAAGGTTGTGTAGCTATCTTGGGAGGTGTGGCTGTAGTCTGTTGATGGTCAGGACGGTTAGACTGGCTCAATAGATGACTGCAAAACACAATTTGAAGGGGAAAACTCACAGTTGAACCAAGTCATCAAGATGCAGCAGTAGACACACATCTTCCACTCCTGGCGAAGCATCACCTTGGTCTCCCTCCAGAACTGGGACGGGTTTGCTTGGGCCTTGCCTTCCTTGCGCGCCTCCAGGAACTGCTTGGACTCGGGGAAGAAGCAGCGGATGATGCCAACACCGATGGACAGACCAGCAGCAATCCAGAATACGGTCTTCCAGCTATCGGTGCCGCCACCGACGCCGAGGTTGGCGCATGCGGCGCACACATAGCCAAAGGCGTACCCCTGCTGGAGGATACCAGACATCAGACCTCTGGCGTCGACCGGGCTGTTTTCCAAGGCCATCGCGATCGCGTTACCGTACCTGATCAGGGGTTGTCAGCAAAACTAAACTTCGACAGCAGCATACTAAGAAGAAGAAGAAGGGGAACTTACACTCCGCCCATAAACAATCCAAACAAAGCTCTCACACCAAGAAACTGCGAGTAAGTCGAGCTGTAGATGGTGGCAATCTGCAAGATGCCCAACACAATCATGTTAAGCACCATGGGCCACTTTCTCCCCCATCGATCGCCAGCCAGACCAAAGGCAGCCGCACCAATCGACCGAAGCAGCAGGGTCAGCGTGATGGCCGTCGACACACTGGTCTTGCTGACGCCATAGTAGGCCGCCAGCTTGACCTGCTGGATGGACAAGGCGTGAAAGTCAAATGCGTCGGCACTCCAGGCGCAAAAGCCCACGATGAAGTTGAGCCAGTCCCGGCCCGAGAGTTGAGCAAGCAGGCTGATGGGGTTCTTGAGGGGGACGGGCTTTGCCCACTCTGTTGCGGTCTCGCCGTAAACGTTGGTCACGACGACACGCTGCTTCCAGATGAAGAGGTCCTTCCATGACTGGCGGGCTGTGGGGAGGATGCCCTTGGCGACGGGGTCGGCGGGCTCGTGGGTTGATTCCATGGTTGCGGTGGTCCTTGTTGATGACTGGATGAACGAAGGCTTATATCACCGAGGTGTTGATACCTGGGATATGTACTCCCACAACGATGTGTGGTTTGTTCAAAGCCGGATCAACGATTCAACAGTTGTCAGCCGGGCTAGGAGTAAAAACTAAGAGATAGATGGATGAAGGTGAAGAAAGGGCACCCAAAAGAAGAGGGGAGAGACACCAATTTGAACCTGGGTCACTTTCCAGCCGGTCGGTCTCGGATTTAATATACGTATCCAAAGAAGGATAAATACCTACATGCGAGGGTGGTAGTACCAGCCATGTGCCAGACCTACCACGTACCTGGAAGATTCCGGTAGGGATGTGCAGATAATCCCCCGCATGCCAACACGTTCCTCATGGCCGGTCATGATCCCATCGCCAGCCACATCAACGATCGAGATAAAGCCGAAGGACAGCCGGCCGGGGTACTGTGGTAGAGGTCCCAGAAGGGTGGGAATGATATCAAGACACCGATACAACTCTTGCTGTCGGACAGTCTCGTCCGCTCGTTGTCCGGGTAAGCCTTTTCCCTAGTAATCCTCCTCCATCTTTACTTCATCTGGTAGCCTCTTCCATCTTGGCATCCGTCAGCTTGTCTTTCGTCTTCACGCGATGCCAATCCGGGGAATATCTTGGTAGAATGGGGGAGGCAATGTTACCGCTCTTGGCCGATGGGAATGGCTTGCCAAGGGGAAGTTTTGCTTGCTTTGACAGTTGCTTGATATCTTTCAAGCTTTGGCACCAACAGGACTTGGCGGTTGATCAATAAGTGAGGAGAACCTGGCTCGGGCCTGGGCACTCGAACGGCACTCTGGAGTCTGGGGAAAGACTCTGGGGAAGACAGGGATAACATGTGCTCGTGGTTCCCCCTAGTGGTTCCCCAGGCCAGCCGGCCCAATGGTATTTCATGTTTTCTTCAGGGGACCGCTTCCCGCAGCGGCCCCGCAGAGGCTTTTCACCAATCCACCTCAACCCAGCCACTGAAAGCGCTGACGGCCAAAGTCCAGACCGTTATGGGGGCTCTGGGGTTTGATGGAGTTCGAGCTTGCGGGGAAGTGGAAATCTTTTTGGAGTTTGGAACTTGTGTGATTGTGGACCACCATGAGTTGTCCGAGATAACACCATGCTCCAGTCTTGACCGCAGGCCAGAGTTAAAGGTCCAGAACTGGCGCGGATCAGGGGAAGACAGAGAGACAAGGGAGCCATATCTCCGGATCATTCGAGGCCAGAAACTGGGAGAATGCAACCACATGGCGTTTGATAACCAATGAGGCTCACTGTGCGTGATGGAGACGCATTCAAACTCCCAAAATCTCGGAAGATCTGGTAGGACATCGAACAGTTCTGGTGGTGACGATGTAACTTATCTGCGGGGCCCCAGTTATGGCGGCAAGGCTTGAAAGAGCGCTACTGCATCACACTAGAAAATTTCACCGTAGCTTCGGGTGACTTAATCCATCCGGTCTTAATCCGACAAGCTGAGTTCCTACAACGTTTCACTGCATCGTGAACGTTGAAACTACCTCGGTCGGCCAGAGGGATGAGGATGTATCGTACCAGATCCAGCGAATGTTGCGGACAATAATGATACCCAACCAAACAATCCATTCGTCGTTCTTCATGCGTGTATGCGCTTCATTTCTCACATCACTGAATAAGAGTTTGGAAGCAGATGATGAGTGCTGCCACACCGGCTCTCCCGACTAGCTTGAACGTTGATAGCAGCTCGTGGAGTGGCCTGACTGATCATTTTTGGAACCTGGTTTTTTTGTCAGCGCCTTATTCAAACAGGGCTTTATTTTTGGGAGTCGGGGTTTAGGTAAGATCAACCACACTCCGTGCGTTTTTTTGTGGTACACGGCATCGTAAGCTGGTGAAACAGGTTACTGTCCCGCCCAGAGCATTGAATCACCTTCCTCTTTTGCCCAAAGCCGCCTAGATTCTGGGTGATCTTCACCGCTCATGTGGAAAGCCTTTCAATATCACAAAAGATACCTGTAAGCTTAGTACCGTTGCCGAAGGTAGGTATGCATCCATTATTCAGGTCTGTGAACGGTGCCAGATGTGGGCTGAAAATGCACGAAGGCCTCCTTCTCGACTCGTATCAATGCCCAGACGAAATTCATGATCCCCTGGCGGTGATATGTCGGCAATGAAGGTCGGGCTTGGCGGGTTGATACATTCTTAGTGACGGCGTAAGCCGACCGTCTGTTTCCTTGATATGGATCTCTTTTTCCGCGATCAATTGCTACCTACACAATAGGTAAGTGAGAATCTAGACCAGGAGGGATCCACCTCGGAGGAGACTCGGTCAACTTGCGGCTCTTGAATAGAACCAGGGTCTTACCACCACCTCAAGCAAGAAGACAGGGAGATATGGTGTGGGGAAGAATCAGTGCCTCCAGGATAACTCGGAGCCTTTGGGCGCACACGGTTTGTGTATTAATGTGATAATGAAGGACGAATTGCATGTGCCTCTTCTTTATGCACGGTTTGTTGGAACAAGTGATAGATACGGAACTTTCGTAAATCTATCTGCAAATCTGACCCTAACATTGAGTTCAGGGGGACGCCAGATCTGGTAGATCCAAAGATACCTGGGCGGACGCGTAAGCACGAACTGATAACATCTAGTCCGCATCAGTAGGGTCCCTAAACACCGTCAAGCGTCAGTAAGTCAGCACATCACTTAATATCTGAGAGAAGGGGAACCTCACCAATCAGTAACCAACTTCTCATCCAACCCATCCAACCTCTTCATATCCTCCTCAGCCAACTCAAACCCACCCACATCCGCATTCTCCACCAACCTCTCCTTCTTCGTGCTCTTCGGCAACGTCACGAACCCCTTCTGCACCGACCACCTCACCAACACCTGCGCGGGCGTAACCCCATACTTCTTCGCCACTTGCCCCAGCGTGGGATGCCTCATGCGCATCCCCCTCGCCAGCGGCGCGTACGCCTCGATCACGATCCCGTACTTCTCGCACGCGGCTCTGATCTCCGTCTGCGTGTTAAACGGGTGACACTCGATCTGGTTCACGACCGGCTCCACCTTTGGCTGAGCAGCCATCAGCTCCTCGATGTGCTTGACGCCGTAGTTCGAGACGCCCGCCATCTTGACCTCGCCCGCGAGCACCGCGTCCTCGACCGCTTTCCAGCTGGTCAACCGCGCTTCGCGGCCGCCGAGCGGGCTGTGCAGGAGGAACAGGTCGATGTAGCCTAGGCCGCACTCCTTGACCGACTTGCGGATGCTAGCGCGCACGGCGTCATAGTTGGTGCTGTTGTCGCGCAGCTTGCTGGTGAAGTGGACGTCCTCGCGGGTGAGACCGGCGGTGTTTTCGGGTGAGGACAAGAAGGAGAGGATGGCTTGGCCGGCTTCGCGCTCGTTGTAGTACCATTGGGCGCTGTCGAAGCCGCGGTAGCCGACGCCGAGAGCCCAGCGGACCGCGCGGGTGGTCTCGGGGCCGGACATCATGTAGAGGCCGAGTTGGATTTGGGGAATGGAGAGGCCATTGGAGAGCTTGGTGGGTGTCAACGAGTAGGTACGTGAAATTCATGGGGGTTGTGACATTGAAGATGAGGGGAGTTGCAACATGTCTAATCGTACCTTGACTCTGCGGCTCAACATGTCTGTCACGGTTTCTGGCATTTTTTGACCCTTTTGCTAGGTAAACGTGCTCAAAGAGTTAGGAAGGTTTTGTCTGCGCTGTGAGGTGAAAATGAGCACACTTGTTGTCCCAATCCTTTTATGTGCTGGAAACTCTCATAAAGCTTAAGTACTATAATTCGCGACCCCCGGGTTGATGTTGACTTGATCATCAAAGTCCCCACTCTTCTGACGATGACAACATCGCCGGGTTTATTTCCGTTTCGTTGATTACCGTACCAATGGACCAGTTAGCGCGCAATTCCTTGCCTGTATTGTAACGACATGTTACAGCACCATTGTTCCACTTGTGCTACGTCAGACAACTGTCATGCAACTCAGCCTTAGACATGCGAAATAAAGCCCGGTGGGGCTGAGCGTGTTTCTATCGCTTACTAAACTGCACGCTAGGTATTAAACTGACATAAAGAACTTCATGGAATCTTTTATGTCTCGTTGATATCTCGTTCGCGTGCTAAGTGCTAACGCCTAGATATGTTTTCCAACCTGTGTAAGGCGTCCTTGTCGTATATGTCAGCAAGATGTGTACAAGGAGCCAGGATCGTGGAAGGCTACCGTACCTTAACGCCGACATGCCCCTTTCCTCCCACTTCAGTCTTGTCCTCTTGAAGCCACCTCTTGTGACCAAACTAATGCTTGACGCGACCTGCTCCTTTTGATCTTGAACTAAATTGCACCTGAAACACCCCATGCTAGCCCCTTTAAGAAATAAGGTCGGCAACGTTCATGGGCATCTCATCAATCTGGGTCGAGTAGTACACTGTATCTCTCGTTAGTGAAACAAGATGCCGAGGTTGAGTTGTTCAAACTTACACTCGATATCACGCAAGATGCGCACGTCCTCGCTAGTAACGAAGTTGATCGCGACACCCTTGCGACCGAATCTGCCGGAACGACCGATACGATGGATGTAGTTTTCACGGTTGCTGGGGAGATCGTAGTTGATGACCAAGCTGACCTGCTGAACATCGATACCGCGGGCCCACACGTCGGTCGAAATGAGCACTCTGCTGTTGCCCTGTCTGAAATCCTGCATAATGCTGTCTCTCTCCTTCTGAGGCATATCACCGTGCATGCTGCTGACGGTGAAGTTGGCTTCGCGCATCTTGTCGGTCAACCAGTCGACCTTCCGGCGGGTGTTGCAGAAAATAACGGCTTGTGTGATAGTAAGGGTATCGTAGAGATCGCAGAGGGTATCAAACTTCCAATCCTCCTTCTCCACAGCGATGAAGTACTGCTTCAGGCCCTCGAGGGTCAACTCATCACGCTTGACCAGGATACGAACGGGGTCGGTCATGAACTTGGTGGTCATGTCGAGCACATCGTAAGGGAGGGTGGCAGAGACGACAACGACTTGTGTGGCAGGCGGAAGATAGCGGTACACATCGTAAATCTGCTCGCGGAAACCCTGGTTGAGGAGCTCATCGGCTTCGTCGAGGACCAGCATCTTGATGTGTCTGGTGCGGAGATGACGGCGGCGAATCATGTCGGCAACACGACCAGGAGTACCGGAGACAATGTGTTGACCATAGTCGAGCTTGCGAATATCCTCTCCAACGTTGGTGCCGCCAATGCAAGCATGGCACTGGACGTTCATGTAGTCTCCCAAAGCCATCACAACGCTCTGAATCTGGGTCGCAAGTTCGCGGGTCGGGGAAAGAACGAGGGCCTGGGTCTCGCGGACGGCGGTGTCGATGACCTGAAGCATACTGATCGAGAAAGTGGCTGTTTTACCGGTACCGGACTGGGCCTGGGCGATGGTGTCGCGACCCTTGCAGATCTGAACGATGGCGCGGGACTGGACAGCGGAGGGGGACTCATATCCATAGGCGTAGATACCACGGAGGAGACTCTCTGTTTTCGAGACCAGTCAGTTTCAGTCAGATCAGCAGAACCACGACAACAGAGAAAGGTGCGATGCGACAAAACTTACCCTTCAGGGACATCGACTCGAAAGTCGGATGAACCGTAACCTCCTTGGAGGTGGAGAACTGAATCTTCTCATCGGCCTTGCGATCGATGCCGCCGTCAGCCATGTTGGGCGATAATGTGGGTGAATTGAATAGGTCACTGGGGTGCGTAGGGGTCGAGGTTGGACGTTGGGGGTGCGGATGTTGACGATGATGATGGAGTGTCGACTTCGTGGAAATGGTTTGCACCGGAGACAAAACAGCCCACTGTACCAAAGCGCGACAGTGATTGACGATGGATGCGATGGACGTGTGGCGGCACTAGAGTGGAGCTTTCCTGTCAAAAAAAGTCGCCAAGGTCCGCTTCGGCAGAACGTCGGCCAACCTTATTTGATGGAACAGCGGGGATCTTTGACAGGGCAGTTGGCGAAATTTTGCCAAGGAGTTGCCGGGAGTTTTTTGCCTGCCGCGATGTGTTTCCTATGCTGTTCTTCTGGACTTCGTCCAAGCAATTGGTGGCGCCGGAAAAGCACGTCTCAACAACCTCTATTCTAGGAATCATCCTAGCTTTCCAAGTCGCAATTCTTTATTTGGCGCGACAAGTCCGACTCTTCTACGCGCATTTTCACTTCATATTAATTAGGGGACTTTCAGGGTGCAAAATTTGCCACCATGTTGTTAGAAGAACAGAGATACATCCACGAGGATCTCGAACGCCTCGAGCAGGGTATCGCGGACCGTATGCGCGACGAGCCAAAACAGGTATGTCGTTCCACGCGACAATTCGTGTCTCTTAAGACCCCCTGTGCTGACGCATCTTTAGATTCATGAACGTCTCAATCGCGACCATGAGGTGTCCCAACTCCTCGACCAGATTCAACACCAGTCCCGTGAGCTTCTTCCCCTATACGAGGACAAGACTGGAGTGCGCTCCAAGGAAATTTTGCAGATTGGCAGTGGCGACCCCTTCGAGGAATTCTACAAACAAGTAGCCAGCATTAAGGAACACCACTCGCGATACCCAAATGAGCAAGCCGAGAACTCGGAGAACTGGTACCGACCGCGGAAACAGAGCGACGACCAGCCATTTTTGGTGGAAAGCATGTTCTCGGGTGAAGAGGCATACGGTCGCTTCTTCGATTTGCACGCCAGCCACGAATCCTATCTCAACCTTCCCAATGTGAAGCGACTACCATACATGCAGTATCTCGAAGTTTTCGACAACTTCCAACCCGGTTATGGTGGAGTCAAGCGGGCTGACAAGTTAACCGACCAATATTTCAAGTACCTCGGCGAATTGATGGAGTATCTGGAATCCTTCATCCGACGCACGCGACCACTCGAAAATCTCGAAAAGGTGTTTGGTGGCTGGGACAAGGAGTTCGATTCGGCCTGGGAAAAGGATGAAATCGAAGGATGGCGGAAGGAGAAGCCGGCAGCCAAGGGCTCTGCAACAAATCGGACGCTGAGCAGCGCTGAGGCGGTTTGGTGCGAGGCATGCGAGAAGGAGTTCAAGAACGAAAACGTTTACAAGAACCATCTTACCGGCAGGAAGCACATCAAGGCCGCAGAGGTGTTGGCGGCGATTCACGGAGACTCGGTCAATGGTACATCAAACGGCTCGGCTGTCCCGCTAGCACATCGCCTCAAGGAGCGGGCGGTCGCCGAGAGAGAGTACCGTATCAAGAAGCTTGCTAGCGCCATGAAGACGGAGCGGGACGACACAAGGGTGAACGTCGAACGCAGACAGGGTATGACGGAGCGCGAGAGGCAACAAGAGCTGGAGAATCTCTACAACACCACGTTCAAAAGGCAGGCTAAGGAGGCCGAGGAAGACGAGGATGATGGGGGAGACGATAAGATCTACAACCCACTCAAGCTACCATTGGCCTGGGACGGAAAGCCGATTCCCTTCTGGCTCTACAGGTTGCACGGTCTGGGCCAAGAGTTCCCCTGCGAGATCTGTGGCAACTTTGTCTACCGCGGTCGGCGTGCTTTTGACAAGCACTTCAACGAGACGAATCACATCACCAACCTGAAGCGTCTGGGTATCACAAACACACATCTGTTCCGAGACATCACGTCTATAGAGGAGGCGGTGAGGCTCTGGAACAAGATTCAAGGTGACTCGAGAAAGACCAACGTGGATGAGGGCTCGATCGTGCAGATGGAGGACGCTGAGGGTAATGTCATGCCGGAGAAGGTCTATCTTGATTTGCAGAAGCAGGGTCTGCTCTGAGAGGTGTTGGGAGATGGATGAGATACTATGGTGATATGGGCAAGTAAAACCCACATATGAGATTAGAATATAATACCCAAAAGTCCCCACCGGCCACGATAGAGCTACGAATTCGGACTACTGCAAGAATGAACAGTGAGATGGTTCGACATCTCATCCTGGATACCAGAAAGAGCAGCCAGGGGTTCATGAAGCTTGGACCCGCTAAGTGGGGGTACAGCGAGGTCAAGGGCGTGAAATGATTGGACAGCCATTCCGGGTACTGCGGCCATGAACAAACAACATCTTGTAAACAAAGACGGCAACTTCACTTCTTTACAGTTACCACCTTTCATCTCATGCAAACTTGGTTGTGCTTTGCTTTTTGCACCTTGAAAATACCACAATCATATTCCTAATGGGCGCAATCAACAATTATTCAGTATTTCTTGGCAACTGCCCTGACTGACGCGACACTTTGTTCATATACCTACCTAATCACATATCAACAAACGAATCACTCATCGGGAAGGCATCCAAAAAGCCTTGAAAGTGAACGACAACAAGCTGAACGTCACGACAACCTCACCTACTAGACGACCATGCTACCACTCAAGGAAACGGAAAGGGTAACCACCACCCAACTCCAACCCAAACCCATCCCCGCCCTCTACACGGTCTACATCCTCCGCTCCCAGCCCCGGCACGCCTCTCTCTACATCGGCTCCACGCCTCACCCACCGCGGCGCCTCTCACAACACAACGGGCTCGCCAAGGGCGGCGCCTACCGCACCTCCAAGAAATCGCTCCGGCCTTGGGACATGGTCTGCCTGGTTTCGGGGTTTCCCAGCATGATCGCCGCGCTGAAATTCGAGTGGGCGCTGAACAACCCGCACAAGTCGCTGCATATCCCTGCCGAAAAGAGGGCGGAGGCGGTGAAGGGACTGGGGAGGAGGAAAACTGGACACCTCAAAAGGCCGAGGAAGAGCTTGACGGGCGTGATGGAGAGTTTGCGGATGTTGGTGGGGGTGAGGAGTTTTGGGCGGTGGCCTTTGAGGGTGCATTTCTTTGAGGAGGAGGTTTGGAGGGTTTGGGAGAAGGTTGGTATGAAGAATGCTTTTGGAGGATTGAAGATACCGGTGGTTACGGATTTTGGGGGTCCAACGGCGTCATCACAAGGGGCGAGGGTGGATGAAGAGCTTCTTGATCCGGGAATCGACGGTGGTGATGGAAACGACGACGACGACGACGACGAAGACGCCCAAAACGAAAAGAAACATGGTATCTATGCTTTACCGCTCGATTACACGCCGATAAAGGAGTACGTCGCCAAGGGGCAGGAGATTTTTGAGTTTGAAAGGCAGGGGAACTGTGTGGTTTGTAAGGAAGCCATGGCGGCGGGAAGGGGGTTATATGCGATCTGCCCAAAGACAAGTTGTGAGGCTGTGGGACATGTTGACTGTTGGAGTCGGTGTCTTCTGAAGCAAGAAGCAAAGAAGGTGGGAATGGGTAGAGGGGACGAGATACTTCCAACTAAAGGGGAATGTCTCAAGTGTCACGGAGAGGTTCTTTGGGGAGATATGATGAAGGAGTTGACATTGAGGATCAGGGGGCAGGCGGAGGTAGAGAAGCTGCTGAAGAAGAAGAAGAGGCGACGGGCAGCGGCGAAGGGGAAGGTGAAGGGCAAAGGGAAGGCCGCCGATGAGAAGGGGAGCAATGCCGAGGAAAGAAATGCAAAAGGAAATCGAGAGGTGAAGACGACGTCTCAGAGGATCGTGGAGGATAGCGAAGACAGTGAGTTCCTCGACATTGCGTACCTTTAGTAGGCCAAAGAATTCAAACTTCAGAGATGATTGATTCCCTTACCACGAGGCTCCATCTTCATGAGTGTCGTGATATGTCAAGTTGATCGCCTCAAAGTTGATCAAAGCAAAGCATCAAACCAGCCACAGAAACAGCCACGGGAGCCACAGATGTCGTTGGGAAGAGGCTCGAAGCTGAGCGTTGAAAGAGAGGTGCCGGTTGCGGTTTCACGTGTTTGCTGATGAGTCATCCAGATCTGTTGTGGTGGGGTCTGTCCCACTCCCCTTCACTGGCATTGTCACGTGGGCCCAGCCAGCCCACACCACCATGTATTTTAGCCCTCCACATTTCTTTTCCCTTTCTTCTCTAGCTGAGGACAATCAACACACTTCTTGTGCCCACGAGTCCAAGAAGATCTGCCCCGCCAACGCAGCGAAATCGCCCCAGTCTGGTGGCCTTGGCATTCTCTTCCAACGTCAAGTCTTTTCTGATTGGAAGGCGGTGCGACGGCTGACGACCGAACCCCTGTTGATATCAGAGTCTTTTCGGTTCAATCAGTGCTTTTCCGGGTCCATCGAGTCCCTCTCACGTCCCCTCTTTCTCGTTCAATGGACCATGACGGGATGTTGTCTCTTCATGATTTTCCCTCCCACATTTAGCTCCGACTGAACCCGAGTTGGACTGCCACCTGGAACTGCGATGCACATTTGGCCGCTTGCGGTATTCCCATTGTCGCATTCGGTCACTAGGTATACCAAGTCCCTATGGGTTTCCCTCAGATTCAGGATTCTGTAACAACCTGCAGACTCATACATTTATGATCATTTGAACAGTTGCGATTTTGAGAGGATCGTGTGCCAGACTAGGTACTGGTTTTCTTTGTTGGCCACGGGCGCACTAAATCGTCGGACCATATTTGCTATTCCAGCGGGCATGGCCATCCAGTGTGTGGTGATTCATTGGTTCCAAAAGCGAGCAATGGAAAGCACGAGTATTTGTTTCCGGATGCATACACGTTGACCACCCACCGCTCTTTTATTCCATTAATTGCCTTCTCTTCAAACGAATTAGATATGTGTTTCTATTACCTCTCGATGCTGATTCCTTTATCTTCAATCACGCATTGGAGTCAGGATGGCGCACTGATGCCTACACCGCAGCTCGGACCTTCACCCCTGCCAATATCTTGACGAGGAGATCAAACACCACACAATTTTTGCAGGAGCACACTTTGTTTGCGGCGGATGGATGAGACTTGGAGAGTGGGAATGGACACCCCGAAATTTCCAGATGAAGCGGAGGAAAGAAAGATTCAAGTTATAACACATCGACAGGTATACATTTGATATGTTGGCGCATTGAAGTTTCCAGTCAACGACAACCCACCTCCCTGGTCAGTCTTAACAGGGACAAGAGAAAGAAGGCGGAAAGGCTGTCAATATTGACCTCAGCCGCACATGCGATTTTCACGAGCGCACTTTCTCTCGACTGATATAAGAGTGGCTGAGGTAGATGGTTTAATATACCAGGTGCGACTCTGGTGGTTGTGCTTCAACGGAGTCGATCGATGACATTGATGAATATGGAAGATATGTACAGAGGTACTTGGCCTAGAAGGGTCTAGTGGAGACCCACCAGATGCCGAAGGACCGCGACTGAATGGGCGGCATCATGTCTGCAGAGTTGCGCCTCCCCATTTCGTCCCGACGCCTGCCGCCTTGCCTTTGGGTCCTTGTTGGATTTGAACGTCTTCCGTCTCCCGCCGCCCGTCAAACCAGTCTCAGCCCGTGCAAGTGGAATGGGCCCACTGACATGCCCTCTCCCTGATAACCCCATTCCCACCTACAACCCTCAAAACTGTATACTTTAGACAGCTACTATCAATCAGTTCACTGTCGAGGCGTCCACACACCTCATCCTCACACCACATTCTACCCATTCACCATTCACATCGCCCCGTGCCGTCCAGGTCCCGTCCATCTCTTCCACCTTCACTTCCACTTCTGCTCCCTTCCGGTCTCCGCCTGGCCCTGGCCTCCGTCTCCATTTCCAACTCCCTCTCTTTCTCTCCAGTCTACTCGTCTGGGCTAGAACAAATTCCGAACAATCTGGACTTCTGTTCGGCCAACCCTCCATTCCACCATTTCGGGTCAATCCACTTATTCTCACAATCACCAACCAGCCTCACTACGAACGCATCCAGTTGTCCACCCGATACCGCAACCTTGAATAGTTCAGACGGCAAACCTTCAGGTTGTCACCGACGGATCCCGGATCAAATCGCCTTTTCCAATAACAAACCAGGTTGCCTCTGCTGTCACTCACGTTATATACATGCGGAGTGCCTGTACAAACAGCCAACCCTAACACGGTAGACCGAGGTAGTGGAGGAACACAGACGAGGTTCGATCTCCATTTCCTTCTGCGACACACACACGAACGATATACACTCTTAGTCGCCTTCCGGCTTCCAAATTTCAGCTTCTCAAGGCTCGCTCCCTGGGAAATCTGCGCTCAACTTCCCACGGCCCTTCGTCTGCGCGGACCCTGCACATAACTAACAGCAGCAGCGCAGAACCGGATATCGCATCCTCAATTCACTCACAACTCCCTGTAGCGCCAAATCATTTCGCGGTCCTGCGCTGTCGACCGTTCTCCCCTAAACCAGCCTCCAGTCTTCTATCCTACGATGCGTCCGATATTTCGATAAGACAGAGACTCTCCGATTCCGTAAACACCAATACGTTACAGCTGCGTCCCGGCCCACCCACCACCGATCTTCGCCCTGTGTGATTATCAATTCGCCCTCCAAGACAAGCCTCCACCCGCCATGGTGTCCACCCCCTCTGGAGGCGGGTCTGCTGTTCCTGTGGCGGCTGCCGGAACGTCGAGCAACAATGCAAGCGCGCGAGCCTCCCCTGCCGTTACCTCCCATTCCAGCAACGGCAAGTCCAAGACGGCGCCAGTCAACTCGAACGGCTACCATCCTCCGAAACCCCAGATTCCGCTGAGCTTCATGAAGAGCGAACCCCTCGATTTGAATTCGGTGGAGCGACGCGGCCAGCCTACCGCGTGCAAAGAACCCTCAAAGAAGAAGAACCGACCACACGGTCTTGAAGAGGCACCGTCCTATTGCCCAACCGAGGAGGAGTGGAAGGAGCCCTTTGAGTACATTCGCAAAATCACACCAGAGGCCAGCAAATACGGTATCTGCAAGATCATTCCGCCCGAGTCATGGAACCCCGACTTTGCAATTGACACCAAGGTACGCTCGCTCGCCCGTCAACAACCGTGATGCCATTTGCAACCACGTAATCTTCCAGAACAATGCTGACCTATGCTACTGCAGAGATTCCACTTTCGCACTCGCAAGCAGGAACTTAACTCGATCGAAGGTAGCTCGCGCGCCAATATCAACTATATCGACGCCCTTCAAAAATTTCACAGACAACACGGGAACAACCTCACGCGACTTCCGTATGTGGACAAAAAGCCGCTCGATTTGTTTCGGTTAAAAAAAGCCGTTGAAGCCAGGGGAGGGTTCGACAAGGTGTGCAAGCTGAAAAAATGGGCGGAAATCGGACGTGACCTGGGCTACAGCGGGAAGATCATGTCGTCTCTTTCGACATCGCTGAAAAATTCGTATCAAAAATGGCTTTGTCCGTACGAAGACTACCTGCGAGTCGCAAAGCCTGGCGTTCATCAGCAACTCGAGCTGGAATATGGCGGGCCTCTAACACCCAGCCCGGCCCCGAGCCCTATGAAGCGATCAAATGCCCAGACCCCATCAGACCTCCGCGGTGAATCTCCATCTCGGCACCCCATGGAGGCAGCAGTAAACGGGCATGCCAGGGATTCTGATCGGGATGTTACCATGATAGACGCCCCGTCGATACCAGCGCCACCGGTCAAAAGTGGCTTCACAGCCATCAACACTGGAGGCTTCACGGCAATCAATTCCGGATTTACGAGTATAAACCGTCCGCTGGCCCCGGCATCAGAAGCCATCACCCCGCTGTCTTCCGCCAAGAATACCCCTGAAATTCGACCATCAGCAGCTGGCTCGTCTTCACTGAAGCGGCAACTAAGCTTCGATAGTGTGTCGGATTCCGCTAAGAAGGAAAGTTCAGTAGACAAGGACGATGGAGAAGCAGGCAGTCGTCGTAGCAAGAGGCTCAAGAAGGGTAGGTCCTATTTTTTTCCCCCACCTTCAGACATGTTAACGTTCGCGAGCCGAGGCATATGGTGCTGCAACCAGTCTCATTGTTTTCGAAGCAACAATACCGTTCTCATTTCGCTTGAACTTTGTGCTCCAAGTTCAGGACACTTCCTGGCTCACATATGCTAACCTGACCTCTATGACAGATTCGGTACCAACAGTGGCTGGTTCACACATGTCGCTCTTTCGTCCTTCCGCACCCAGAATTCCAAGAGAGGACTCGAGTTCGGGAGAGGTAGGTCTTATATCAACGTCTGAATGGGTACTCCTACTGACACTGTGGTAGAATTGTGAGCAATGTGGCAAAGGTAGCGAGGAGAGCTCATTCATGCTGGTTTGCGAGTCCTGCGACAATCACTACCATGGCTCGTGCCTGGACCCTCCTCTCAAGACCAAACCGGAGAATGAATGGAACTGCCCGAGGTGTCTCGTCGGAGACGGCCAGTTTGGCTTCGAAGAGGGCGGTCTCTATTCGCTTAAGCAGTTCCAAGAGAAGGCTGCCGACTTTAAGCAAGGCTACTTCGAAAACAAGATGCCTTTCGATCCAGTTCTCAATTGTCATCGTCCGGTTACCGAGGATGATGTTGAGCGTGAGTTCTGGCGCCTGGTCGCAGATCTGGAGGAGACCGTCGAAGTCGAGTATGGCGCAGATATCCATTGCACGACACACGGCTCTGGGTTCCCAACGGTGGAGAAGAACCCCAACAATCCCTACTCAACCGAGCCTTGGAACCTCAATCTTCTGCCTCTTCATCCAGAAAGCCTCTTTAGATACATCAAGACCGACATCTCCGGCATGACGGTACCTTGGGTATACGTGGGCATGATCTTCTCCACCTTTTGTTGGCACAACGAAGATCACTATGCGTACTCTGCCAACTACCAGCATTTTGGCGCAACAAAGACCTGGTATGGCATCCCCGGCGAGGATGCTGAGAAGTTTGAGGCCGCGATGCGCGAAGCGGTTCCGGAGCTGTTTGAGACGCAACCGGATCTCCTATTCCAGTTAGTCACTTTGCTCACGCCCGAACAACTCAAAAAGGCAGGCGTGCGTGTATATGCCCTGGATCAACGGGCCGGTCAGCTCGTTATCACCTTCCCACAGGCCTACCACGCGGGCTTCAACCATGGCTTCAACTTCAACGAAGCCGTCAATTTTGCCCCTAATGACTGGGAGCCATTCGGTCTTGCTGGAGTGGAGCGGCTTCAGACATTCCGACGGCAACCATGCTTTTCTCATGACGAGCTATTATGGGCCGCAGCAGATGGAATTACTGGTACCGGGTTGACGATCCAAACAGCGAAGTGGCTCGCCCCTGCTCTCGACAGGATCCATCAGCGGGAGATGACGCAGCGTAGAGAGTTCATCGGTAAGCATGACTTTATCGCCACGCATCTCGACGCAAAACATCCGTCTCCGCACCATCCCTGCGTTTTTAATGGAGAAACGAACGAGAAGTGCCCGATCCAGTTTGCCATCAATGATGTGGACGTGCCCGAAGATGAGTACGCCTGTTTCTACTGCAAGGCGTATACCTACCTCTCCCGGTTTGTATGCCTGAAGACGGGCATGGTACTATGCTTACTACACGCTGGAAGCCACAAATGCTGCGATGCTCAGGAATCAGACCGCTTTTTAGGCAAAGAACACGCCCTGTACTATCGGAAATCCGATGAGGTCATGGCATCTACCCTTAAGAGGGTCACTGACAAGGCCAATGTGCCGGAGGCATGGGAGGAGAAATATCAAAGACTCCTCGACGACGAAGCGAAACCGTCACTCAAGGCGCTACGCAATCTGCTAAGCGAAGGCGAGAAGATTCCCTACGAGTTGCCATCGCTTTCCACTCTCAAACTTTTCGTCGATCGCTGTAACCACTGGGTAGAAGAGGCGACTAATTACACTATCCGCAAACAGCAGAATCGCCGAAAAAGCGAAAAGGCTTGGCCAGTCGGCGTCCGAAAGTCCGTCGGAAACGCTGAGCACGATCAAAAGGAGCGGGAAATGCGCAACGTTGCCAACATCCATCGTCTCCTTGACGAAGCGGAGATGATCGGGTTCGAATGCCCCGAGATTCAACAATTACGGGAGCGAGCCGAGGCGATCAAAGCGTTCCAGGAAAGTGCAAAGAAGATGTTGGATCTCCCACGAGACCTTCAGCCAAT